CCCCGGCGCGCCTCCGCCTGAGGTCGCGCATGTTCCCCGCTGAGAAGGAGGGCGAGTTTGAGCCATATAAGATCCGGAGACGGCAGGATCGCCCAGCGGCAGAGAATGGCGAGGCCAAGGACGAGTCGCAAGAAGACAGCAAGCCCGCTGAGGGTGAAGAGGAGGTCATATGGGACGAGGACCGTGTCTCAGAGGAAGGCGCCATATGGCCCATTCAGCAGGGCAGGATTATCGACTGGCCATGCTTCTTCGCTCTCATCACCCACGTCTACAACTCACTAAACCCGCCCTTTCACACTCCGATCCTCCTCATTGCCCAGCCAGCATGGACGCCGCGAGAGCACGAGAAACTCACGCAGTTCTTCTTTGAGAAATTCAAGGTCCCCGCTTTCGGCTTGATGGACGCAGCACTAGCGACAGCCTGGGCATATGGTGTGCACACGGCGACTGTCATCGATGTCGGCAAAGACAAGGCAGACGTGACTGCTGTCAGCGAGTTCATCCCGCATACACAGGGTAGAGTCATCTCGCTAGCAGGATGTGGAGGTGAAGCCTTTACTGAAGGCCTCCTCGCCAAGCTGAAGCCCAAAGGCTTCAACCGCGACATGTGCGAACAGCTCAAGAGGTCACCGATATGCGAGCTTCTCCCTCCAGGAGTCCCACTACCAGGATCAAAAGATGCGCCTATCACTGACGGCGTGAGCAACCCTGCAGCAGCAGCTTCCACAGGAGCACCGGGATCCGGCGCTGCAGCTGCAACTGCAATTGGAAACGTGCCACGGGGTCCTGGCGTAGATACTGAGGTCGGAGAAGAAGGAGCTGGCGAGGATGAGGGAGTTCTAGACGTCGCAAGCATTGTGGCTGGTGGCAAGATGTCAGAGTACCTTGCCAAGAAGGAGAAGGAGAAGCAAGAAAAGGCCAATGCTAAAAAAAAGGGTGCTCCAGCTCCCCAAGCAAACAAGCCTGTAAAGCTACCCAACTCTAAGCTCGAAAAGGCTACATTCCTGTATGAGGATCATGCGCTCCTGGATACCCTGAAGAATATGAATCTGAATAATCAAGAGATGGCTGATGCGAAGGGGGCGTTGGATGAGGGTCCCAGCAGGAAACCAAATGAAAACGAGGAGGAGGGTGAGCCTGCTGCTACAACCGAGGCAAACGGCACCAGCGAAGCCAATAACACAAACAAGAGGACAGGATCAATAAGACGTGAAATAGAAGTTGGCAACGAACGATTCATGGCAGATGGAAATGGCACACTAGAGAAGATTGCAGATGCCGTATACAGGGTAATCTCATCCATTGACGAGGTTGGCAAACGAAGCGATCTTTGGGATCAGTTGATTGTCTGCGGCAATGGAGCGAAGCTACGAGGTAAGCTACACTATCTACACACAGCTCATTATGTGGCCTACTAACACGGACCTAGGCTTTAGAGAGTCTCTCATACAGACCATCCAGGCCAAATATCTAGTGTCGCCCTCATCTGCAACCATCTTCACATCTGAGATCCCATCCAATGTCTCAACACCTACGGGTACTGGAACCAACACGCCACAACCCCAATTTGGCCCACACGGTAACTCCCAAGTCAACCCACTTCTACTAGCAGCCACTACGGCCCAGACGCAGCACATGATGCCCCATGGAGGCATGCCCGGCATGTCACACAACTTGCACTCTTCACATGGCCAAACGCCCACGTCTGTTAAGTTCGTCAAACCCCCGGAGTACTTCCCTGAATTCAAAGAGGTTGGCTTCGACGAGTCAACCTTCTTGGGCGCTCAGGTCGCGGCCAAAGTAATTTTTGTAGTCGACCAAGGTCAAAGTAAGGGCTACATGACGCGCCCCGATTACAACGATCAAGGCCCACAAGCCATTCACGACTACAGCCTATAATCATACCCACGCGCGTCCTGTTCTGGATAGCGGCTCTTCCTTGGCAGGCAAATATGGGCAGGCTGTGTTCTACTTTCGCAGAGAAAGCTATCATGGAGTTTTCAGGCGTGGTGTAAATGGGGAATATCCTGGCGTTGCTTGTACCTGGCCAAAACAAAAAGAAAGTTATGGGTGTGTGTGCAGATGTGGAAAGACTATTGGAAATCCCATAGGTGATGGCCACAGCGATAGGCTACCGGCGCATTGCGGAAGTGTTTAGTCCAAGAAACATGTAAACTTCCTTTTTGTGTGGCTCCCATCCATTGTTTCACCCTGCCGTATTGTGGGATTGTGATTGACCATGTATGAGGAAGCGAGAGCTGAGCACTAAGCCCCTTTCACATTTTACTTTTCCCGAATGTGATGGTGGTGGTGAATTGCTGATCGGAGGACGCCGATAACCCCAGAAGTACCTAGTGACGCCCCGGTTCGGCTCCACGTGGTAAACATTAGCGACCCCCCGCTAGACCGCTTATAACCCGTCGTCCCTTCTCAGAAACTGATAAAGGACGCTGGCTGTCCCTCTTCAATCCTGTTCACTTCCATTGCTGAGATTTGAGTGTATATAAAGTGTTCTCTTTGACCCTTTTTCTGCACTTGTATCACAATTAGATTTTTTTCTCTCTAGGCGAACAAACAGGGCGATTGGGATACTTAGCCCGCGGATTTGCCGGTATCTTGGTCCGGAACTCTATCGACTTCAGTGGCAAGAGCGGTGTATCTGTCTCAATTCCAAATAGACTTTCTGGGGCTTACATAAGAGGAACAAGAGCAACAAGAGTTGTACTGGGAACATTCAAGAAAAAATGGCAGCATCAACATCTATACTACACACAATCTACTTTGGCCCCTTCGTCCACAGCATATCCCTCAGCACGCTAGAAATCGAGCCCAATGGCGCCATCGGCGTAGACTCTAACGGCATCATCCGCTTCGTGAATCGCAACGTGGAGTCTCTGGCCTCCCTTCTCTCTTCCCTGGACACTGCCTGGACAGACGCCAAGGTCGTCTCGATCTGCGAAACCAACAACGGGTTCTTCTTCCCAGGCTTCATCGACACCCACGTCCACGCGCCCCAGCACCCGAACACCGGACTATTCGGCAAGACCACACTCCTGGATTGGTTGCAAAAGTACACCTTCCCCACTGAATCCTCCTTCTCCGACATCAAACGTGCATACCGTGTGTACACAAACTTCGTCTCAAGGACACTCTCGCATGGCACAACAACAGCCGCATACTACGCCACTATCCACGTGCCCGCCACCAATACCCTCGCTGACATATGTCTGGAGCGCGGCCAGCGCGCCCTCATAGGCCGAGTATGCATGAACAGCGACCTAAGCCCGGAATACTACCGCGATGCAAGCGCAGAACAAAGCTACCTGGACTCTAAATCCAGCATCGAATACATCCGCTCCATCGACCCAAAAGGCACCATTGTAAAACCAATCATAACCCCGCGCTTCGCCCCCTCCTGCACCCCCGACTGTCTCAGCGCAATGGGCCGCCTAGCCCAAGAAACAGACACCCATATCCAAACCCACATTTCCGAAAACAAGGGCGAAATCGACCTTGTCAAGAGCTTATTCCCTGATTCAGAGAGTTATGCGGATGTCTATGACACCCACGGTCTCCTCACCGATAAAACAATCCTCGCACATTGTGTACACCTCACCCCCGAGGAACGCCATTTGATCCTCGCCCGGAAAAGTAAAATAAGCCATTGCCCCGCGTCGAATACAGCTATTACATCTGGCTGTGCGCCTATCCGCTCGTTGCTAGATGAAGGCCATACGATTGGTCTGGGAACAGACATCTCCGGCGGGTTTTCGCCTTCGATCCTGGAAAATGTGAGGCAGGCGATTTGGGTATCGCGACACCTGTGTATCCAGACGTCTTCGGACGCCGTTAAGCTATCTACGGAAGAGGCTTTGTACCTCGCTACCCGCGGTGGTGCCGCAGTGGTAGGGTTGCAAGATACAGTTGGCGGGTTTGAAGTCGGGAAGGAGTGGGATGCGCAGATGATTAATCTAGGGTCTGTGGGCGAGTTTGGGAGCGAGGCAGGCGCGTTTGAGGAGGGGCCGGTGGATGTGTTTGGGTGGGAGAGTTGGCAGGATAGGGTAGAGAAGTGGGTGTATAGTGGGGATGATAGAAATACGGTTGCTGTTTGGGTCAAGGGGCGGTTGGTACATTGTACAGAGAGGTATCAGTATCGGAAAGAAGTTGGGTATGTGCCGTCTAAGGGGTGTACGCCTTAAGCTGGGGTGCTGGGGTTCGGTGTAAGAAGATATGGATGGGAAAGTAGTGATGGCGGCATACGTATAGGGAATAGAAATCATTACAATGTCTTCCGCTGGAAACTATTGGTGACGACTCTATTGCAGTGTTGCCTGTGAAAAACACTTCTGAAAGTTGCAGTATGAAGGCGAGAGTTCTGTTCGAAGTTCATGTTGAGGTTACTTTGAATTGGCACACAGTGTGCCTCTGTGATATCTGTCAACGACTTTGCGGACTACAAAAGGTACTATTCATAAGGAGATAATCATCCAGACGATATATCAGTGATAGGTAGCTACAGCAAGTGCTACCAGAAAACAATAAATAGAAAAATGATATCGTATAGTTCGTCACAATTAGACTGATAATGAGTCTATCATGCGTTCCTATTCTTCAATCGCCAGAATGCTGAGCAACCTGTCGGTGCTGCCACGTATCAGATGAGGTTCCTAAGATGCGTATGCACTAAATGCTAGTGAAAGCAGGTCTTCTGCTGAGAAATGTTTAGGAGCTCGATCGAGGAGATGAGCTATCAGAACTTCTGGTGAGATACCGTATTCGATAGTGATGTTGCCACCATCACTTCCGAGTCCGCACAAGGCATACACCTTATCAAGGATATTTGAAGCTGTAGAACCTTTGTATTACATGAGAAGTTCAACAAGAGGACTCCATCGCTGCGTCTCGCGAATTTTTGTCCAGTCAAAGACGAGACGCATCGCTAGAGTGGCGTAAAGGGGTCCTACGTGCCCTGGGTCTTTCTTGTATATATTGGCTACACAACCCATAAATTTTACCAAACGTTCCCAATGCAACTCCTTTGACCCACAGTGTACTCGAATCTCTTTGGCAAGCATGATTTCTTGTATGATCTAGATTCTTGTCCAATAATCCCTACAGAGAAGCTGGCCAACGGCGTGTCCTTGTATTTTGTTCCGGTCAAAATGTGATCTGTACATATAATCGCCGGATATCCCGTATGCAGCCCATCTTTCTATGCTGACAACTATGTCCATAGCCATGTCGCTTGTCTTGTCTTCACTAGCTTCGCCGGGCCAGATCACCACTCTCTCATGGGTGCTGTATATATGTCGCATCATTTGAACTTGGTGATTCTTTTCCAGTGTATTGCTTTGGTCGATGCAAATAGCATCAATCCAGTAGAATCCATATTGCCTCTGGAGATGCATCTGCTCTAGGAATGCCCACAGATTGTGCGACACTGAAAACGCATATCTATTGAGAAATATTTGGCGAGTATCATTCATTATGCCCCAAGCGTAAGAGAGCGCTTTGTAGGCTGGAAACGTCTCGTCGAATGAATAGGAGCAAAGACTGCACAAAACATAAGAGGGATGCGTGCTCGGGTGTAATTCAAGAAGTCTGAACTGAGGGGTTGAGGTGTGGCTGAGTGGTGCCAAGGCATAGGGGCCTTTCATGACTTGGGATACTGTGAATAGCTGCTACAACACGACTGAGGTAGGTGTGATAAGTTGCTGAGCGTTGAGCGGGAGCCTTGTAAGGACTATGGGTCTGTTCGACACTATAGCTTGTTGCTCTATAGGGTACCGTGTGCATTTCAAAATGAACGGTAGAGCAGGTATTGGATAAGAGGAAGAAAAGCTGTTTGTATTGAGGGGTGATGAGGAAACAAGCATGAACGAGGTTGTCTACACAAAAGTGCACTTCTTGGCAAATTAGGCAGGTGCGTGCAGCAACGAGGCAGTGCGGAAATACGCATGTGGCACCTCCTTTCTCAACACCACTAAATGGTACAAATTATCTTGCGTGATGGGTTTGAAACAGGTTGGTGGCGCATCAGGCTGTAAAACCGAGGGCGAGAATGGCCCATTCAGCTGGATCCAGGAGAAAATAGTGGGGCTGTGCTCTTGCCTGCGTGAAGGACTATTAGCCACATAATACTATGTCAGCCACGCGCCAGGCATGGCCAAATAGTACTACTAAACAAGAAAAATAGAATCTCCAAACGCCTATTCTACCTGTCATGATAACATGCCTCCTGTAATGGTTATCGTCTTCAATGATGCTGTGCTTAATGCCGAGTTGTCGGCTCAAGATTACATTCACATTCACCCATACGACGACCAAATTCCAAGACGAAAAAAGGGAATCAAGCAAGAAAGAGATTACAGATTTCAGTGTGAGATTGCTCGAAAAGCTCGCCGTCCATCGCGCCATACATGAAGCAATCACCAACCATTTGGAAAGCGTCAAGCATACGACTAGTGGTGTGACGAGCATACTTTTCGCCCCCATCCTCATTTCCTGAAAGAAGAGTTGTCCAATCGTTGTCGTCAATAGATACAGGTAAGCCTTGTCGGACCATGAACGGAACGTTGCTACCCTTAAAGACATAGATCTTGTCACCCTCGGCAGTCGTCTTTGGTCCGAGACCCATGTAACCAGAGCTAGTAAGGAAGAAGCGCCGAGAAGTCGTTGCATTTTTGAGGGCGTGATGAATTGCTGAAATGCCTTCGTCAAGATCGCGCTTGCTAAATGCTGCAGAACGGCTGAATGTATCACGGGATATGCAGCGAGACCACATGCTCCAAGCCCTGAAAGCCTCATAGTCTTCTGGTCTCGCGCGCCGATAGGACTCTTGCTTCCAGTAAGTATCCGGATCCGTGCTAGTACGTACAACATCCCCGATAAGTGTACGCCAGAAAGCGTTTTCGTACGTCCCACCGCTAGGGTATGTGTGGTTTGATTGCTCGACTGATTTGATGAGTAGATTCCAAGATCGTATGACGGCACATGTGTCGCTGATTTGCGTATGTCGACTGACTTCCCCTACTGTCGTCACACTATCAACATACACTCCCTCAACATCGAGAAGTTGGTTTATCGGATGGAATCGAACAGTTCCTATTCGAGACCCAGACGCTTTGTAGATGCATAGAGAGTTCACTCTTTCAATCTCGATTGGAAGACATGGGAGCGACCAGTCCATGACCCAAGAAGGGATGCCGTCCAATCGCTTCCGGTTAAGGACAGCCTCAAGATCACCCGCAAGAACTGATAACGACCCAGCTCGTTGTATGTTAGTCACAGTTGTGTTCGTAAAAGTCGCAGCAGTATCAGAAGTGTAGTCAGGTAACAATGGTGGAAGACCTTGCCAGTTGGTAGTCAGGCCAAGGAGGGCAAAGACCTTGTCCCGCTTCTCAGTCGCCTGCAGTGGCCTGAATCTCCATAGCAGCTGCAATATCGTTCCACTATTTGAGCGAGCGAGGTATTGAAGTCTGATATCCTCTATGCGAAGCACAAAATCACTGAACTGATCTAGGATGTCTTGTCCCTGGAGAGTGCCAGCCAAGTCCAGACATAATGTGTGACGCTGTTTAATGTGGTTTGTAGCAGCTTTGGCAAACATTGACCAGGGGGCTGACAGCACTCCGTATCGAATGGTAGCTTTGCGAGACAATACAGTCTCTTGAACGACCCACACACGTTGCCACTGTTGCTATCAGCTTATTCCACGAGGAAGGGAAAGAGAGATTGACCCACGGTCTACTCATCAGCCTTGCAAGACCCGCCCAGACTCTGGAAGACCTTGAACCACGCACGTGAGCTCTTGCGAGCACCAAACCATGCCAGTTGCTAGCAACTCCATGTTTTTGTAATGCGACAGTCTTCTCGTGGTTCAAAGCATTCAGCAAAGGATATGAAGTGCCTTCCGCATAGTCCTGTAACAAGCAAAGGGCTCCAAAGACATCGGAGCCAGTGCTGTCATCGTCAACGCGGGGGCGTCTCATCAGCTGTGCATTCACATTAGATGCACTAGAGCGCTTAAAATCGAGCAAATATGCGTGACGCAGCTCATTGTCGTCCGAATCGCCTGTCCATGTCGGTTCTCGGGGCATTTCTTTGGATCTGTAGCTTGTCGAAGCACTAACCGGTGTCTGGACAAAATATCTTCTCAAAAGATCAGTACCGACATCCTCGTTAGCAGCAGGCTCACCCAGCCAAATGATGGTTTCTTTGCTATTACGGTATATTTCACCCATCAAACTAACTTGCTGTGTGCGCTCCGAAGTATTATCTTGGTTGATGCAAAGCGCATCAGCCCAGAGCAGTATGGGATGGTCATGTTGCCGTAGCGTACGAAGGGCGGTAAAAAGGTTCTCGGAAATGAAGATGAGTCTGTCGTTGCATCTTATTAAACGGTTCGGGACAAGCTCTGCATGCCCCCACGTATAGGAAATGGTAATATAGCGGTTTTGAGCTTTAGCTATGGAATAAGGCTGAAGCTGCGCATTGATATCGTCGTCCCGGCGCCCAGGCAGCAAGCGCAGGAGACGAATGGTAGGCGGATCATCAGCCAGTGGGGTGTAGAAATCGTGATCATCATTTTTCTTGTTGAATACTTGAGTAAGTTTCGAGATGATTCGACGAGCCATGGTAATGGGAAAGACGGAGGGGGGGTGTTGCTCGGTTGACATGCTGATTTTAGGGGCTAGTCTGCAACACGTGTTGGGACTGGAACGCGGAGTTGCAGTCATGTCAAGTCTGCAATAGGTAACGCCAGTACCAACCATTCACACATTTGCGATAACATGCCTGGACATCAGTAGAATCAGTCCGTCATACTGTCGATACCACTCGGAATCCGATAGAGAACAATGCCACACACCTAGTGATACATCGGACGATAGCCACATGACGTCAGCAGCGCACGATCCCGAAACGGCACATCTCATTGCCCGCCCTACCTGCGGTCAACACGTTTTTGGCTTTCCTATCGCCTGCGGCTTGGGCACTATGTAGTATACTTTGCCTTTGCTCGACAAACTTATATCTGCTGCTCAAACAAGTCACTCTTTGCTGCATCGGGAAGCGCCGGAGGGACGTCAGTCTGCACTAAAAGCCCCGGCGGTGGCCAAAGAGCGTGAACGGGTAGCGCCCGCATGACAAGCTATCGGGTCACCTAACCCGTGCCTAGCGGTGTGGGAAATGGAAAAGAAAGCGATCAAATAAAGCCCCGTGGGCGTCACTAGCCAGCCGCATGGGTGATCGTCATGGCTTTGTGCTTTAAAGCCCGTGTGTCTGGCACGTTGAGCCCTTTGCCTCGAATTTTATTTCCCCTTCGATTGCCCAAAACATGCGACCGAACACATTCCTCCAAACTACAGTTAGTCTTTTAGCAACAACACACCTAGCGCTAGGCTCCACTAGCAGCGAGCAAGACCAATTCAAGCATGTAACATGGGATGACGACAACTCTGTGATTTCAACACATGCTCTAGACCAAGGCCACTACCAATCCCGCTTGACGCTCGCAAACGGCTATTTTGGTATCAATGTCGCTTCCGCGGGGCCCTTTTTCGAAGTCGATGAACCAGTCGATGGCGATGTCATAAGCGGATGGCCGCTTTTCAGTCGACGACAGGCTTTCTCTACTATAGCGGGCTTCTGGAACAGCCAGCCACGAACCGTTGGATCCAATTACCCATGGCTCTATCAATACGGTTGGGAGAGCTTTATTGCTGGTATCCCACATTGGAGCGGCCTTATTGTTGAAGCAAATGGCGAGTTCCTGAATGCATCCGTCAACCCCGATCATATCTCTGATTTCGTCTCAAGCCTGGATGTAAAAGCTGGCATTGCGAGTTGGCGGTACAACTGGAAACCGGGTGGCCAGGGTGATGGAACCATCGATGTCAACTATCAGCTTTTTGTTCACAAGCTCTACATCAACAAGGCAGTAGTCAGGCTGCGACTTACATCCACTCGGGACGATAATGTGACTGTATACGACATTCTAGATGGGGATGGCGCCGTGCGCTCGGATTTCGTTCAGAAGAAATTTGAGAAAGACACCCCGACTATCTGGTCCGCCGTAAGCCCAGGAAATATCACAAACGTTACCGCATACGTATATTCGACTTTGGGTGCTAGTGACTGGGTCGACCTCAGTGCACGTAGCGAAGTAGCAGATGGCGTCTTTGGTAGTGGCAACGAGTCGACTATCGCGCAGTCTGTACCAGTCGAACTAACCGCATTCCGACCAACCGAAGTGACTAAGTTTATCGGAGTCGCTTCAACCGATGCCTTCCCTGATCCACAAAGTGTAGCTCGGGACGCTTCAATATCGGGCGCAAAAGAAGGCTTCTACAAGCTTCTACAGTCCCATATTAAAGAATGGGAATCAATCTTGACGCCAGACGCTATCGACGACTACCACCTACCGAACGGGTCCCTCCCCAATGATCCAGATGTACAGCAACTACACATCCTGGCCCGTACAAACCCTTTCTATCTTCTTTCAAACATGGTTGGGCCAAACGCTGTGGCTGCAGCAGGCAATAACACAAAACTCGACATCTACAGCATCCCAGTTTGCGGTTTTGGCTCTGACTGTTATGGAGGTATGATCTTTTGGGATGCAACAGTTTGGATGGCTCCAGGAATCCAAGTGTCGCATCCTCAACATGCGCAAAATGTTATCAAATATCATGTGGAGCATTTCGAGCAGGCGCAGCGAAATGTCCAAACAGCCTTCACTTCGAGCAAGAACCAAACAGGCCGCTTCACTCCTGGAGGTGCAGTGTATCCTTGGACTAGTGCGAGATTTGGGAACTGTACAGGCACCGGGGCCTGCTTCGACTACGAGTACCATCTCAACGGTGACATGAGCCTGGCCTTCAACAATCATCTCATCATCACCGGTGATGGCGAATACTTTAATGACACCTTGTTACCGATATCGAACTCGATTGCACACTTTTTTGGCCAAGTCCTGGACTTCAATGAAACTTCTGGAAACTGGGAGCTATGGAATGCGACTGATCCGGACGAGTATGCCAACCAAGTCAACAATGTGGGATTCACTACCGCCTTGATCCAGAAACACTTCCTCGAAACAAACGAATTCAACTCTTGGTTTGCGCGTAGTCCAAACGCTAGCTGGAATGAGAAAGCCGCAAAGATGCGGCTCCCAGTTAACGATAACACTGGAATTATCGTTGAATATACTGGCATGAACGGGTCGGTAGCAGTCAAGCAAGCAGATGTGGTCCTCATAGATGATCTGTTACATTATCCGAATCCCTACAGTTTGACAAATCTGGACTTTTACGCAGCGAAACAATCCCTTGATGGCCCCGCAATGACATATTCATCATTCGCTGTCGTGGCCAACGAGGTCTCTCCATCCGGATGTTCGAGCTTTACCTACCACGTCTACTCGTCTTCGCCCTACCTTCGCGCACCGTGGTATCAGTATTCTGAACAGCTGATCGACAATGTGGAAGAGAATGGAGGAACACATCCTGCATTCCCTTTCCTGACCGGTATGGGTGGAACGAACCGAGTCGCAATCTTTGGCTACCTCGGCTTGGGTTTATACTACGATAGGTTGGACATCGATCCCTCTCTGCCACCACAAATCCCATACCTAAATTACCGCACCTTCTACTGGATGGGTCACGGCATCAACGCCACTTCAAACTCAACGCATACAACATTAGAGCGCTTGCCACGAGATAAATACACACTCCCTTCAGTAAATGCAACTTATTTCGACAAGCCTATCCCCGTTACAGTCGGCACTCGCAGCGGCCGAAACGTCACCTGGCACGAGCTCGGCCAAGAACCACTTGTGGTACGCAACCGACCCATGGGCGAGACCCTTACCGTAGGCGGCAACATCCTCCAATGCAAATCTCTCCTCCGATCCCCTCAACGCAACAAACCAGGTCAATTCCCCATCGCCGCAATTGACGGCGCCGCAAGTACAAAATGGCAACCTGAGTACGCAAACACCACCAGCTACCTCACTGTTGACCTCGGAGACTCTGCCTTCTACCCCATCAGCGAGATCGTAATGGACTGGGCGAATCAGCCACCTGCGCATTTCGAAATCTATTTTTCAAACTCTTCAATTCCGCCATTTTCGGCACAGCTGGCTGAGGATGTGAGGAGAGTGATAGCTGGCAGTGTGGATATCAGTGCGCCATGGGATCCCGTGACGGCGTACGAAATTAAGCCGTATGTTGGTAATCAGACGAATGTTACGCTAGCGGAGAGTGTGTGGAGTGGGAGGTACGCGCATTTGGGAGTGAGAGGGAACCAGTTTAAGGAGGATGCGACGGATGGACCAACGGTTGCGGAGTGGAGTTTGGTTCGTGAGAAATTTTGAGTTGGTATGGAGATGGTCTGGTATATAGAACTTTTCGAGTAGATCTGCGTAGAAAGTTTGAGATCGCTTGTATGATAGGTTGAAGAGATGGTCTGGCGTTAGATTTAGAAATACAAGGGTTGATTTTTGTCAGCAGTTGGGTTTTGCGATGTAAGTTTCGTTCATACGTTCGTTTTCTGGGATAGCAAAACATATCGCTGTATCATGAGTTATTTGTCACATTATTATTAGTGGTGTTCATCAAGTAAATGGGTGTTGTAAAACAGTAAATAAATACAGCGCAAGAAATTTGGTGGGATTATCTCTTGAGATGAAGTCATTTAATAGTAGGTTGCCTATTTACTTCATCTCGTAACAACAAAGCTAGTGCAAAAACCAGCCCCAATAGTCTCTATCTTACCAGGAATCTCAATCTTGTTCCAGAACTCACTGACCATATCATTCTTAATCTCTTGCTTGAGATTCTTCAAATTACCACAGTTCCCATGTTTTCCCCAACCCCAAGATATCAATCCACCATCTCTTGTTACCGCAAGCACATGATCCGAGCCCATAGCAATTTTATCCAGAAGCGGTAGATTTGGTGGTAGTAATCTCCACATGTTCTCTTTCCCCCATGCGATGAGCGTCCCGTCGTTAAATAAGACAAAGATGGCATGCCATGTAGTGCCGATATCTTTCCAGCCCCTGACGTGTTCTGGCATGCTTGAAATGATATTGAACTTGTCTTTTCCAAGTAGAATATGATCTCCGGAAGATGGCTCTCCAATAAGATATGTGAAGTCCTTGCCGCAGATCACTTTGATTGGCTTGAACGGTATGTCTTTAATTTTGGTCGGAGTCGTAACTTTGCCAGTAAGACTATCACCAAGTTGACCTAGGCGAGCTTTTCCCCAGCCATAGACTGAGCCATCGTCGAGAATAGCTACGTAATGCCAAACTCCTGCAGCAAAGTCGATAATTCTACCAGGAAGTGGCATAGTAATGCGTGTCAATGTCTCAGCACTGGGTTGCTCTTCACGACCAAGTTCTCCCCATTGGCCGGTACCCTCAGTGCGAATGTAGCTCTCTCCAGAAGCGCTTCTCGTGATGTATGCAGAAGATTCGCAAGTGGCTGCAATCAAAGATGCATTTTCATACACTCTCTTGAACACAGGGATTCGAGATTCCTTTTCTAAAGAGTCCAACTGACCCTTGCGATTGTCGCCGACTCCATAAACGACTCCATCTTTGCATAAGATTAAAGTATGGTTGTCACCTCCTCGTACTGCAAGAATATCCGCAAGAGGTAGCGTACTGGAAACTTTGGTCGGTACGTTGACAATTTCCGCAGCAGGTAGCCCGAGTTGCCCCTCTCCATTGCTACCGAATGCATACATCTGGCAAGGCATGTTGTAAGACTGCGAGGTAGGATGTCAGGTTAGCTGGTATGACTATCAATCGAAGATGAAAACGTTCAACTTCATTGCTCCAGCAACATCAGCCCCATTAGGTGGTGTTTCTGGAAACTCTCAAGTCACGCACCGTGGCAAAGAAAGTCTCCAGTAGGATGCGCACAAGGCTTCATTGGCACGCTAGCCACTGAGAACGCTAGTCGCTTACAGGGATCGGGGCGCGCACGGACGCCCACTGAATATTCGCTGCCGGCGTAGACGAACTTCAAACTCCACGACGACCGCAAAACCGACGACGCCCACCCAATACTAACCGCACGCACATCCCACAGTCGCCCAACATGGCCTCCCAGAGTGTGCAATGCTTCGGCAAGAAGAAGACTGCGACTGGTACGAAGATGCTCCCCCACGCCGCGGAGCGTGTTTTCTTTGAAAGAAGTCGCACAATGGCTAACATGAACACGAACAGCTGTCGCCCACTGCAAGGTACACATGCACTGCCTACCGATCGAATGCGCAAAAAACACGAACAATATACTTACGATGAACATATAGGCCGGAAAGGGTCTCGTCAAGGTTAACGGAAAGCCTCTTTCCCTCATTCAGCCCGAGGTTCTGCGATTCAAGGTCTACGAGCCCATCCTGATCCTCGGTGTTGACAAGTTTGGTACGCATACACACATATGCACACACGCGTGCTGCAAAGAAGCATTTAGACGCGGAAGATATACGAGGAACAATGGAAGCTAACTGTTGCTGGTAGCCGATGTCGACATTCGCGTCCGCGTCTCTGGTGGTGGTCACACCTCGCAAGTCTACGCCATCCGCCAAGCCATTGCCAAATCCATCATCGCCTACTACCAAAAGTACGTCGACGAGCATTCCAAGAACCAGCTCAAGCAGGCCCTCATCCAGTACGACCGCACACTGCTCGTTGCCGACAACAGGCGGTGCGAGCCCAAGAAGTTTGGTGGTCCAGGTGCCCGCGCCAGGTACCAGAAGTCTTACCGTTAAGCGGTTTTTTTCTGGCTTACTGGCGCGAGGAGGAGGAGAAAGAGAGGACAAGGGGTATATGGGAGCGAGCATGGAGCGGTGTTCATCCTGGGCTTTTTCATGGGGTCTTCTACTGTCTGCTATCTACTCCTCAAGGACGAGGTTACGTGACATGGCGCGCAACGGCTGCCTGATACGATCCCGCGGCTTGTGACGATAAAAATGAATACATTGGTTGCAAGAACACGGAAAGCAAAGAAAAGCCCATGGAGTGAGGAGTAACACGACACATACACATACATACATGCCGTGAAGCAGTAGGGACAAGTGAATGCCAACACCCAAATCAATCGATCACGAATCTGGTAAATCTACAGTGAACTAAAATGTATGCGACACACGGGTGTAATGTTTCCATCTCCAACACCAACGCTTTCCATGCAAGAAACCCTAACACACTACCAATGTGACACCCCTTTTTCTAGTCCTATTTCCGCCCCTATTCAGAATGACCGTAGACTATTGTTCGTATACCCGTAGATGTAGAGAGGTGAAGGTTTCTAGCCGTCGCTCCCACTGCTCCTAAACGCAGCACATAACGCAGCGTACTGGTGGGTAAGGTCGAGGACGTGCTGGGGCAGTGAAGTTCCCTGGACGATGCTGCGGATCTTGACGGCACCTTCCTCTTCGATGAGTTTTCGGATGGTGTAGAGGAGAGCTGGCGAGAACTGTCGAGCGTGTTAGTAATTAGAATGTTGAGTGCTCAGAGGAAAAAACGTACCTCAGAGTACCAGCGGTACTGCCAGGTGATGAGGCGAATCAGTGCTGCCGTGACATCTCTGACTTGCTTCCTTCCTTCGCCCAGCTTGAGTACGCCCTTCATTGCCTTGGGAGAGAACTTGATTTGCAGACAGTTCTCGTATGCTTCTACAGCTTCCTCAGTGTGATGCAATCTCTCCGCCAATTCACCCAGGATCTCCCACTCTTCGCTACTCTTCTTGTACAGCAATTGCTGCTGGCGGTATTGCGCCATTTCTGTACGCCATATTGTGTATACGCGTAAGTCTTCGTATAGTACCATGAAGAGGTTGTCAAGCCAGCGCTCACACAAGCGCTTGTTCTGGAAGTGTGTATAGTTTGGTTGGGCAGGGTTGCCGTTCTGGTTGTCATGTAGGTGAGGGTCTTCACTGCCAGCCTTTACAACTTCAGAGGCAACCGTATGGCCGGGCTTTTCCAGTTCAGTCTCTGTACCAGCAGCTGAGCCCTCGCCATTCTGGGTATTGCTTGCATCTGTGGACGGACGTTCCTGGACTTCGCCATGCTCGCTACCGTTGGCTTGTTGGGCCTGCGAATTAGGAGATGGAGCCCGGAGAGCTGTTGTGCTTGCACTGCGAGAGTGCGGTTGCTGGACAGTCTTCTCGTGGCGATACTCCTCTTCCATTACAAAGACTTGGCTTCTTATCTTTAGGAGTTGATCCCAGCCGATCTTCTTTGTGATTTCTGTGAGCAGGATGTATGCTTTCAGGAAGGTACCCTTGAATCCGGCTGCGTGTAGTTTTCTCAGGGTTGGATGTACGAGTTCCATGTCGTCGACATTGGAATCTTCTATCTCGTCGCACATTGCTTCGGGCATGATAGGCAGAAAGACCCTCTGGGGCTCTGGCATTCGCGGAGCATCCTTGTCCTGATACGTGAACATTGGACATGAGTTGAGTGTCAGCAGTGCAAGATCCCACTGCTCGAGGCTGACATATATCTCCGCCAAGCGCGCCCATGTGCCAAACTCGCTAGGTGCGGAGACGACACTCCTCTTTGCGATTTCCAGTGCGAGATCACCACGGCCCTTCTTGTTGCAGAACTCTGCTTGGCAGTCCAGTAATGAGTAATCCATGGGCAATTCTTGAATAGCACCGTGCAACAATTGTACAGCTTTGACCTCCTCATCTGCTTCGATGTAGACGCGGGCGAGGAGCGAGGAGATCTCTGGATCACGAGTGCGCAGTTTTTCGAAGAGATTGATGCCCGAGGTGTATCTCCCGGTCGTGTGAATGTAGTTGAGCAGACCTGTCGTCAAGTGATTTGAGACGAGATTGGGGACTTGAATTTCAGGGTCGGATCCAAGTTGCCAGCCTTGATGGTATTAGTCAAATTTCTTCCATGTTCAGTGTGCGGCCCACCATTGAAGAAGAGACGCTCTGCAGCATCCAGAAACCTGTGCTCGCTCTCTGTGCTTGTGATTGGGTTGAATCTCCGTACACCAACAATCTTCTTGATAGTATCGCCCGAACCATCGTCGGCGTACGAGTATGCGCGCAAGACGCTGCAGAGATAAGTTTCTAGCCAGAGTTCATCGGTGGCTACTCGTTTGTCGCCGCGCTCGTCAATGCAGTAGCTTTCAACTGTTCCTGGGATATAGACTTGAACGCGCATATCGAGCCGCGAAAAGGCATTGTAGCAGCTGCCTTGGTCAGCCAATGACTGCACCAGGACTTGGAGCCAGCCTACCAATACAAGCCCGATACTACTTTGTTTTGCTTGTCATGCGCAGAATATGTAAGCGTGTTGATGTAAGCCGCTAGGCTAGCGGACGAGGAAGCGTCTATGCCGGTGACATGATGGTAGACACCAATCTAATCACATGTCAAAGGCCATGGCTCGTAAGTATGCACGGTCGAAGGTGCTACGGACCTGTTTTGTCGCAGACTTGATAGGCTGTTTTATCAGGTGGACCAGGTCTGGCGGACCCAATTCTCGGAGCGTCTGTAGAGATTCGGAGCGCGCTTCGATGGCCGAGTGTAGCTCGTCTTCGTAGATTCTGGGGGAGTGTCAGACAGGCCACATAGACAGAGGTTCTCTGCGACAGAAAAAAGCGTATGCGAATGCGAGTGGCGCATGCAGAGGCAGAAGCAGAGGCAGAGGCAGCAATGTGTCGGGACAACTAGTAGTCGAAGCGGCATGGGTGGCATACTCAGGAACAGCTGGCGATGTCACCATGGCTCAATTGGCGCCGCACAGAGCGGGGTGGCAGGGGAGCGGTGATGGGAGGAGAATGGCGGGGTGGATGCCAGGCGAGGGGCTTCGTTCGTATGCGCTTGGGGCTCCCGGGCGTTGCGTGTCAAGAATTCCGTGTCCTTGGTCGGCATCAAGGCAGGCACGGAAGCTGCATCGCGGAGGTGCCCCGTTGCCAAGGCCCCTCATCCCTGCCACTCATCATTCACAGTCGCGTCGCGTCACGTCACCTAGACGCTGTGAGACTGCACAAAGTCGAATTCGGCCTCTGTTACACTGTCCATAAATTGCATACCCAGCGGAAGTGCTCTCCATGCTTGCCTGCTGCTTACTGTCCCTGTTGCAAATGCCGTACAAAGTTTCTGTGTCGCCCTGAGGCTCTCCCCGTCATTGTCTAACCAACCACGGCACACATCATGGTAAGTCGAATACCTATGTATTCAGGCCCTGCAGCCACAGCGCCCACTATGCTCCTTCATCTTCTCTGACATGGCGCAGTCGAAAGCTTCAGTATGGCATCCCTACAATGTGGAAATCCCCGAGGAAACCGCCGAAGAGGAAGTCGACGACACCCAGGAGATCCAGATCGAAGAAGCCTTGAAACTCTACCAGACTGCCTTGAAACTCCATTCCGAAGGCCCTGCATCCTTTGAAAAGACTGCTGCAGCATACAAGGCTCTATTTGACTCAGATATCTTCAAGTACGCCGAATCGCTCTCGGAATTCCAACGGCACGAAGTCTTTGGCGAAGACCTAGTCTTCGACACCATCTTGGAGGATGATTATGACGCAGGCCCCGTTCAGTCTACCGGCGCTGCCGACAGCGCCCCGAATACCCTCCAACAGATCCTCCATTTATCGTACAAGAATCATGGTCAGTTCTTGCTAGAGTCCATGCAGCATTGGGTTACAACGAACGGCCCAACACCTCAGGTGGAAGCTTGGAGCAAGATTCGCGGCGCCCTCAACTACTTTGCCGAAGCGTTGGACAAGGAGGATACCGATCTCGACCTGTGGCTGCGAGCTGCTTCGGTCGCCGCCATGCTGGGTAGTAAGCGCCTCACGCGCTATTGTCTAGAAGCAGTACTTGATGGAAATGACGAACAGTGGGAGAGTTTATTACGACTGCCAGGATTGGAAGAAGGATTTGCTGGTCAACAGCTACGTGAACTTGTTGAACGACTGGAAGATAACGTTTCTTTGCGACAGGCACCCTTGTCACTGATGAAGCGGAAGAAACTATCAGAGATGCTAAGGAAGAGGCTGAATCCATTTCCATTTGCACCTCTTCCTGCTGACGTTGCCCTTGCTGAAAACCTTCACAATATCAAGGCTGCGCCAGAGACTGTGACACTGAGCCTGACAAAGTGGGATTGGGCAAGCGTAGGCGAAATCATCCTCCGGCAGTTTCAGGCAGAGCAGCAGGGAATGGCATCCAATGTTCCTCCAGGGTCAAACATAGTGTTCAGCATTCCTCCTGATAGTGGCACCCCAGACCGAGTCGAGCTTGCGCCTGAATTGGAACCCACCGAGCTTGCACAGAATACCATATCGGCGGCACCAGAGTCTACGCCACTATCGAAAACTGAAGGGCCTACTGCTGCTGCTGCAGCCGAAAAGGATGGCGATGATACCATCATGGAAGAACAAAGTACCGAGGCTGATGTCAAGAGTGAGGAAGTCACATCAACTCTACCACTGGAAGTCGCACCAGCTCCGTCTCGCAAGCGGTCTACGGACTCTGCTGGACTACCAGAAACTGCTGAAGGAGGCCGATCGCGCAGTAAGCGAATTCGTGGACGAGATACAATCACCGAACCAGCCCCTGGAAGTGCTGCACAAGAAGCTAACAAGCAGCTTGATGCTCAGTTAGAGCCCTACACGCATGCAGATCAATGTCTGTATGAGATCGTCAAGGACATATACTCACGCCTTGGTGTCGAGGGTATCAAGGACCCCACTGAATTGCGTAGCCTCGTCACCGCGCTTCTGGAAACGTCTGCTCCTAGCATTACAGATCCTATTGACAAGGCAGCTTGCGATGTTTTCACTGCGCTTCGAAGTGGGCACATGAAGACTGCACAGATAATTCTGAGCTCCGATTCTTTCGATCTGCTAGGAGTAACTAGAGAACACGGGTTGAACGCATTCTTGGGCTTCTCTAAATCGAGTTCAAGTCAAGCCTGCACCAAGCCAGTCTTGGGTAGCGAGGGGTTGAACTCATTCGCGCGAAGTGTAAACAGTAATTGGTTCACAACCCAGGAGGTTGCATTTGCTTGGATTGAGAGTTTGTTTTCTCCCGGGTTCTGTCTACCCTCTGGATCCCGTGCCACAGATCAATCAAGTTACCTACACTTCAGATGGGCAGATGATCTTAAGAGGAGCATTGTCCAAATCATTGTTCACATCGATGAGTTCATCTACGAACGCATGCTCGAGCGTGTCGAGCAGCTCAACCGCAAGATGCTGGATGCTAGTTACCAATCTCGAAAGTACGAACTGTCCAACTTTGATGCCGCACAGATTGAAATAGTGGAGGCCTTGTTTGAGCTGCACTTGGATATCTATTCGCTTATCAAGCACCCACACAGCACGATAGACATCAATACGCGAACTCTTCAGAGCGACCGGTTGCAGCGATGGTCCCAACTCGCACGAGATGTTATACAGTTACGATCTGACTGTTTACCAGGCCAGGATTTGGATGACCTGGCTCTTCGTCATATTTGGGCTACAGTGTCGCAAATGAGTGTTAGCGATGACGTGGCACCAGAGCATGTCTTGTCTGCTATGGCCCAGCTGAAGACCATGTTTGAGCATCTGGGCGATCGTACGATTCAATTGCAGAACAACGCTGTAATGCCCGAGCTATCGACTGCTGCAATTGATCGAGAACTTGTCCGCATCAGCATGAAGGACTTCTTCCTTAAGGTTTTCGACCAAGACGAGCAGGATCCAGTCACAGTAATAGAAAGTCTGGAGCCAATCTTGGAATTTGAAAACACAAGGGAATCAAACATGACGATTCAGCCAGCTGGCTCTGATGAAGGGGCACCTGATGCACAAAGCTCGCCCACTGGAAGTATCGAAGGCTCATCCACAGATAAACAGCTTGGCCATGCGTCTCCAATTCTGGAGATGCGCAAGTTTCTTGATTCTGCAAACGTAAACGTACGACTGTCCCTCTGGAACAGGTTACGTGTAGCCTATGAAGCCATCGACTATCCTTCCAAAGTTATATCGTGCTTTTTACGAAGCATCGAAGCCCTTGTGGATGATCTCGGATCTTCGGCTTTTCAGGAATTGCCAACACTTGATCGCCAGCATAAGTTGTTGACCCGATACCGAGTTATTGACGACATGGTCGTTAAGATCCTTCAGATAATACGCGACGATGGGACGCCGTTCGACTGTGTTTACTACGAGCATGTGCAATCTTCCATGTCGGCAATTGCTAAACTGTTGCACATCATGTCGGCTGCGGACATGCTCAGAGACTACATCCGCATCAACCATACCCCTATGCCTCGAGTCGAATCCCATCCGAGCCAGGCATTCGTCAATATGATGGCACGACTTGGCGACATCCATCTACGGCTCTGGATGTTACAGTATCATTTGCTCAAGGATGGCTTGTCTCAAGACTACGAAAGCTTCCCTACTCCTTCCGAGGATCTATTCGAATACATTCGTCATGTGCACCATGCTACTGGTGTGCGTGGCTTCTGCCATCTATCGAACCGTCAGTTTTTGAGGCTTGCGAAGGATGAGTTGCTTCGCATTGACGATGTTGTTGATGGTCACAGCTATGCCACCGAGCTCTGCCAGGTTCTTCACGATCTTTATGGTCTGAAGCTATTCATCGAACCTTTGGAGTGCCAGGATTTCCAGACCACACCGGATGCGCTTGACAAAAAGACTGCCTTCAGCATCTTGTCATTCGCCATGTCACAAGTTGCAAAGGTTGACCTGAAAGATTTGCCCAAGACAGAACTCAAAGGAACCATCGAAAAGATACATACCGCGTTAGGTAGGCCCAAGCAGAACGATGATATCACTTTCAACCGCAAGGTAATCTCATCGTACTTCAAGTCACCTGTCAACCCTGTCGAGTTGTTTGGATGCTTGAAAGGTGTTGGCTCGCTTGCAACCAAGCATGTTCCTGCTGAAGATGCCGTGGCTGCATCCAAAGGTTGGTATTACATGATGGGCAACATTGCACTCAGCAAGTTCAAGTCACAAAAGCGCATGACCCAGGGACCTACGGAGGACTTGAACTATGCTCAAGCGTTCTTTGTACAGGATCTAGAGCACTCCATTGAGCGTTGGGAGACGTGGTATCGCCTTGCGCAAGCCAATGACACGCAGCTCGAAGAGGCGGTCTCATGGAACGCGGATAAAATGAACAGCAACAGCGCTGATGTCGTCAACTTCCAACGGGCTGCAATCAACTGCTACATCATGGCTGTAGCCTGTGCTGTGCGCGACCCTGACGTAGGACCGAATACCCAGGCCAAGATTGCGCAGATGTATACAGAGTTTGGGAACCGCATATACGCATCTTCCAGGGAGCCTTTCAGAATGGAGGCGTTCCAGATTCGAGAGACTGAGAAGCGATTCTGCAATCTCCAGACGAATGCAACTCTATACAAAGAGGTTGCATTTGCTCCATTGCAGGCTTACACAGCCTGGAAATTTGCAAGCACACTTTACAAACGAGCAATCAAAGGCAACCCGAACAAATGGTGGAATCACTACATGCTTGGAAAGTGCGGATGGAAGATGTGGTCTACCAACGACAGCGCCATGCGGTATGCCATGTCCATTGGCGCGCCTGTTGCTCCACAGCATGGCCCAAGCTGGGAGTCGGTCATTGAGGCCTTCACTAGTGCGATCGAGACACTGCCCGGAAAGAAAGGGCGCAGCGGTGAGCCAGTTCTTGAACCTCACTACAAACTAGTATCCGTCACCCATAAACTTTTCCAGCGTGGTGCCATCGACTACGAAAAGGGAGTGGAGATTCTCTCAAATACATCGTATGCCCAGAACATCAAGGCTCCAGAAAGCGAAAACGACTGGCAGAGATACATTCTTGCTATCTTGAAGTCCTTGCGTGCAGCAGACAAGTCAAGCTGGCACCATCGTGTCATATCACGCGTTGCTCACACAATCTACGATAACGAGAAGAATCAGTCTGTGGCTCAGGATGCTAAGCATGAACTTATGCAGCAGATGTTTACTAAAACCATGGCTGTCCAGGTCTGGAAACCCGAAAACGAGCGACCTGGTAGGCACTTTGTATACACCACTCGTTACACCAAGTTTTTCATCGAACTTCTGGACTTGACTGAGGACAAAGCCAATTTCGAAGCGCTTGCGAAGCGTGTAAGGCGGAAACAGACAGACTTTTTTGAACATCAGAAGCTGTGGCAAGATCTATGCACGCGTTACCTCAAGTTGCTACGAAGAATTGGTAATATACCTGAAGGACAAGAAGATTCGGCTTTCAAATCCGTCAATCATGATGAGTTCAACACGCTGGCTCTTCGTTTGGAGGCGTGGTGTCAAAACTCGGCTACGCAACACCCTGTACTGGATATCCTCCGCGACGCGATCGAACTCAAACGCCTCAATAACGGCATGATGAAGCCTCTCCTTATTGACGATCTCATTGGAGATACTTATGCGATGTTGTATACATCGATTGGTCCCACTTTGTCACCCCTCCCATCGGAACAAGAACAACAACAGCAGCAGCAGCAGCAGCAGCAGCAGCAACAGCAACAACAAGCGCTGCTTGCTCAGCCTCGACCAACACCTTTTGGAGGCTCTGTAATATCTACAGGCGCTGTACCCATCTCATCGTTGATGCAAGTTCAGATCGACGGCTCAGCAGAAGGAAGCACCGGGTCACCTTTCAGCATGTATCATTCTGGTCAAATTCCATCTCAGCACACCACTCAGGTGCCTCAGATGGTGGCACAACCTGAACAACCAGCAAAGCCCAGAGTCAAGGCAGTCGGTCGCAGGGAAATCTCAAGAAGGGCTGAAGCATGTGTCCAGAAGACTGCTGCTGCCTCCGCTCAATCTACCTCGATTCCAATTCGATCACCCCCGCCTGCCAATGAGGCTCTCTCTACCGCCACTGATCAAGCAGCAGCATCACCAGACAAGACCGCTGAACCCACTGCTGAACCGAACGCGTCTACCGAAAATCTCCAGCCTTCCTTCGACCAAAGCGAAACAGCCACCGCCGCTCCAAGCGTAAACAACGATGAACCTGCGCCCAGTGCCCCCGCGTCCGTCCACGACGATGCTGACGACGAAAGTGAGCTTAGCGAACTCGACGAAGACGAAGTCGAGGAAATCCACCAAGAAGTCCAAAACGACACTTTACGTCGCTCCGCCTCCATTGCTGCCTTGAACAAACCTCTCTTCCCTCACTTGGCCGCTGCAGCAGCAAAGATGGCTCCTGTGGATAAACGCATCGAGTCTGAACGCGGCGATGATGATCCGGATGATGATGAGACGATGGAGAGTGATACTATTCATGTTACTGCTCCTAGGCCGGCGAGGGCGAGGGATGAGGATCGGATGGATGTGGATTAGAGGGTAGAGAAGTGTTTTTTTCTGGTAGTCTGGATTACGGCCATGGGGTTTGGTGGCTTCTTTCTCTTTTTGGGAGTGGCTGTTTTCTTACTATGTAGTGTATCACTGTACTATTACCTGTCGGATAGTAGTGCACGTCCGTACCTGTTATTCTTTCTTTCAGACTGTGGGCGTATGGAGGGAGAGATGTATTGGTATCACTTGGATTTCTTTTTCTGTTCTCTATCCTGTGTTCTAGATACCCGGTTTTATAGGGCTCGTATGCATACGCAATACATAAACGGCTTTTTTGGAGACCTCGCTGTGCTGATGTGAACTTGTGCGTAGAGTTGGTCTGATTGACGAATGTGTCTTGCTATTTCGCGTGACAGGATTTTTGGCAGAACTTGACCAATTCATTGCGGGTACATTTCGTTGAAGCTGCCATCACTGGTAGTACGAGTGTAATCAGATCGTCATATCTTTTGATGGGTTCCTGTTAAATATGAATTTTGACAACGATGTGCTCATAGTCCAAAAACTAACGAAATGAAATAGCTCACGAAGTAAAGTCTATCGAAATAGTTGACTATACCATCAAAAGAATATGAAATATCACTAACAGATTGCCAGTGTAACGTTCGCTGCGATAAGCTCAAAATACATGATGAAGGAAGGCTGCGCATCCCACCATGCAATGATCAACAGCAAAAGTGGAAGGCTGCACCATTTCCATGCCGAAAAAAGTGCAAAAAAAGAAGTCGCAAATTACTTGGCGGTACTGGGAACTGTAGACACGTTAGAAATGTCTCAGGACCACCAATTTGTGAGGTTGAACGTACTCGAACCCAGGCTGGCGCGGATCTGGATCGGGACAACTGAGTGTCCGCCAGCCACAACGCGACGTCATACCACTAGACCATACCACCGTGGTATTTTTTTGATGACAAAAATTGCAGTTGGTCAATACTAGTACTCGGCAGCATCACATGAAAAGACGCCTTCGAGTTCAAACAAATCATTCCAATGCCGACTGCTGTGAGGGCAAAGGAATTTTGAGCGTGTGTGCGGGGTCGTGAGGTCTGTGCCAATCGCCAGAGGTGGGGCAGCGTTTTTGCTGGTGTTCGGTATATTCTTCCTTTACCCAATCGGTCGACACAGAAAGTAACTCAACATGCCCGCAGGTACGTCTGGGATCCTTTGGAATTGCTGGTACTTTTCTAGATAAGATTTCCAAAATCCATCCAGTCGACGTTGCTGCGAAGGTTGGCGAGCGCACATGTTTGCTCAATTTTTTCTACCTAGATAAAACATACTTCAACCCAATGCTGCACTTGCCCACGCAACTTGCAAATCACTTGAAAATGCTAATTCCCAATAACTAGATTTCTCGTCACCCCGACAATCGCGGGGGAAGCAACGCAAGTCATATCGCGTTGAGGACGAATACTCGTTTCTTGACGAAGAAGATGGACCCGCAGTATCTGGTAACCAATCGCCAGCCGTCCAGGACGATGATGAAGACGAAGACGATTTCATGCCCGACGCCCAGGAAGAGGAGGCTGAAGACGACTTTGAAAATGAGGAAGAGGAGGGTGACGAAGACGAGGATGCAGAAGAAGAAGAGGAGGATTCGGACGACAGCCTTGTAACGCCCAAACGCGGCGCTCATGGGTCAAAAGCTACTCCCGTCAAGCCGCCTACTACGCCGCTTGTTCAGCGCAACAAGCCCTCTACAGAGCACGTGCCCTCGCCTATTACATTCGCCAAAGGCAGTGGTATCAAACTACGCAATGTAGATGCTGAGAACAAGCTGCGGACACGTGGCGTACCCGATTTCGACAAGATTGGAGGTCATGAGCCACGATTGAAAAACTTGTTCGGGCCGGATGGCCAGCATCTTCGACCCGTATTGGCGTCTCGCGATCACTGGAGTTCTCAAGAAACGTTTCCGATTAAAAAGCCTGGGCGCGGTGACTCCACCAATGTTGATTTGGGTGGCTTGAGACGAAGCTTCTTCGAGAATGAGGGTACTAGGGAGAAGGAGAGTAAGGTGTTAAAGCAGTGGTATAAGCACACAGGAAAGGCGGTTTTTGAGGCAGCACAGGCTACTAAAGAGTTTTCTGAGGATGAAGCCAAGGAGTATATGCTGAATGATGGACCAGAGAGTTTGAACGTACTCACTGGACCTGTTAATAGCCCCCAGGTTACCGCCCTCGGAAAAAGCACTTATATGCATGTTGGGCAGTCCTTTCCAGACAAGGATAGTAGAAGGGGCTGGCTATTCAATTTTGGATCCAGGATACAAGACGCTCAATGGGTTACCAAGGAAGACGGTCGAACGCAATATGTCGGCGTCGCTGTTGAGCAGCACCCCATGGATGGAAACCGACCCAAGCCAATGGAAATACCAAAAGCGCCTGCTTTCAGTGCTACAGAGCCATTTCGAGCTTCTATCCAGATCTGGGCGTTTGAGGCTACTGAAGAAGGAGAATTGGATACTTCGAAAGAGCCTAGACTTGAACTTGTCGTTTGCGCCAACTGGGGTGCACCTAAACAGCTGCGGTGGTGTCCAGTCGCTGCTACAGACACAAAAGTAGACTCTGATGATGAGATCGAAACTCATATCGGCATGCTCGCAGTCATCTGGTCAGACGGACGAGTCCGTATACTCGACCTATGCTCCCCGAAGCGTCAAGCCGGACAAGCCCAACCCACATACCTCCACTTCTCCCACACAGCCTTCGAAGTCTCCATCCCCCAAACCGTCCCCTCCTGTCTGCAATGGCTCTCAGGTACCACCCTCGCCGTCGCCACAGCCGCCGGCACCGTAGCCATCTGGACCCTAACCCGCCCCGGCACCCTCTCCCCGTCCCTCCAACCACACAACCCGCGCCCCTGGTTCTACCACCAACTAGCCGACACCTTCATCCTCACCATCTCTTCCGCCTGGCCCTCAAACCCTCACTACCTCTCTATCAGCACCGCCGACGGCTTCGCCCGCCTCTTCGACCTACGCAGCCCCACCGCCGACACCACAGCCTCCATCCGCGGTCGCACCCTGTGTCTCACACAGGCCTGGCACGAGCACACGCAGTCCTTTGTCATGCCCGACGAACACTACATCCTACGGCACACGCCACTCCGCCGCTACTACCATAACCTGTACAGCATGAGACTTGATAATAGCATCACGCGCGTAGCTACAAGCCCCGTGCACCCGGGTGTGCTGGTCGGCGGCACAGACGGCGACGTGCAGACGAGTAACCCCGTGATGCGGATTGCGAATTACAAGGTTGTGCCGTGGCAGCAGAAATGGTTTGTGCATGAGTGGAGAAGCGAAGTCACAAAGTTGATGGTGAAACCCGTCGCTACAACTAACACCCCTAAAGAAAGATCTGTGGATGGAGAAAAAGAAGAAGAAGAAGAAGAAGGTCATGTCAGCGTGGCGACGACGGCGACTGCGGCGGTGGTTCCAGAAGATATTCTCAAACAACCTCTTGTCCGTGTTTCGGAGGGTTACAAGGCAGTGCAGCAGGGTATCGCGAGTAGTGCAGTGTCGAAGAGGAAGGGGAACCCGGAGATTGGGCGGTCGATTAGTATTTTTGAGGAGAGGTCTGCGGTTACGGCTCTGGCATGGAATCCGAATTTGAGATATGGGACATGGGCAGTTGCGGGTATGGGGTCGGGGTTGTTGAGGGTGGAGGATGTAGGGATTGTGGAGAAGAAGAAGTAGAATCGGGGCTGGTGGAAGGGAAGAAGGGGAAAAAGAAGATGCGCGGGGAGGGGAGGGGGATCCTAGTTTTCTTAGATGAAATGTCATTCTCCGTGAAATTACATGTTCACTACACAAGTTAAAATGAATATATAAGCAATTGAATAACACATAATACCCGCAATCTCGACAGTGAAAAAGAAGTAACCTGATTGTTCATATTCCACAATCTCACCTCACCGACCTCATCTTGCACAAAAGCGGTGATTTCTCCCACAAAATATACGTCGCCTGGTCAATCCAGTCGTTGCTCTCATCACAAAGCTCGATGTCAAAGTGATAGTAAGTTTTTGCAGCAATAAGCCGAATCTCATGGTATGCCATACTACAGTCACACACACACACACGTTAGCACAGCCTCCTTTTTTTTTCCGAAAGAGAACAAAGAAATATTTGACATGAATCCAAGGCGGAAAGCAAAGAACTTACTTCTTCCCAAGACAATCCCTCGACCCGATGGAAAAAGGCTGAAGACACGCCTTCTCATCGCTGTCAAACTCGGGGTCACCCAGCCACCGTTGGGGCAGAAACTCCGTTGGGCGCTTGAAGTTCCGCTCGCTCATGTACATGGCATGTTGTGGAATGCCCACAGTGATACCAGGGGGCACAAATTCGCCACAGATAGTAGTTCCGTCTGCCGGTGTGCGACGAGGCAACGTGAGAGGAACTGGCGGGTAAATACGAAAAGCTTCCTTGATGCAAGCAGCGAAGTAGGGTAAAGCGGCGAGGCGTTCCATGGTCATGTCGTCTGTGCTCTCGAATTCGTTGCGTATCTCCTGAGACAGTTTTGCCATGCATTCTGGGTTGCGGAGGAGCAGGTATGTCAGGCCTGATACGAGGGTTGCTGTAGTTTCCGTGCCTGCAATCATGAAGACGGACGCGTTTGAGTCCATTTCTGGTCGTGTTAAACCCTTGCCTTCCTTCTGGCTTAGCACCATGTCCCAGAGATCGACGCCTTGGCTATCGCGACCTTTTTCGAGGCGTTTTGTGACACGTGTGGTGGAGTATTTGTTATGGTTCATGCGTTTCTTAGTGAGGGAGGCCGGTGCGATCATGGGGAATAATTTCCATAGCAATGGGTAGAACCGCATTAGGGCCATAATGCTTGAGACCTTGAGGGCCCCAAAGATGCTACTGACCCACGGATCGTATTCGGCGTTGTCGAGCATGTGGAGGGGCTCGCCAAACGTTAAATCGCCCATAACATCGAAGGTGGTAAAGTTGAAGAGCCGGACGAGATCGAATTTTGTTTCTGGATTTTCTTGTATGCCTTTTTTCAACACGCTTACGAGTTGGTTGATGTACTTGAGGAAGAGAGGTTCTTGCTGTTTTAGAGCGCGATCCGAGAAGGCTGGACTAAAGATTTTTCTTTGGCGAGTATGAACGTCATCTGGTGCATTGATAAGGCTGGGTACCCCGTTGAGACTCTCTGTGTATCTTATGGGATCTTTATAAGGCAAAGAGCCTGCTGTTCCTTTTGTACCATGACCGTGGATCTGGAAGGCCGTCAGTCAACGCCGTATAGAAAGTAGGCCAAGAATTTACTCACATCTTTCCATGCACTAGGATCAATGAAACTTAGTTCATTGTAAGCAACCCGAACTATTGGTCCGTATTTACGGTGCAGATATTGATAGAGCTTGTCTCGAGAGCCGTTTGCAACGGCAATGTGGGTTGGAATGCGTGATGCGGCTAACAGTTTGGGGCCCGGGTATTTGCTGAGGGGATGGAAATAAATTCGATACACGGCTACTGCAACAAAGCGAAAGATAACCTGTCATGAGTCAGCGTGGCAGCCTCAAAATGACTTTGAGCAAGTCGCTATAGTTGAGGACATGCTAACCAAAGCTATCAAAGCGCCAAAGAGGCTCAGGAAAGAGGCCATCTCGAAGGAGCTTGGTGACGTTGGCAGAGGCGTTGTATTGCAGCAAAGGGAGAGAAGAGGCAGCAGCCCGCTACGTAGGACGCGGGTCCTATAGCCTGGAGCAAGCGTTCTTTATACTGGTTACTAACGGTAGATATAAGGTTCCGTTGGCCGATCCGTAAACAACATGGAATGGCGCCGTTCTAGTCCGCGGCCAATCAGCAGATGTGTTTCATAGTCGCTTTATGGACGTGGGCAATGTCAATTGCGCGGCCCGTCAGTGCAGACTATTGGATATCACACCAATCAGACAAACGACCATATGTGAGGTCCAGATATCTCAAGCAGACAGCTGAGCGAATCTCTGCGTCACACCACATGCTAGTAGTAGCCATCAGGAGCATGCCTGTCATACATTAATTCATGGGTTCGGGCGACCAACAGAGCACAGGATGATGTCAGCCTGTCAGCCACATACCCAGCCGTTACAAGAGGTCAGTGCGCCCATCAGATCGTGACTTCGCGTTAGCGACGTTCCCTGACTGTCTTGGACGCTCCCAATTTCAACCTACCAAAAAAAACATAAAGAAACAAAAATCATGGCAGCGAGACCGACGCAAAGAGGCATATCAGCCTTATTCAAGGTCTCCTCTTCGAGAACAACACCATTAGCATACAGGATACAAACCCGTACACTATCTTCCTCGCGCATCAACGCCGCATATAATGCCACCCCGCCCAGAGCAGCAACAACAAGCACCTCCTCCACAGCAGCGAAACCCGCTTCCTCAAGCACAACAGCAAACCCCCAGCGAACCGTAACACCTCAATTCCCCGCAAAAGAACCTCCAGTCCCCACGACCCGCAACGCCACTGCAGATTCTGCCGCCGCCGCCGCTCAATCGCAACGCTCACTCACCGAGGGCCTCTCCGATGCGCCACCAGAGCTCGAAGGCGTACCCGCTATAGACTGGACGCGCTCGTATCACGGCCTCGGCAGCGTCTCGTTTACGCCGGAGCAGTCTGAAGCACTACTCGCACCCGTCACACAGGATGACGTCGAAGTCAAGCCAGACGGCATTTTGTACCTCCCCGAAATCAAGTACAGACGTATTTTGAACAAGGCGTTTGGGCCTGGTGGCTGGGGTCTCGCGCCGAGAGGCGAGAGCATAGTGACTGGGAAGTTGGTTACGAGGGAGTACGGATTAGTGGTACAAGGACGGTATGTGTGCATATATCCCCCCCCAACGTAAACAGCCATGCTGACCATTGAACTGTTCTAGCCTTGTCTCCATTGCCCGCGGCGAACAACAATATTTCGATCCAGATGGCATCCCCACTGCGACCGAGGGCTGCAAGTCCAACGCCCTGATGCGGTGCTGCAAGGACCTGGGTATCGCCTCTGAACTCTGGGACCCGCGATTCATTAGGGAGTTCACAAGTAAGATGACAAAGGAGGTGTGGGTCGAGCACGCGACCACGAAGAAGAAGCGCAAGATTGTGCTGAGAAAAGACGATAGCCCAAAGTATCCGTTCAAGGAAGTCAAGTTATAGAGTCATGAATCACGCATTTTATGGGGGCAGGGCGTTGAGCGTTTCCGCCCTGGGAAGATATATGCATGTTATACCTCGGTTTGTAGCAATACCACTCATGTCTATCGAGTTTTGGCTAGGCGAAGTAGACACACGGCTTCTATGATACAGTCGTGAGGTTTTCCAGTTGTAATACCATCATCTACTTTTTTGCCATCAAAACGCCAGAAAACATGTATCTTTATACCACAGATCATGATCGTCTCGAGGACTTCCGCTAGCGATCTCCTAGATCAAAGCCTGATCCTCTCGACCTGTTTCTCAGCTCGCCGGGGTCTCGTCCGTACGCCAGAGGGTCGTCTTGAGATGCTTCCTGACGCTGCCAGTTCCATGGCATCCATCCACTGCTTGTCCTCCGACCTAGGGCGGGTGGTGTGATGGGGTATGGCGGTCGGTCTGATCCAGAGCTCAGCTCGTCACGCTCGATTCTATCAAACTCTGCTTCGCTCCTGTTGCGAGACAGACTACCGCTACTCCTGCTGGATTCGTAGTGTGTGTTTCCGCCCTTTTGCTGGGTGCGGATATTTTCTTGCTCGCGGTCAAATGCTTGCAGGAGGCTTTCGAGGCGCTGTCGCTGCGATGTCACGTAGTTGAGTCGGTCTTCGTTGTTACGGATCGAGTCTGGGACGAGTTTTGCTGCACCACGGCTCAGTTCGGAGGCCTGAGCATCCCTTGTTTCGGCAGTGCCAGCAGTATATAGTGCGCTTGCTCCGCTGAGTGCCTGGTTCACGAGACCATATAGGTCATTGCTGCCCCTCGCTGCAGGCATCTGAAACCTACTCATAAGGTTCTGTGCATATGTCTGTCCAGCTGGCGGGGGTGCTTCTGGTTTGCGAGGCGCGAAACCTAGCAGATTGACCCTCACCCACTCGATGCCCATCTCGATATAGGCCATGCCTGCAGATTTTGCACGGTCATGGCTCTGGGTTATGAAGTCGTCAATCTCCTTCTCGTGGTGGTACAAGAACGGCTCCAAGTGCTCTTGGTAGATGTAACTCGCACCCTGAGCACCCGGCAGGATCAGATATAGATGTGCGAAGAAGCGGATCCATGAGTAGAATGGCACCCAACTCAAGATGAAGTCGAATGTGTTCTCGACGGCTGTGCAGGCGGATAGAACAACAAAGTAGATCAGCCATGGTGCGAGGAGGGCTGGGTCGGATGTGTGGAGGGCTTTGTATGACGCGAATATGGGAAAGAAGACTGTAGTGACAGCACTGGTGAGTTGTTAGTGGAAGAACTCATACAGTGTGCCGTTATCTTTAGAAAGAAAATCATAAGTTCAAGTGGCTGTATTGAGTAATGGCTCGCATGCTACACACTTTGGGCGGCCAAATTCACGATAAGCCGTGTCCGACTAGGTTTGCTTGAACATTGAAAGGCGAGGGGCGGGGTACAACGTACGTCAGGCCATCGGCGATGAAGCCGAACATGATGGTTAGTCTTCGGATCAATGCAACGAGGGTTGTGGATGTGAAGTGAGATACAACGAGAGCCACAAGCACAAGTAGCGAAAGCTGAGGCTTAGCCTGGGTACGCGGCGGAGATGCGGAGCAGCCTGAGCGGCCTGGTGATCCACGGAATGCACGTCAGTCGCCGGCCAACAACGGCGTCGCGCTATCCGCTTTCGGTCCTTTGCGTCTGAACATCACCTGCTGGCTGGATTGTGACCAGCGTTTGCCGCTGAGTCTCGGGGTATACTGGCATCTGTATTCTTCAGCGCGGCTTTGTTCAGCACCTTTTACTACTGTTGGAACGACTTCGCAGAGAAGCGCCGCCACCAACATTTCAACGCAATAGCTCCGAAAAGAAGAAACAACATAAATGACATCATCTTTGGTCATAAAGCTCCGGAGAGATACCTTCATCCTCATGCTCTGGAGTCTGAACTTGCAATATTTTGAGCAAGTTGTCGTTGTAGACAAATCGCTTTTAAAGCGGAGTATATGCCTGTCTTCTAGTGTCTTACCGCATGCAATCATCCGCAGATCCCTTGGGTTTCTTTTGAGATCAACCAAATATCTCAAACCTCCTCCATCGTGCGAAATTGTCCGTGTACTAAAGCCCACGTTGGACTATGTGGGATGAAAGCTCTACTGCTGATAATAAGATCACTACTAGCGGCATCGGGAGCTGTAAAGGATTGTTGCGGGCTAATTGCTATGTACGTAGTCATTGGTTCCCTTGGCTAGTTATCTGTATTCCTCTGCGCGGAAATCCGGTAGTACTTCTACAACTCCTCCAGCACCCACTTCACCTCACCCAAACGGGCAGGACACACGAGAGCCTAAGTCGCCTCCCATGTTGCCATGGCTGCCAAGATCACGCTTATTGCGACCCTGGATCCGATAACAGCTCCCACCCCGCACTTGCAACATTGCTGCCGTTTGACATCATTTGACTATGCTCTACAGAGGCAGAATCCATCATTCTATATCCAACTTGCAGAGTGATGGATTACGTAAATACGCCCAATGCCTTCCCGGTTATCTGTACAGCTACAGTAACCGGGGTCCGTTTACTTGGCCCGAGACTTGACATGGTCGATCATGCCTAAAATGCCAGTCAAATCCCTGGTAAGCATGTTCTAGCTGCACCAGGTCTTGGTATGAACGTACATTCACCCAATCTTTGCAAGTCCCGGTGCCGCACGACGTATGCCAATTGTTGGGATGCCGATGCCTCACATATTCTGCCGTTATAGATCAAGCTATCGAAGACCCTTTGTTAAAATAGGGAAAGCTTACTCGCATCAAGGAGCCGAGTAGTATTGTATGACATAGGGCAATGCACAAGTATAAAACCCAACCAAGTCCCTACAGAATTTATCACCGGTTCTCGTCATTGCCAGAACTCGTCAGACGGCCTCTATCATGGCTCTAATAAAATCAGTTGTGGCATTACTTGCCCTTCAATTAGCCAGCGCAGCACCTCAAGCCTCAGTAACCTCACCTGCTGTCAGTTCTCCTAGCCCAACCGGGCTGGATCCGGCAGTCGCACTATCTACAGATGAAGTTGAGGAGCTTTACAGCCTCCATGAAGAGCTCGTCAATATCCCATCCATCTCTGGAGACGAGATCGAATGTGCGGATTTTGTATCAAAGTATCTAACCGACTTGGGCTACTATGTCGAAAAAGTACCAGTCAACGAAACAGGCACGTACAATGTATTTGCCTATCCTCAAGCGTTGAAGGACGAGGGATTATGGCCGGAAGTTCTCATCACTAGTCATATCGATACTGTACGCGCAACACTTGAGCCCGTAAATCACAAACAACCACTAACTGAAAGATAGGTACCACCATTCTATCCATTCGAACGCCGTGAGAGGAATGGCACAACCTACCATTTTGGCCGAGGAACCGTCGACGCCAAAGGACCAGTCGCAACAATGATTATCGCGTCCCACAAATTCCTTCAATCCCGCAATGAAACAACCAGCCTAGGTATGCTATTCGTCGTCAGCGAAGAAAACAGCGGCGCAGGAATGAAAGCGTTCGCAAAATACGCATCTAACACAACCTTCCGAGCCGGCATCTTCGGCGAACCAACCGAAGGCAAGCTCGCAAGCGGCCACAAAGGCAGTTTCGGCATCACACTCAAAGCCATCGGCAGGGCATCTCATTCCGCATACCCGTGGCTCGGTGTCAGCGCCATCAACTACGTTATCGATGCCATCTCCGCACTGAGGGCTTTAGAACCCGCTCTCCCCAAGAGCGAACTTCTGGGTGCTTCAACAATCAACACGGGTCTCATCGCCGGTGGTGTCGCAAGCAATGTCGTGCCTCCCAACGCCAACGCAAGTATATTAGTCCGCGTTGCGCGCAGCGAAGACGATTCCGTCGACGTCATCAAAGATATGGTTTCCGGCCTGTTTTCTCCGCTCGTCAACAGCGCCAAAGAAGTCAATGCCACGTTTGAATATACATACTCTACGTTGTCGACAAAAGCGCAGATTCTGGATACGGATATCGAGGGCTTGGAGGTCGCGCCCGTGTTTTATGGGACTGATATTCCGAATTTGCCGCAGGTCGAGAAGAGATATTTGTATGGGACGGGCACGATTGAGGTGGCGCATACGCCGGATGAGATGTTGAGTCAGGAGGAGTTGGTGCAGGCTGCGGAGGCGTATGGAACGATTCTAAGGTCGATTTTTGCGGAGTAGGATCGTGGAGAGGGAGAGTATGGATTTATGTAGAATGGTGTGGTATCACTGCATGAATGAAATGGCAATTCCAAAGATATTGATTGACATTGCTTGAACGTGATTAAAGTGCTGCTTCACGTTTGCTTGATACATTTTCACCAAAATTTCGAATTACGCAGAACTGTTATGCTTTAGGCAAGGATTCGCAATATACAGTGACGTAAAGGTCGAAATGAGCTGATGGGTCACAATTGTTCAGTTTATAAGTGAATATGTCACTGGTCAAATTAAATCAAGCGTATAATGAGGTCTTATATAGTGGATATACAATTAAGGATCTTGATAAATCTAAACACAAAAGCTCCTTTGTTTACTAAGGGCAAAGGGAGATTCAACACCATCTTCTTAACTACTTTTCCATTTCAGCGTCAATACTACCTAAAAAAGCGTCTTCACTATGGTGTTGCTTTGGCAGAGTGAAAGTACAATCACCCTCTTGCTCACAGGACCCCCGCAAACGCTCATCCCCGCTTCTGCCTTGGAGTGGAAAGACCCAGAAAATAATGTAATCCATCCTCGTGATAGCATTGCAAATGGAAGCCTTTCACACCAAACCAATTCCACCAGGTATATAAACTGCGCTCGCCTCCCTCAATCCATATCCTCTACCAATACATTACTTTCCATCACTACTCACATCCTCGTACCCATTCTTACTCTCATTCTTACTCCCATCCATCCTTTCGTCCATCCATTCGTCCCTCCTATTCCTAAATTTTCTATACCGATGCCTCCCCCGATCATCACGATCGATATCTCCAACACCGGCTCCAGCTCCTCCCCTCGAAACCCACCTCCGCCTTCTACACCCCGGTCCCCACCTGCTCCCCCTCGCAAACGGCGGCGGCGACGACCGAAGAGGAATTCGAGACTGTTGGGAGGGCCATTTTTGATAGGAAGTAGAGGGGGAGAGAAGGTTTGGAGGGCGCGGATTGTGCTTTGTTTTGCCGTTCGGTATGGCATAACCTGCTGCAGGGGTCTTGCACCTTTGTTGGAGGTACTATGAGGTAAGGTGTTTTCTGGTCATTGATTGTTTCTATTCTCGCCATGATATGTTTCTTGATTCTCTACTCTGACGTCTACTGATTGGTTACAGGAGGAGTCTGAACCGTTTCCACCAATGCCGTACCAGTATACGCGGTATCTTACAACTGATGAGCGAGTGGAGAGGATCGCCTACCGTGCCGCTAATATGTATTGGCCTGATCCGCGTATAACGGAGGGCACCTGGCGCAGGCTGAGCGACGAGGAGGTAGCGCAGCGATGTCCTGCCCGTTTGACATGCCCCGGGCCCAGTGTTGTGTCCGACGGTGAGGGTCCTGAGGACGACAACTCTAGATACGATGTTGATCCCGTTCGAAGAGAACGGCGTGGCCTTTGCCCTACCATCGACTCGTTCCAGTATCCGGCACGAGACTTGATGCACAGACAACAACGTTGCTCTTGTAGCAGAAGACTATTGAACATGGAAAGATGAATAGAGTCACCCTGAAGTCACTGTACTTGCAGACGGAAAATACATGCCTGTTGTAAATTACTTGCTTCTTCTCAATCCTAGCTTTTCTTTTCGAAGATGATGTAAATAACGTCATGCCATTCAATTCTTTTCCCAACCAAGTGACGCTAGTTTGCCAATATGATGGCGAAGAGACACTGGAGAGACAGGTGTAAGTACATGGTAGGTATGTAATACGGATGTCGGATGGTAGAGTCCCGAAGGAGGGCTTCTTGGCACCAATACAACAACGTCAGATGGTGGGGCGTGTCATTGGAGGCGCATCTCACCCCCCATCTGTGGCTAGGCGCACACAAGGCCTATCACAGTCGTCTATAGCATGTACATACATATACTTATGCTTTATGGGAGGCTGAAGATAATGTTCTTGCTTGGCAGCGACCTCGTGCTGCGCGCATGCCACGCGAGCAAATGACGTGCCATGGCCCTGGAGTGAGCGCGTGCGTGACCAGCCCAGGTCGCTAATGGCGAATGCTCTCTCCTAGGAGTACGTCCGGTATATCATCCCTTTCCTCTGGCTTCCGCCCACGCGATCCCCGGCTGCATACATAAGAATCAAGGGTCTCGATCAGCAACGACTGCGCATGTCCTATGACGCGTTTGCGGCTGCTGGCTATTGGTCCTAACAGTCTCCGCTGGATCCGCTACTAAATGCTTCTCACGCCTCGCACCTATTCCAACGCACAAACTGCCGACGCCGGCCGCAAACTTCCTGAACCCTCATTCTTTGTGTGCACAAAGTCGCGCAAGGAGCTGCAAGCTGAGGAGAAGCGTGCGCTGAGGATGTTGCTGCTGCACCAAAAGGGGGCCGTCAAAGTAGGCGAGGTTGTGAGGTGAGTTGCTGTATATGGGCGTGGGCACATACTCGAGACATGTACATGCATACACGTCGTATGGTTTGGGGCACGCCAAAGCGCTCAACGGTCCCTCGTGTTCAACGGTGCTAAGACGTTGGGCAGGTACACACTTACATACACGCCCTCCGAAGACCGAATATTACCCCCGCCTCCTATCCTCCATGTTCGTATACGCAACTCGTCGGCCATTCCTCTGCGTGCCGCATACCTCCATGGACCCTACACAATTCATGTCTCGGCCTACCCTTCCACTTTCAACCCCAACGTCAAAAACGACGATGCCAAGATCTACGGCGCCCCCGATTTCGAGCCTAACCTAAAGGCAGGGGGTTACTGGAACACAAAATTGACGGTACCCGAGCATGCGAGGACTGAGATACAGGGGTATAATGCTGAACCGAAGAGTGTCACTTGGATAATTGAGATTGCATCGCAGATCATCTTCTCAAATTCTGCATCGGTAAATTATGAATTGCTAGTTGCACGCGACGAGCGATCACTTGACCTGGGCTTCACCGCTGTAACGGGAAACACACACGGAACGCCAGGAAAGGTCCAGGACCACCAGCAAGGAAGCCAGAAGCATGTCTCAAACCATGCAGGACAGCCCAAGGGCGTCTATTCTAAAGCAGTCAAATTGGTAGTGGACGATACGACTAGTTTGTGGAACAAACCCGAGTTGCCAGAATGGAAAGATGAGGAACCGAGCGGCGAGGGACAGTCCAAGGATACTGATCATGCAAAGGAGTTGGCTGAGCGGAAAAGAAAGAATATCCACCTGGTGATTGTAACACATGGATTGCATAGCAATCTCGGCGCAGATATGCTGTACCTAAAAGAGAGCATTGATGCGACCGCAAGACAAGCGCGCGAGAGTCGGCGACAGCGACGCAAAGAGAAAAGGGGAGATAGAACCAAAGCTGTAGGCAAGGACACATCGACTGCACCATTGTCCGGTGGCCAAGATGAGATATCGGATGCGGAAGACGAAGACGAAGAAAACGAGGAAGAAGTAGTCGTACGTGGCTTTGACGGCAACGTTATACGCACTGAACGCGGTATCCAGTATCTGGGGAAGCGACTCGCTAAGTACGTCCTACGTTTAACGTACCCTGACCAGCCATACCTCCCAATCAAGAGGACCGTGGGACAAAAGCTGTCCAACACCTTTTCGCCTACAAGAGACAAGGCAGATGAGGGCATCCCTGCTCATCAAGGCAGTAGTGTGCATCACTTCTTCAAAGGTCGAGACAAACGCGCATACCGGTTTACCAGCATTAGTTTCATCGGTCACTCTCTTGGCGGTCTTGTACAGACGTACGCCATTGCATACATCCACAAACACTCTCCTCACTTCTTTGATACGATTAAGCCTGTCAATTTCATTGCTCTGGCGTCTCCCTTCTTGGGGCTAAGCAATGAGAACCCCACCTACGTCAAGTTTGCACTGGATTTTGGACTGGTCGGTAGAACAGGACAGGATCTCGGTCTAACCTGGAGAGCACCCACACTAGCAAGGAGTGGCTGGACCGCAATGGGCAATGTGTTCGGAACCCAGGGCCAAGCTTCACAGCAGGAGGACCCTGGCGCTAAACCTCTATTACGAATTCTTCCCACGGGACCTGCGCACCAGGTTCTGCGGAGATTCCGGAATCGCACAGTATACTCCAATGTCGTCAATGATGGAATTGTACCACTGCGTACAAGCTGTCTCTTGTTCCTTGACTGGAGAGGGCTGGGCCGGGTACAGAAAGCCCGGAGAGAAAACGGACTCATCGGTACTGTTGCAGTGTGGGGTTATGGTCAACTTACGGGGCAAAACTCTTCGCCTAATCCTTCACGAATTGGCTTTGCTGAAGACGAAAGCTCTGGAGCTGATTCTCCAACATTTCAGGGTGATGATACAGCCGTACCGCTACCAGGCGCTGACACGACCAACCAAGAAGACGAAACGCAGGTACCTACAGTAGAGACTGCGGCGCATCAACTGATTGAAGGACAAAAGAAGAGTCCAGATAGCAAAGATCCTAACGACAACTACTTTCAGCCGCAAAATACGCTGATGCAGTGGTGGAGCTATATCAGGCCCACTGGAAAGCATACCTCGCGCGACAAGAAGATGTTCTCGCGTAGCCAGACGATCTACAAGGATGATGAAGATGAACAATCTTCTACCCAGGCAGAAGACTCGTCGTCATCATCGCGTACGGACCAGCGAAGAAAAAGGCCTCAAGCGACGCGTGGCGACTCCATTGTCGATAACCCCCGAAGCAACATGGCACCACCAAAGACCACGATATTCGAGTCGGCTGGCGACTTGATCAACCCCCCTGTACCTCCGCACTCATGGATCAACGATCCAACCACCCGAGCACGCGCCATCTTCCATGACAGGATTTATCACCCGGAGGATATTCCTCCGCCACCAATCAAGAAGAGGGCTACGCGAAGCTTCTCAGGTGACAGCGTTGCCAGTCAAGCATCGACAACAAGTGTTGATGACAGTGGGATGCGTGTGGAAGAGAAGATTGCTCGCGCCTATCACAAGGATCTCTCATGGCGTAAGGTATTGGTCAGCCTCGAGCCCGACGCCCATAACAACATCATTGTACGTCGTATGTTTGCCAACGCATATGGATGGCCTGTCATCAAACATCTTTGTGATACCCACTTTGCCGACACACACTCGGCTAACACGCGCACTGAGCTCGAGCCTGCAGTTGAGCGCGCCGAGCCAATGGACAAGCCTATAGACAAAAATGGCGAGCGGGTCAAGGGGCAGCAGAACCAACAACCACCTGTTGAGCGTTCCGATAGTGAGATGCGCGAGGTAGCTGACGAGTTGGCGCCTCTGCACCCGCTCACTTTGAAGATGCCAAAGAGATCCAACACGACCGACTCGATGCACAGTATCGGGTCTGGTGACTGGGACAGCATTTACTTCAACGAGACTAGCGACGATGAAGACGAGTTCGACGATCGTAACGCTGTGCAGCGTTTCTTCCAGCCTAATAGCGCAAAGAGCCCCCGAAGCCCTGGGTTTCCACCTAAGACACCTGACGGAAAGGGCACTAGTCAAGCGGATATTGCTGATTTCCTTCGTGGGTCTAATGTTGAAGTTCACAGGGGTCTTGGTGCAAGCCCGAGGAGTAAAGCTGTTGCTCCTCTGACCGATGAGCCGGACTCGATTGAACCCGGCGAATCTTCTGCTGCGAATGAGGAAGGGCTGCAAGCCTCGACCCATTCTGAGGCACCTACCGGCAGGATTAGCGGAGTCGGCTTGAGGAATGCTGCAGATGTTTCTGCGTCCCCAGAGGGTAGTAAAGCGAGTCCTGGAGGCAGTAGCGTTACTGAGCAGGTTGCCAGACTGAGCAGCCCCAAGGCCGCCAAGCAGGATGATGCTAGCTTGTAGTGCAGAGTCCGCAACATCTTGAGGCGAGCAACGGTGTAGAACGAAGAGGTGCAAAACACGAGAACAACATCGCATAGACATTTTCGGCATGTAACACAATCCTCCTGGCGATTTTGGGTACTCTTCCCAGATTTTTCTCTTGTCTAGATATTTCCCGCGTTTTCGGTCTTGGATACATGGGGGTGTTACGTGACGTTAGGCTTGAGATCAGTGCACAAAGACGGATGGTACACGGACGATAGCATGGACCGTAGTACCGTTTGCGTACCCACAAGATACCCCAGATATCACATAGTTTGTAGACGTATATATTTTTAATCTTATTCCCTGCTTCTGTTCATTCACTTTTCCCTTCATTGACGCTCTGATATAATGTTTTTATCACTGTGTCCTGGTTGACCCAATGTACTTGAACAATGCATCACCTGCGATACAGTAGCACATATGTGATTTTTTTACTCATGCGTCTCAGAGGTTTTGTTCCTCACGCTCCTCTTTCACCAACTCTACTGGCGACGTCACCTTGATGTCGCGCCTTCTCAATTCACCCCGTTGCTACCGCGTGGCAACGTGCCGTTTGTTTTCAGTAACTCGAAAATAGCAAACCGAGTCTGACACTCACTCCACTACACGAGCTAAACACAGCTTTTCTCAAATACAGACCTATTTCAGTTTGACAACACACTAGTCATTCGCTATCACTGTTCAGAGAAGGGACAGCAGCCGGCGCGATGCTCACCTCTGACTCTATCAGCCCTTCAAGGCATCGAAGCCCTAGGGCTGGCAATGGCCAAAAACAACGCCGCCGCATCGTACGACGATCAAATATGTCACGCTCGAATACAACTCCCGATCTCGGTATCAAGTCATCCGCTACGATGTACAGCGGAGGTGGTGCCGCAGCAGTGCCGGACGAAACAGGACTCATAAATACCTCATCTTCTTCGGAATCGTTCCCTTCGATGACCAATAGTACATCTTTCGGTCACTCGCCTACGGCCTCGATTGGAAGCGGATCAAGCACGATAGTGGAAGGCAAGAAGAAGCATGGCATGTTTGGCTTCAAGGCAAAGGGCAATGACCGCCCGAAAAGTTCGCATGGATCTCCCCTCCAACTATCGCCTCTGCCTCCGCTTACGCCAGTGAAAGCCGCACAGTTTCTGGGTGTCGAATGCGGCGCTGTGAGGACTCGAAGCGGGTCGCTGGGCAGTCGGGTTCAGGATGTTTATGAATTCAACGGTCTACTAGTACGATCAATCCAGGAAGACAACGACCTCTTGACTCGCCTGACCAATCTACAGGAATCTGCGAGCGAAAAGACTGAGTCCATAGAGGAGGATGTTATCTCAAAACCAATAACACCCAAGTGCCTATGGACAGCCGGTAACAGGAAAGCGCAGCGGATGTTAGGCATAGCCCCATCGCATGGATCTAGCATCAAGCACGGAACTGAACCAGAGTGCCACATCACTGAGACGCCAGCGATTCATTCAAAGAAGGAGAATCGGGTTGACTACAGCAGTGAGCCTGATATCCACGCCCGTCCTCCTGAAAAATCCCGACAACGTCGTATGCGCAAGAAGGCCCCTAAATCACTCGATCGGATGACGCCTATCACGGAAATATCGTTTGACGAGCTGCGCTCTTCCTATCACGATTCTGAACACAATCCCGAGCTGGAACTCATATCAGAGTATGAACGCGATCCTTCATACAGTAGCGTGCTACCGCCACGACCACCAACTCCGTTACCGTTCACGGCTAATATCAGTTATGAGTTGGAAGAAGGAGATCTCTCACCAGCGGATGTCGATCCAGGGAAACAAGCTGCTGCTGGAGTGGAAGAATATGAAAAATATTCCTATCGCGAAGTTGGCTTTGACAAACCTAAGCAGGAGTCGCCAGTCGTCATTTACCTGCGTGGTCCGTTACAGTCTTTTGAGGACCGTCTTCTCGATGTAACTGAAGCTCATCTCGCGGCCTCGAGGATCAAGCAGGATATCAATGACGCTGCGAGAATTCACCTGGATTCCAGAAGCAGTTCTTTGAGAGCTTCCCACCAAGCGATGAAGAGGAAATTTATGGCGGAAAGGCCAAATGTGCTGGCTGAGGATTCTGACAACGACGCAGAGTCTGAAAGTGATGATGGCAAAGACTTGGTCTCTATTCGGGACAGTATTGATTTGGGAGAAGATCCAATTGTTGATTTGGCAGAATTGATGACTTGCACACATATCACCCCTAGTGTGATGAAGCTTGTAGATGTTCCACCCAGGGAACCAAAGCCAACCACTCCGTCCAAACGCAAGCCTACACCCAAGCCATCACGCAGAGTAAAATCACCCTTACATTCAACTTATATCTTCCACCATGATGAGAAAGCCAGCCCATTCAAGGAACTAATTTGCAACGTAAGGGTACGTACGTCCACACCATCTCTCCCAAACCAAACCAACACCACGCAGCCCACCATCACATGCAGCCATCCCCCAACTAAACTCCCCAAACAGATCCGCAAAACAAAAAAGAGCAAGAATCTCTGCAACGAATCCCGCATCCTAGTCCAAAATTGGATCTCCACAAATGACCACACCAAACAACGCCCCTTGTCCGACCGCCTCGACATGGACGTCCTATCCGACCAGCAAATCCCCCCTGCTCCCTTCCCAAAAGACAAAAATAGTATATCTACCACCTCTCCTCCACCTCCTCCGAGGAAGTCATCAAAAGAACACTACTGCCTCCGAAACGGCCACATCCTCCACCCAATCAACCTCCAATCCATCCCCGACGAAGCCGCCATCAACGCCCTCGAAGTCCGACCTTATTTGCGTACACATTCCGGGCGCAAGATGCACGTTCATGTGCCGGTTTTTTGTGACCGGTGTGGAGAAGATGTACTGGAGGAGCTGTGGGAATGCGACATTGCGGTTTGTCGGATGGTGGTGTGTAAGGGGTGTGCGGCGGATATGGAGGACGAGTGGAGGATCAGGGTGTGTGGGGAGTGGGAGAATTGAAATGGAAAGTTGGGGAGATTGGGGGGGTGGGGGGGATTCTGGGTACTGGTGTAATGAACAAATATGAACGGAGGTATTGTAGATGAAAGTTTTGTACGAATATATGATCTGTGTGTTTCCGTGTCGCTACGATGGTTATAGCACTTTATACTAACTGTCTTGAGTCCTTTTTTTTTAAAAAAAAATACAAGAGAAGAGATTGTTACTTGTTACCCGAATGGCTGACTATCATAGTTCTATCGCCTCCGGATTCATCGTTCAGTGCCTATTGCACCTTCCATATCACCCAATATGCTATGATGATTACCTCGAAAACGCCGGAAGTTCCCCCCCCCCCAAAACGACCGAATCCATCCCTTCAACTCCCAAGAAATCCATCAAAAGCCGCATCGCAGCACCTTACGCCCAATCCTCGCCCAGAAAGATCCCAGCTACCTTGCTGAAACGACATGTCCCATTTCCGCTTCAATAACCGACCAAAGTAGCTAAACTCGGAATGCCCTCAAATCAGCCATCCAATCTCCCTCAAGACCCCGTCCCTGCATCCCTCCAATAAACTCATTCCTCAGCCCCCTCTCCTCCTCAAACAATCTATCCCACCCAGCTCCATCCCTCAGAATACACTCATTATACCGGCGGGGATCCGGGTGCGACCAGTTCGCTATCAAGAAACGTAGAATGAGGACGCATAAAGGAGAGTGGGCGGGGAAGTGTGTCCAGATGTGTTTTGTGAGGGAGGGGGTGAGCGGGAAGTGGCGGCCGAGGGACATGCGGATGCGGGTAAGGGTGTAATGAGTGAAGGAGGGGGAGCCGAGGGTTTGGGAGAGGTGGTGAGCCTGGATGCTTGGGGGGATGGGGTAGTGGTGCAAGGGTTGGGGGATGAAGGTGGGAGCGGCGATTGGAAGCATTCCGCGTACTGTGGGTTTGGGTGCTGGTATCGGTTTCATGCTTGATGTTTTGGGCTTGGGGGAGGAGCTGGAATGTGCTGTGGGGGGCATGCTGAGAGCACTGGAGGAGGAAGAGATTTCAATAGGTGTAGACGCGCGTTGACCTTCGTTGTTAGCAAAGGAGGGCTGGGTGGGCTTTGGGTGATGAGCCATCGAGACTATACTTGATATAGGTGGTACAGGTGCATACTGCTGGCCCATTCCCTGAGCGGTGTTAATGTCGGTTGAGGCCGGATACGCGTCCTTGTATATATAGTGGAGGAAGAGACAAAAAATGGCGGGATCGACCTCAGGGAGTCGGATGCCCCATTCTGGCTTCTTTACTTTCTCTTTTTCCTCTTCCTCGTCAGTATCTGACTCGATCTTGATCGTCGTTTTGGTCTCTTTGGGTTTCGTCGTACTTTCGGTTGAATTGTCTTGGCGGTCAGTCTCTGCAATCTTTCGTTTCTTGTTGGTACTAGTTGAAGAGAAGGCAGCCGAGCGCAACTGAGAAACTTGCTGGTGGAAGTAGTTCGAATAATGGCAGAGGAGTGAAACGGGAAGGATGAAGCTTCGGCAGCTTTGATGTTCTCCAACTACGACTCGTATAGCTGTCCCTTCGATCCTTGCAGTTGTTAATGACGTACGCGGAAGTCCAATGACTGGTAAAATAGCTTACATTTTGATAAACATATCCGGTTGTTTTGCACCAAGCGCTCGCGGGGGCGGGGGACGGGCTATGGCAGGCGGTGGCTGCGACGGTTGTGGCTGTTCGATCATTGCCCTTGGTAGGACTGGTAACGCTTTGGAATTTGGAAAACTGATAGTTGGTTGAGCAGGCAGAAATAGCTTACGGGGTTTGTTGAAGCAGATGCCCGTGAATCTCGACGGGATAGGCCTTATTTGTATCTCATCAACATGGCGCTCATCTGGTAAAACAAACAGCCCAGGCGACGGGTACGAGAGACGCCTTCACCTCGTTTCGAAGTGAGTGAGAGGCATGAAGGTAGAAGTAAAAGATTGAGGCCTTCACGCGCACATGCTGAAAGTCAACAAAGTCGTATGATTATTACCGGTCTCAGCGAAATAGGAAACTCCATTGTCTTCATCTGACTGTAACATCTTTAAATGATTGTAGGCTCGGTACATACTCATGTTGCTGAACAAACGATGTATGACGGATCCATCATGAGCTCTGATTGGTCACTCATTGAATACTGAACCGCTCGTATGACATGTAAGAATTCAGATCAAATTTGAGAAAGGGTCGCGCCGTAGTGAAAAGTGAATGCCAAGGCGCTATGCATGTTTGCGTAGGGACCACAACAACAAATACATACACAGATGGTAGCCTATTTGTCACATGACAAGGCATAATTCTAGAAAACGATGACTATTTCAATCGTCATAAATACACAAATCACTTGAAAATTCAAAGCACATGGTTCAGCAGAGAACATGGTGTATTAGACGCTCAGTATGAACAAACCACTTCAGTAGAAAGTATGGGTGTGGTAGGTCGATCCTAACCGAGAGGCAGACATGAGACATACTCATATCATAGTAACCAAGAGAGATAACTGACAAACTAGACCTTCGCCTCGACGTTGACATCCTCAACGTGGCCTTGACGACCAACCTTGAGGTTTCCATCCTCAATATCACGGGCAACGCGGTCAAGACGCGACTCAACCTTTCCAGCTTTCCAAGCAGGTAGACCAGAATCAAAGACATCGTCCATCTCCTCGAGTGTCTTGCCCTTTGTCTCCGGCGCGGTCAAGAACATGTGAATGAAAGCAACAGCGTTGAAGGTACCGAAGATCATGTACATCTTCCAGTTGATGGACCAAAGAAGAGGTGGGACGGCAAAAGCGAGGATACAGTTCCAAGTCCAGTTTGTAGCGGTGGCAAGGCTGACGGCTTTGGCGCGGACCTTGGCGGGGAAGATCTCAGACGGGTAGGTCCAGGAGACGGGTCCCCAAGTGGTGGCGAATGTAGCGACAAAGAGGTACGAGCATGCTACGATGGCCTTGGAAACGTCGCTGTGCTCACGAGGTACGACCCAGGAGATATCCTTGTCGGATTTGTCTGGATTAGGGTTGCCGTAAGAGGCCTGGAGAGCGCCCGTGGTGAAGAGCCAAACAGCCATTCCAAAGGATCCGCAGAGCAATGCTGGGCGACGACCGAACTTGTCTAGGTATAGGATAGCCGGGAGCGTCATGGCAACATTGATAATGTACTGGATGGATGCAGTGAGGAGCTCATCGGCGATTCCAGCTCCGCGCATAATGAACACAATATAGTACATCATAATGTTCATACCTGAAAGAGTTAGTAATGGTGCCATCAGTTCAAGGAATTTCCATACCGCAAAGCTGCGACCACATCTGGATGGACATGCCGAGTATAACGCGCTTGAGGATGCGGGGTTTGACAAGAGCAGCGAAACTGGTTTCGGCAACCTCACGCTCGAAAGCAAGAGCCTCCTCAATCTCCTTGTATTCAGCGAGAACCTTGGGGTGGTTGACATCGCCACCACCGTGGAGGTTGGCAAGCACTTGAAGAGCCTCCTCCCAGCGGTCTTTTGAAGCTAGCCAACGTGGAGATCGAGGAAAGAAGAAGAACCCGATGAAGAGGATCGCACCGGGAACAGCTTGAATACCCCATGGGATACGGAAGGCAGCGGTGGCTTGGTTCGGGTTGTCAACACCTCCATCTACGAAGGAACTTCCGTACTGGATGAAGTATTGGATCACTGTGTGGTATGTCAGCGTGAGTGATTCCAGCGTTGAGCATGGCAGTGCGCTTGGGACTGCCCGGCAGTACGTGAGGAGAACCAGCAAGATCATGACATCAATCTAAAAAAGGCACTTACATATACCCCAAGTTATAGCCCATTGCTGTAGTGAAACCACACGGCCACGAATGTGCTTTGGCGCGATTTCGGCTTGGTATACGGGCACCATGGCGGAGCAGATACCAATGGCATATCCGCCAACTGCTCGACCAACGCAGAGGAGAGCGACACCGTTGGCCGCTGCCTGGAAGATTGCTCCAACAATCCAGATGAGAGCACCGATCTGGATAGCCACGCGACGTGAGAGCCGATCAGCAATGAAAGAAGAGGAGAGAGCTCCCAAGAGCGAGCCAGCAGGCATAGCAGCGGTTATGCCACCTTGGCGAGTTCCGCTGGGGTTGCCAAAGTAGCGCTTGTACGCCGGAGTGCCAAGAGCGCCCGACATGGACGAGATATCGAAACCGAAGAGAATACCACCAAGTGCGGCAAAGCCACAAATAGCGTAGACAGAGTAAACCTGAGGGAACTGTAGTACTGGTATCAGTAATCATGTCGAGGCGTAACCAGAAATTGAAAGCTTACCTTCATCTTGCCAAGTGGTTGTGACCAGGCTGGAAAGACAAGTCGGTAGAACGGGTGGAGAGAAAGAGGTACAGAGTGAGATGGCTACAAATTTATATGGGAAGTATTGTGCATAGTGCGTGTGATCTCGCTGGAATACAGTCCGTGCGAATGGCCAGTCGGACTGTGTCTTTCACTCCTGCTGTAAACTAGGCAGTTCCCATGCCGTGGCGTTTGTCCAAATTGGCAACCCCGCTAATAGGCGTTGGACTGGGGTACATGTGATCCTACAGGAAAGCGGGAATATTTCCTGGAGTAGTACAGGTTAAGGTCGCAGCCCCATGTCGTGATGATGAAACCCTCCAATGGATGGACTGGAGTACAACGCATGTACCTAGTGCACATGCAAACTTGCGGTTTCTCAACCTCGTGGAGTCGTACCGACGAAGCATTGAGCAATGGGGCAGGTATGGCACGATATACACTGGTTTGATGTGGGATCTGAACCCAAGGAATACCGCACTGATGCGTGTGAGTCGATGATCAGGAGCTCTTGGTATTCGACCTGTTGCTGCAAAACTGGCGATCTAGGAAATAGCTTTGCTCAGGCCGCAAGCAAGTTCTCCAATGACTATGGCTGCCAATAAAAAGGACTGATCGACACGCATGGCCTGGTTTGGGGCCTCCGACTTGGCGTGGGCGGGGCATTACATGATGTCTTACGACCAGGATTTAGTGAAGATCAGAACCAGCCCAGTCGCGTAGCACCATGCAGCTAAGGTAACAACCAAAGCAAGTAGTGGGACACCTGAAGTACAGTATTTATCCAATGGCATTCTTTCCTTTACATCTGTGGGTCGTACGCATGTTGTTGGATATGCAAGCGAAGCATCTGAAGAAGACCAGACGTTGCATTCGGGAGCGGAGACGACGTGCGCCAAGCATGCAATGTTGCCAGCAATTGACACCCAAGCTCTCGGCTGCCTTTGTCCCGCTCATCGACAACCGGTCGAATAGATGCATGATGGGTGAGGTATCACTCAAATAGACTTCCTCGGGACAGTGGAGCGCTTGGATAGCTATTTCCAGAAATCCTACCGGCGCGTTGGATTCTTTTGCATTGTTGATTGGTGGTTGAATGGCTGGCCTGTACGCACGGCATTTCTGTTCCGAGTACAGAGTTGGATGCAGTCAAGATCATGGTTTGAAGGGCTCAACTGCCTGTCATGTGGGGATGTGAAGGTTTCTGGGTTGGATCGCGTGGCTCAGGGCGGGGTTTGGCCCAGTCTGCCAAGTCTACCACAGTGTCGGTGTCACTGCAGTATGTACGGGTGTACCTGTTTCGAGACCATACATATGTATGAGTAACCACTTGTTTTCTGTCCTTCTCGTGGTCTCTTCCTCCCGAAGCCCAACTGAAAAATCATCGAAGTGAATACTAAGAGACGAAACCGATTCAGGGAGGCAGTCGAACATCCGATTCGATATTCCGACTTGCAACCCGTAAGTGATTTATGTCAAACACCTCAAGACATATCGACTGGCGTGGTCTTGCTATGAGCTGCACACACTGTCCTACATGGTAGCTACACCGATCTTGTGTTGTAGCAAGCTCAACTCACCGGCCTTGGACGAGCGACGGCGGACTACCCGATGTGAACGTGTTCTTCGGCTGAGCAGATCGCACATTAGGGAAATGATATAGGGACTAAGCACTAGTTGCTCCCACGCAAGCAAAATTCGATGATATAGTGGAAGGACGATAGAATGGCTTAAGTATGCAAGCCAGTGCCGATCAGTTGACAACGAGCTCTATACATCTAACTCTTTTTTTTCTAATCTAACACAGCCCCAGTAGATGCAGATAAAAATCAATCTTTCAATTCGACATACTTTTAAAAGACATTCAGATTCGCTGCGTTAAGGTTTGCTTTTCTCCGACAAGATGCATAGCACCTGCATTCGCGAAATCGAATCAATCAACGCCCCTGAATTGCAATATCATTCTCGCCCGCGTACCTGCATGTCGGATGCGAGCAATGTCCAACCTCTGTCCTCGGCTCCTTGCGCTTCCGTTTTCATTTCCAAGCTTGAAAATTCCGTAATAGTGGATATTTCTGTCCATGCTCATCTCTCAACAACTAGCATGTTTACCTCTCAGCAGCCGAACACCAACATCTGGTCTCTCATTGGCTGCACTTGACATATCAACGGCCCAATGATACGGAATTGCCCACCACCACCTTCCAATTGTATCACGCAGCACCGTCTAGCACACTTCTAGCCTCTCCAAAATCTGGCATGTCGCTGGAATAGGATGGCCTCGTGTCGTACTGCATCTCATGATTCTTGTACCTTTCCCAGTCGGGCTCTACTATCAAGTTCGCGAAACATAGTCGCGATGCTCTTGCATAAGGTCGCGCGCACCAACCTGCTGATGTCGACAGCTGCCTTGGTCTATGCTATGGTGATCGGTCCCCTGAAGTGCTTATGAAGAATGTGCCGCGGACTGTATCTCACGCCTCGGAAATAGTATAAGTATCGTACCACGCTGCCATAGCCGAGCAGTAACAGTCAGCTGCGGCTTCTGGATAAAATATAAGCTTACTGCGACAGCTCATTCAGTGCAGACTACAGCCTACAACCCTCCCACCCATCACTACAACGGCGTGTCGCTAAACCCTTGAAATTTACAGGCCTCAAATAAACTAGTTGGTCGGTGACCCACAGAAGCGAGACATTGGACCTGCATTACGCACTTCCAGGATTGACCGTGGAGGAGGACATCAGCTGGAAGCGGTCACCGGATTCCGTAAGCAGAACTCAAAATCCGATCACCATATACAAGTCAGGCGTATGCTCCAGTGGCTGGCGATTTCCAATACTTATCATACGCACATGAACTCACTCATGGAACCACTACGACCATACTTTTCAGATCTTCTCTCGCCTTGTTGGATCAGAACTCGACCTCACACCACGACGGAACGCAACCCCAAGTCAGCTGGACTATAGTTAAAACGACGGGAAACAATATCCATTTTAAACAACTCTTACGCACATCTAGTCGCAACATAGGGTAGAATATCCGAAACCACCGTATCGGCATGCCGCACCACATAACAAATTGCGTCTTTGCGCGCACGAGCCTGACAACCTGCGACGTTTTTGTCCGAGCCTTGGCTCACATGAGCCCAAGGGCAGAACTATCACCCGAGGAATTTATTGAAGCAGCAAGTCCATGGTTTCTGGATACCGAAACAGTGTGGAGTAGGGTGTTCCTCACGGGCACAGGATGAGAAGTGGGATAGGTCCCTAATAGCGAGAAAAAGAAATTTATTATAGATAGTTACCCTGGATCGAATCTGGCAATTCCCCACAAAGGTGGCCGGAAAACGAAGACATCTTCAAAGACGTCTTGACAACACTCTATCGATCCTCCATGATTCACGGACCTAATTAATAAGGCGCTATCCAACCTACACCTAATACAACACCTTACCCACAGCATGCACATCCATCACCGCCACTCTCCCACCCTCCCCTTCCATCCGACCACCTCAGCACACGAAAATCCCGTACAAAACATCCACCGTTCTCTCTCTCCTCTTCAGCCCTAAGTTCTCCTTCCCCTGCTTAGTACCGAATCGCACTTCCCGCCCCGCTCTCACTACAATACTATCACACGCACCCTTTGCGCTACCAAACAGGGCCTGGGATATCTTGAGAGTATTTCATAGTTGAGCGTGAAGTTGGGGACGGAGACATAGCCTGAACTGGCGAAATTGAGCAGGAAGTGGTGTGAGTGGAGGAGATCACAGATGAAGAAAGTGGTTAACAAACAATATGGGTGAGAGAGGCGGGGAGGAGGCGAGACTTCCAAAGAAGGAAACAGCAGATACAGAACTCAAATCCGATGGGTTAGAAATCAGACTTATTCACAATATTGTAGCGAGAAGGAAGGGGGTCGAGACGGTTGTACTGAGAATTAATACTAGGACGGATGTGAGCGATGAGGAAACGCACTATTGTACGCAGTACGTGTATATAATTGAGCGAATGAGAAATAAGATACCCCACATAGACTTGTCAAGTCCACTCTTATCATTCCGAGTATTTTTTGCACGCAAGATGAGGTAAGAGCAGATCTATACCGATACATTTTATTTTCGTTTGCTACATTTTTCGTACCGCCTTCCCAACACAACTTTTCTCTCTCTCTCTCCTTATCTGGAGACGTGGATACATGCTTTCTAAATCTTAGTCCAAAAACGCTAGTTTTAGCGGCGCTTTAACCATTTTACTCTAGGAGCAGATGCATGTGGGTGCGGGTAGACTATACCGTTTAGGAGTGGAGCGAGTAGCGTCGGGGGAGGGAGGGGGATATGCATAAATTCAGTAAAAGAAAAAAAAGGGGGGTGGATGGGAAAGGCCAGATATGCAAGATGCGGTACAGAGTAATGTTCTAGTGTTCAACCAGGTACCAGTGTAAGGGCAATAGTATGACCGAATAATTCATGATTGGAATACTATTCTACGGTATGTTTATTAATTGTTTAAAAAAAAAGGAAGTAAGAGGCAAAGACGATGATTGGGGAGCGAAGTTGAAGAAGAACAAGAAGAAGAAACCCTTGGGAGCCGTGGTGTCGCTCTCCTGCTGCTGACAAACTTGTCGCTTGGGTATGACCAACACCCCCAACGCCAAAAAGATAATATCTCCATCTACAAAACGTATCGTGACCTTTCTGGCTGAATCTGTTATGCTGTATATCTTTGGGATCCGCTTGCGATACCAAGTTGATGTATTAAGGGAGAGGAGTGTTTAAGCAGGAGAGGCGATTGCGCCGTCACCTAGAACCCTCGCCACCAGAATGTAGAGCATCATTGTGCCAAAGAGAATCCTCCACTTGTTGCGGCTCAACCAACTCTGACCTGCATCCCGTGCTATTTGCGCAGCGTCCTGGACGACCGTTGCGCTGGTACCGGGTCGCCGTCTCAGGCCCGAGACGTCCGGCGAGCAAGGTGGGTGTTGTGCGGGTGAAGGAGCGGGCCGGGGTAAACCCGTGGCCGGATCAATGCGCTTTTCCTTCATCCACCTAAGGTTTTCCTCGTCTATGTCGGGCCACTCGTGTCGGAACTTTGCACCGCCGTCACCTGCCCTGATGTTGCCGTTTTGACCGCCAGCCGCATTGCCCGAGCCGATCGCCTTTGTGCCACCACCTGTACTGTTCCACCACCTTGTGCGCTGTGCAAAGAGTTTGCGCTCTGCGTCGGATGCGCGGACACTGCCGGTCGTCATCTCCTCGCTCGTCATGAAACTCAGCAGGCCAGTGAGAATGGTGCTGACTTCCCAGGCGGGATTGAAGCTCTTAGGGTGAAAGTCGGATATACTCAGGCACAACCGGCTGCTGGGCTGAAAGCGGCCAGAGGGTGTGTGCATGCGAATGGCAGGCGGGGCGAAGGGATAGTCTGGTGGGAAGTTGAGGGTGCCCCAGTACTGGCCGCCCTCGTACGGCGTGTCTGGTGGGCCGGTGATGATGTAGTGCCACTCTAGGATGTTCCGGTCCGAGGGATGTGCGGTAATGTAGGGCGGTGGAGATTTTGAAATAGTGGCATATTCTCTGGTAAGGCGCTTGGTGGCCGCCGGTGTCGCCATGGTGGGTGAGCGTGGTATGTGAAAGGCGGGTGGGCTGGGGTTGTCGACGTGGTCCTATCTAGGGAATCGACACTGACGTGCTGTTTGTATGATGGTGACAAAGTAAGAGCAGTTGGCACGATGCGCCTGCTGTAAAAATGGAAGCGCAAACGAGCTGTAGTCTGGACGAAGAGAATCGGAGGAAAACACAGGCAGCGAGAAAGAGGTAATAGGGATCAAATAGGACAATGAGAGAGAAAGAAAGAGACCGAGTCTGGGGTTCGGGGTCAAACTGTGGTCGGGAAGCAGGCGGCACGTGCGCCCCGACTCAGCCCGCAGCGGGCGATGCAGACTTCAAGGTTTCCGAACGTCTGCCAAGCATCACGCATTCAGACAACACACAGCCCAATGGCTTCGCCGCACGAAGACGATGTACGTAGTCTAGACACTTATATATAGCTACTGGCGGCTAATTGACTATCCAGGTCTTCGAAAGGCTCAAGAACAGGACGGACCTGAAGGAGCAGCAGCGACAGCAGGATGAGCTCAACGCGCGATTGCAAGCTCAACAACAGCGGGCGCAGCAGCGGCTGGGCGAATTGGTATGTATCATGGAGAGGGAGGGAGATTAATCAATGGTATTACTAATCCTATCCTAGGTTGACGACAACACCTCGCTGCCAGTGACAATCTCGTCGGTCCGCGTCCTCCATGCCAATCGCACACGGAGAAGTTTCCTCGAGCGGGTGGTTGAGCCACTGCTAAGCGCAAACCGCACTGAGCCATATACGCTGGAAGAGGCACTCAAGGAGGTGGGCGAGGCTACCGACAAACTCAATCGTTTTGGTACAACCCCCACCAACTACTCGCTTTCACATGTCTGACACCCACCAGGCATCTTCAAGTCGCCAATCTCAGTCTACCTCGATCGCCCCAGCCAGACCATTGCCACATCCTCACCTACCGATGTCGATGTCTACATCTCGGCCATTGAGCGCGGCAACTACACAATCAAGACCGGAACAGAGGCCGGCGCTTCGGAGGCAGACGCCTATGTCCACGCCGAACTCCGCAACCTGTTTGGAGGAGCAGAGACGCTCAATGCACACGGATCCCTGGGTACACGCACACGCTCAGCCTACTCCCTCGCTTTTGACACGCCCATCCTCACCAACCCTGATCTCAAGTTCCAGCTGAACGGTTTCGCAAGTTCGACACTCAAGAGCTGGGCAAGCCATGAAGAGGTTCTCAAGGGCGGAAACTCGAAGCTGCTATGGAGATTGAAGAATGGAGCTACGCATGAAATCGGTTACTCAGCCATTTGGCGGCAGATCACCAGCCTGGCAGAGAACGCTTCGCCTTCTGTCCGCGCCGATGCAGGCGATTCCTTCAAGTCGAGCATCACGCACACCTGGCTACAGGACAAGCGCGACTACCCTCTCCTTCCCAACAGGGGCTACATGATGAAGAGTGTATCTGAGCTCGCAGGTTTTGGTCCCCTGAAAGGCGACACAGCTTTTTGGAGGTCCGAGGTTGAGTCACAAGTCGCACTTCCCTTTGGCAATACCGGCATTACTCTTACCGCTGGTCTACGAGGAGGTCTTCTCTACCCTATGAAGTTAGCTGGGGAGAACCAATATCAGGCTTCCCGCATCAACGACCGCTTCCAGCTTGGTGGCCCTAACAATGTCCGCGGGTTCCGCCTTGCTGGACTTGGTCCCCGTGATGGCCCTGATTCGCTGGGCGGTGATATCTACGCAGCTGGTGGCGCATCGCTGCTCCTTCCCATCCCACGTGTTGGCAAAGAGACTCCCCTCCGTCTACAAGCCTTCATCAACGGTGGCCGCCTTCTTGCACTCAAGAACCCCAACTCCAAAAAGGAAGATGGATCCTTTGGCAGCTCAAGCGATGTCTACAGCGCTATCCGAAAGTCTTTCTCAACCCTCACTGCCGAGATGCCGAGCGCAGCAGCAGGTTTCGGACTTGTGTACGCACATCCCGTTGCACGATTCGAAATCAACTTTTCCCTGCCACTAGTCATGAGGGCCAAGGAAGAGAGCAGGAAGGGCTTGAGCTTCGGAGTAGGAATCGAATTCTTGTAGGCAATCTATATGTAGAGAAGAAGATATGTACATGTACTAGTAGGCTCTGTGTTGACTCAAGCAAGCAAGCAAGCAGAACACTTTTCACTTTCCGCACCTCGCTTTACTTCCGTGCCGAACGGTCTTCGTGACAAGTTGTCCTACTCACACACTAATAGGGGTCACGCCGTAGAAGAAAGGTGGCCCACCTATCTAGTTCGCCACCAACTGGGGTCCCTCAAATACCTTCTTCGGATCATAATCCGCCTTGAGCTTAACTAACCTCGCATAGTTCTCACCCCAGTATCTCTTATGCGCCTCGTCCTTGCTCAACCTCGGATCCGCATAGTTAATATACATGCCGAACTGCTCGCCGGGCGTCGCCTTCTCAATCGCACTCACCCACCCATCCAAAAACGAGAAGTAACTAGTCTGATACATATCGTTGTTCATGATGCGGTCGTAAAATTGCATCTTGAACACGGCGTCGCGGTGCGAGTACGCCGTTGCACTGTTAGGCACCGCCGAAACGGCAGAGCCCTTGCCGCCGTGGAGGTCAATGAGGAGGTACCATCCGCGACGGATCTTGACCGCTGTGGTGAAGTAGTAGTCTGCCAAGGCGTAAATAGCTTTCTCAGACAGTGGCTGCGTCATGAGTGACTTGGCGTAGAAATTCTCGTGGGTATCGTAGATTTCGGCCTGGGGCAAAGGGCCAAAAGCGAAAGCTGTCAGTGTATCGATCCAGCCCTTGACGGATACGGTGGCGCCCGAGCCGGTGCTGCTGGCACCGATTTTGGCGAGAAGCGGGTTCATGATTGTGTCATAGGAGGAGCGGTTGCCGTAGTAGACGCCAGTGAGTTGGCCGGGGACGAAGGTGCGCATGTTGAGTTCAGGGGGTTGGTCGTACAAGCTGAAGTTTTGGAGGGTGGAAAGGACGTGGGCGAGCTGCGAGGTGTTGGAGGGGGAGAAGTTGTAGTTGAAGTTTATGATGTTTTCAGGTGCGTTGTAGGTTTTGAACTTGTAGTCGACAACGATGCCGAAGGCGCCACCTGCACCACGGAGCGCCCAGAAGAGGTCTGGGTTTTCGGTGGCGGAGGCTGTCACGACTCTACTGTCGGCCAGAACGACCGTCATGGAGATGACTTGGTCGAGGGCGAGACCGTGGGTACGTGAGGAGAGGCCGTAGCCGCCGTGGAGAGTGAGACCTGAGATGCCAACGCTGTAGTGCTCGTGTTAGTGAAGGGCTTCTTCAGTGATGCATATTTTTGCTCTGTTAAAGACTTACCCAGGACAGGTTCCATGACTGAAGGCTTGCTTTCCTTGAGCATACAGTTTTGTTGCAATGTCGCCCAGTCGTCCACCTGCTCCGATGACAGCAGTGTGAGCAACTGGATCGGCAGTGACGTTGTTGAAGCGACGCATGTCAACGACCAAGTGGCCGTCTTCTCCTCCGAGGCCAAACGAGGCATAACTGTGTCCTCCACACTTTCCAGAGACTCGGATGCCGGCCGCAACACCGCAAGCTACGGCGTCTTGAATGTGCTTGATAGTCGATGGAACAGCATAAGAGGCAGGCGTGATAGGCACACGAAGGTTGAACGGCTTTATCGCCTGAGTGTAGTTGCCGGTATTCTTGGCGTATGTAGGGACACCCTTGGAGGCAAGGCACTCGTCAAGAGTAGCACGCTTGTCGAGGGGGTTGGCAAGTGTGGTAGTAGAAAGAAGCGTAGCCAAGGCCACGAACCAAGTAGAACAAGCTTTCATGCTGAAGAGGGGTTGGAATAGACTTCACAGCAGAATTGAAAGTGATCGTCTATAATCGTAGTAATCCCATTGCTTAAGTGTTTCCTGTACCTCGAGGAATGGGAAATTGACAAGCACACCCTACTTTGCAGATTGTACTTTAGCAAGCAAACACGGCTTGAAATAATCGGATCACGGGTCGAAACGTTCACATAAACTTCCCAGATGCATCCGTATGAGTTTCCAAGGAAAAGACCCACATAATTTTCTTGGTTCTCCATCGGAGCCATGAAGGCGCGCTCAATAGCACGCCGAGTATAGGGTGGTGTTGCGTATAACATGACTGCATCATCAGTCAAAATTGTGGGTGAGGGGCACCGTGTGTAAGTACTAGGAGAGGAGAGTTTATCGTTCTGACATCATCCGTGTGGGGATTGGCGGAGAGGAAGATTAAAAATTGAATACTTGTCTTAAAGTATACAAGGTCTTAGGTGATGTACGGCAAGGCTTCCTTTGCCGGCATATACGAGCCTGAGGGCGGGGCTTGGCTGGGGCGGCAGCGGCAGCCATGTTCCCGGCCAACGGCGCTGCCAAGGCGTGCCCCTAAATTTACTTCCGACACGTGAGCACCATAGCCGGTATACATAGTTGTTTAATTTCCCCAGCTTGATCTACTCGGGCACACCATCCGGCTGAAACAAATCACCCCCCCGTCGAAACATGGCTTCAGATTACGATAAATTGTCCGCTACGTCGTCTTTAACCGGCTTGGAATTGCATGCTTCTCCACAAGGAAGCTTTCCCTCGTGTTGCACTCGCATCTCATAGTGCAGCCCGGCTCTTTAACCCGCGGCGGTTGTGGCTGCTTGTTTCAGCGTGGCCGGTGGGAATTCTCCTTTGCGTGCGCGTGCCGCTAACTCCACCATGGCGGAAATTCGAGAGGGATACAATGCAAGCGTAGTACAAAACCGCACGACTGCCCTGAGTGTGAGGCCCACACCCGTCTCCATCGTCACTCATTATGCTGTCTACCAACCCCCTTCTTCTGCCGCTCTTCGGCTCCGTTGCGAGCGCCGCCAACCTATGGGCTAGCCATTACTCGGGTACCCTCAACTACCTCACTTTTAGCGGAAACTCCTTGACTCTGAGCGGCTCGACACCTACCGGTAATAACCTGCCAAGCTGGCTCACGTACGACCATGCGGGAAAGGCCATCTACGTTGCAGACGAAATCTTCACGGGCCAAAGCGGGGGAAACCTTGTGTCCTTTGCTGTCGGCAACAACGGTACCTTGAGCTCGCAAAGAAAAGGCCCAACCCCTCAGGGTGTAGTTGCAACGACGCTCTATGGTGGTTCTGACGGGCGAGGCTTTATTGCCAATGCTCACTAGTAGGCCAACACGCTCTCCACATGTCAACAGCTGCTAACCTCGAAACAGCCAAACTTCGCAGCTGACGACTTTCAAGCTGCCGTTGGACGGCCAGCAGCCACTCCAGACAATCAAGTACGTTGGCAAGAGTGTCAACCCTTACCGACAGGAGGCTGCTCATCCCCACCACGCCTTCGTAGACCCAACTGGAGATTTCCTGATTGTACCTGATCTTGGATCCGATCTCATCCGGATTCACAAGATTGACAAGGCTTCGGGTAAGTTGACGGAATGCACCCCCGCAAAGCCAGTTCCTGGAACCGGACCCCGCCACGGCGTCTTCTGGAAGCCCTCGGCGAAATCTTCCCGAATCCGACAAGCTGGAGGCAACACGGTTCTCTTCATCGCCAATGAGCTGTCCAACAGCATCTCTGGATGGGCTGTATCGTACCCCTCCGGAGGGTGCTTGACCTTGACCCTCAAGCAAACATTGACGCCATACCAAGGCAACGCCACCGCCGTTACCGGCACCAAGGTCGGCGAGATCCACGTCAAGGACCAATACGTCTACATTTCCAACCGAAACGACAAGAAGTTTAATGGCCAGGACTCCATTACTCAGTACACCATTGATTCCACCGGACGCCTTACCTGGACTGATCTTACTTCGTCTCACGGCACCTATCCTCGCACTTTTGACATCAACAAGGCGGGTGACTTTGTTGCTATTGGTGACCAGACCACTGCCAATGTTGCTATTGTTGCCAGAGATGTCAAGACTGGTAAGCTCGGCCAGAAAGTAGGTGACTTGAGAATTGGTGCTGCCGGCAGGCCTGAGAACGAGGACGGTCTGAGCGCTGTTGTATGGGCCGAGTAAGCCGTATTATAGTAAGCACGCTGTGTGCCTTCGGTGGGAGAACCCTATTCGGGAAGCTCGCGGGTAGACCCGGTTGTTGGATAAGGTGTATATATCATATTCGTGTTTAAACTTTGGGCTAGTTAGTTGAAATTATGATATTCGTGTTCGTGGAAGAATTGTTGTTGGGGCGGAAGGTGTGAATGATGTGACCCGCTAAGACGCTAACAAGCAGTCATGCCTTTTGTGCTAGGAGCTAGTATATCATTTCGTGCTCTGTACACAAGCCGCGTGCCATATCCTACAGCTGTACAAATAAATCTGTCAGCATCATAACTATGTGTAAGCAGCGTGTACACATCCCAAGCACAATTCTTCATAAACCTACACGCATCAATCCCGTTGACTACCATAAAGACCCATAGCCACCTCACTTTATGCCTTGTACTACAGTTCACAGCATTAGCAGAGGACGTAGAGGACTTCGACTATTGTGGTTCCTTGCCACCCACAAGCAGATATCACTGATGACTAACCACTGACAGATTCAAATCCTTGCGTCACTAATTGAAGGCAATACCCAGTACACTAACAAATCTTACAAGATTAACTGGTCAATACGTTTTCTTCTCCTAATACGATGATTTAAAAGCGGAAACCGCAGAGGACACCTAAAACCCCATCACAAGTGATGTCAACACAACAAGCACAGAGCACACATGGTGTTCGGAATACAACCAGGAATCCTCGACTGAGTGATGTTGATTCTACGTACGTTGCGAGACTAGATTAGACATTTCACTGTAAAGAGTCAGGTACAAACATTAAGTTTAGATCGCTCCAACAACCACTATCGCTATTTCTGCCCATCAGCTCCTTGTATGACGGGCTTGTCAATCATGTTCCAACGAGAGACATTATATCTTCTCCAAAGACTGAAATCAGGTCCACAGCAACATCATCTAGACAATGATAGCTATGTAAATATTACATGGCGTCTGCTGGAATGGACTGTGTTTTCATGGGCTGATTCTTCAAGAAGTTATGAGGATGCCCAGGTCCAGGATTTGGTAGATAAGCTAGATACTGCAAGATTGTAAAAGACTTCTAGTACACTGACGAACTTACGTGATATGGTTTCGACGAAGCGCAATGTTTTTTTAAAGATATGGTATATGATGAGGGAGAGCTTGAAATGACTTGCATCACGAATAGTTCATATCATGACAATTTGCTGGTGGAAATATCCACGATAACCGCATGTCCGGAAAAGATTATAACTTTGAGGTTTGTTGTGTGGTAGCGATATGGCTCCCATCCAGACAAGACAAAACTAGAAATCACCACCATGACTTCTACTAAGCACCATCGATATCGATATCCATTCAAGTATCCCTATCAAGGAGGTACACACTCCCTCGTACCTACCACCACCCACACCCTTCGCTCACATCCATTAACCCTCCATATTTCACCCCAACTATCCCCCATTATCCTCTCCACTAACATTCTTACCCAACATGTCCCCAACCGTCGCCTTCCTCACCACCTTCGCCCCCCTCCCCGCCACAACCCCATCATCCCACGCGCACATCATAAATGACTTCGCCCGCGGCACCTCGACTCCCCACCTCCAAGACGCCATTGTCACTCTACTCTACAACGTCTCACCCAGCACACTCTCCACATTCCTCGAACCCGACATCAAAGAATTCCGACTCGTACAGACACGTAGGCAGGGCAGAGACGCAGGCGAAGAACTAATAGTTATGAAACGAAGCCGTAAAGTCATTGTAAGAACCTACTTCTCGCCCAAGCTTCACTTGGTGCATCTTCTCTTGTCCTCTGTCCCACCACACTTGACCACCGTATACCACTAACACTGCACAAGGTAGGTCTCGCAACTCACTCCCCAGACCTCTTTGACACCCTCGAATTCGACAACCTCGTTCGCTTGGAGATCAACGCAGAGGGGGCGTGGAAAGTCATGTATGCGTCGTATCGCGATTACTTCTGTGACAGCTGGGATGATGTTTGGGACGGGAGGACGGTGAATCGGGGGTGGGATTGTCTCAGTTTGAGGGCGTGGGTGGAGGATAAGAGGTTGGAGAGTAGGAAGCAGTTGGAGATTCTTGCGGAGGAGTTGATGTGGGCGGTACTGAGGGGGAGGATGTGGGAGGCGGGAGGGTTTGCGTCGACGCTTGTTACTGGATAGTTGGAGGGATGAGATGGGGGATTTTTGGGAGTATGGGTTGGAAAAAGTACGGCTTGGTTGTGGGAGTTATATTCGTTATCATATTGAGTAGTTTCTTACCAACATATTCTTTCAGTCATGTTGAACAATTCATTGCTTGGCAGTCATTCACATCTTCACTCCACAATGAGCGATAATCTTGAATCCAGTTGTATCCAGTGATCAGAAACTGGACAATTGCAAATACTGGCCATGTCACATACCGCATATACTCTGTCATATCTCACCCATACCCTCAGCACTCATCGTTGTTCAACTGCATTAAAATGTCACACTCATCACCTCACCTCACCCATCTCATGATTCACCAGTAGCCCAGTCCCCCAACAATCCCATATAAACTCAACCCCCCCCCCCCCCCCCAGCACCTCCAACTTCAAACCACCAAAAAAGTCCAATTCCTCTACTCTCATCCACAAATCCAATTTCCAAAAAAGCCCATCAACAATGCCTTCCAACACCACCTCCACCGCAATGGACCTCTCCACGCCCCCCACCACACCAACCAGCAACCAGCAACCAGCAACTCAAATACCGAAAACTACACCATCGCATTCCCCACCCTCCCACCAAACACCCCCGAAACACACGCCCACACCATCAACCTCCTGACTCCTCCTGCGCACCCAAGCCTACAAGACACCCTCGTAACAACCCTCTTCCAAGTCTCTCCCTCGACGCTATCCCGCTTCCTCGGCCCCACAGTGCACACTTTCAAAGAGGTTCTCGGAGAGGGGGGTTAGGGAGCTGGCGGGGGTGGTGCTTGGCGGGAGGTTTTGGGAGGGAATGATGAGGAATTAGGGGTTGAGGGTGTGAACGGGGCATGGGAGTTTTCGGTTTCGTGGAAGGAAGGTCATGCAGAGGTGGTTTGATGATGGGTCTCTTTTTGACACGGCCACAGTAGTGGCAAGGGGATATCAAAGGGACAACGGTACGAATGATCGGATGAGCAGGACATGCAATTCCAAACAAAAGATATCCAAAAACTTCCATTGGATGCCAGCAATGACATAAAATGATAAGAGAAAAAAAGAACATAGGGTGTATATGCAAAACGCCGTCATAAAAAGGACCAACCGTCTATCCAAACTCAGTTGACCATTTCATATCCTCAATGCACGCTCATCGTGCAGAGGAGAAAATTCCCTTCTTGCTCAAAAAGAAGAACTCCTTCGTCTAATGGGCACCACAACGCCAGACGCAAATGTGACAGTATCCAAAACACGACACAGGAAAAATCACCATTTCCTCGGTCCAAAAGTCTCTCCTTTCGGGACTTCCTTATAAGGACAAGCCTGCCAATCGCAGCCCTACTCAAACATTAGCACATCACTCAACCACACAATAGACAACAAATATCTTACCTGCTTATAAACCTCAGTACCCCACCACTTGAACCCGCTCATCCACCCTGGATACACGATACCAAAGAATATAACAACAACACCAAACGCAAGCCCAGAATCCAGGGCAGCACTAAGCATCATGTTGTACTTTTTCCACCAGGCATTGCGACGATTCTTGATCTCGTAGTTGAACAGGTAGCACACCATTGCCCAGACGGAAAAGTTGAGACCGGTGGCCGGCGGGATCCAGCTTAGGCTGCCGAATACGACGGCAAGGTTTACTTTGCTGAGGATGGACTTGCGATCGCCGCGGGCGAGGTAGTATAGGATGACGGGTGCGATGGCGCCGATGGGGAAGGCCCAGACGAGGTGTTGGTAGAGGGCGCCGGGGCCAAAGAATTTGCCGGGCCCGACGACGCCCCATAGGATGCTGCCGTTGAAGTGGACGCGGGCGATGGGGCAGTTGAAGCCGTTGATGGCGTCGGGGGTGCAGATGCCGGGGATGTAGTTGAGCATCCAGTTGAGGACGCCAATTTGGGTGAGACTGGATACGATAGTCACAATAAGCTGCAGTTTGAACAGGATTCGTGGAGGAATCTTCATGTAGTGACCGAGCTTGAGGTCAGATGCGAACTTCAAACCCTGCGTCGCTGAGATATATCCAAAAGTGGTAAACACCATATTGGCAACGGGACGACCAGGGAACACAACACCGCAGATGAGCTGACAGATGAGGTAGATGCTGCTTTGTTGGTTCGTAATCGCCATGACAATGCCAATCGGGATAAAGAGTGCCGCGCCGATTCCGAGTGCGAGCAAGAGACCATACCAGGGAAGATAGACAGGGTAGTACTCGACAACGAACATGCCCACAGCTGCCATGCTGATACCAGTCAACAGATACCAGGAAATCGGCACGTCTTCATATCTTCTCATCAGTCGGTTGTGGACATCCTCGGCCGACAAAAGGTCCTCGACATCCGGCTCAGAGTTTGGACTAGGTCTTTGTGGAAACCCAACAGGAGACGCAGGGCATGCGTTGTCTTCGGGGCTCGTGGTCAATGGTTGATAATCAGCTGCTGACTCTTTTCTAATTTCAGCCCATGAGCGACGCCACTGCCTCCAAATATCCTTTCCGTACCAAAGCCCCGTATGCGAGAGCAGAGCGGTGAGGCCGGCGAATTGCAGAGCATAACTGAGCACATATGTGATGGGAAGGTATACTCGGCTGTACTTTTGGTACGCCTCTTCGTCAAACAGAAAATTCTCGGTCAAAATCTTACTGACGTCGTACGGCTTTCCGCGATTGTCCCATACGGCAGAGGATAGAATGGGCATGTAGGATGAGTAGAGGACGTTTTTGTAATCTCCACATTGTCAGCACCTCAAAAAGGAAGTTGCCGTGGTGTACTTACACATTATTGGCGCTGCAATCCACATGACACCGACAAGACCTCCAAGAATGTTCATGGCAGCCCAAAAAGGCGTAATCAACGGAGATCCAATATATGCAATCTGAGCCCAATCGAAGGTGACAGGAAATAATCCAAGGCCGGATGAGATTCCAAACTGCAATGCATAAGTATGGCTTGCTGTATTTGTTCACGTTCATGTCCAACATACCAGGTTAGCAACAACAACATTCTTGGGCGCAAACCAAGTGAGTACATTGAAGTAACTCAACGCAGGGAAGAGTAAGCCGGGAAGAAAGTAAAAGGCAACGGATCCTAAGAATATGCGGACAAAGAACTTGCGCGGCGCAATTGTCCAGCCATCAGCTGGCTTGTTCTCATCTTTGTGCAATGCAGTGAACATAGCAGTGGAAACCAATGTGCTTGGCCAGATCATGCCGCTGGGCCGGACGAGATAGCGCCTGGTGATGCCGGCAAGGGAGTAGCCTAGGATCTGAGTGGAGAGGATGAGCAATACTTGATACATTATGCCAAGGTCCTGACGGTAGAACTTGACCTGCTCGACAATGACCTGTACATGTCAGTATTAGAAATGGGCATTTTTGCCAGTTTACACACGTCAGTTGCGAAGGCAAAGCCAAAAGACACATTGCTGCTGACGTATACACAGCAATGCTCTTTTTCGTTCCAGCGGCCTTGGGCAAGCCAAAGACGTGTGCGACGTGTCCAGCTGGATTTTGCATTTAATTGGGGTGAGGCTGCCTGGACGCATCCATCGACAAAGGTTTCTTCGGGGTCGCTTGATCGTTTAAAGAGTTGGTCCCAAAATAGGCCCATGGGGTGGACGAGTAGTAATGCAATAATAGGAGTAAGGCTAACGCTAGGGTATCGTAGGGAAAAGAAGAGGTTTGTAGAAGAGCCAGCAATGGAGAAGATGATGGACAGAAACCACATGCGTGGGGTATCAATGGACAAGGAGAGGTTGTCGGTAGCGGCTACTGATGCTCTTACTTGAGCGTAGGGCGAGTTGTCGGAAGGGTTTCCCTTCATATCGTGCAAATCAGCGCCGTGGTCCTCGTCTGAGGCTTCATCATCGTCTAGCGTAGTGCTTGAAGAGGCAGAGCTGTCAAACAATGGGGCGTCCGCGGCGGAAGGGTCGAGGCCGCTTGCGTTGAACCTTGGCTCGAAACGGGATTCCTCGTGCCCAGCAGAGGCTACACCAACCGTTGTGCTGCTACGACTAGCGTCTCCTGTCCTGCGACGCGACCCAGCGGCGCCCAGTAATGAATCACCATGGGAAAGCCTACTCTTACCCTTTTTCTTTGGCAAGGCCTCAGGCCCATGATTTTGATCAGGTTCGTCAGGGCTTGATGAAAGAATGGGCAGGACGCCATATGAGCCTGGCGGTGCGGTCAGCACGTGCTGCAGGGAAACGGCAGTGAGCCAGCCTTGTGCGCCGTTGCTCGTGTGCGCCCATGCAAAGGGGGCGAGAGACGAGAGGCGAGCGATGAATCGAGCGCGTCGCAAATAATAACTAGCTTACCTGTACCCTGGGCCGGGCTGGACCTCACCAGGAGGGGCACTCTTGACATGGTTTTTGTGAGAGATTGGGGAGAGTCGTAGGAGCGTTCAGCTGGCAGATCAAGGTCGTCATCAGAGCTGGATTGGGATGTGGGTAAGTGTGTTGCTTTTCCTGGGAGGACCTGTAACTCGACGCTGACAGTCACGGTCGCAGGCACGGGACGGGACGGGTGGCGCGTGTGTCCGGGAGGATAGGCAGGCGAGGGAGCAGCAAGTGGCAGAGGCGACTCGTGCCCGGCCTTGTCATCCATATGTACTGGGGGGGGCGCATCCACAAGTGTCGCCAGGACGGTGCAAGTGGTCTTGTTTGTCACGCCTAAGCAGCTTCACGCGGGAAGATAATCAGATGATCAGATAATATTCCACAGGGCGCCGATGGGTTGGGCCGTAATTCTATTCTTTGCACCATCTGATTAGGCAGAACCGCGGCCGAGGTATCATGACGTGAACGGGGCTGGTCTGCAGCCAATGGCGCGTGCAGTCTCTTTACATTACGCGGTTAGATCCGAACGGCCATGTGGGCGTGGGGGTCCATCAAACCACTGCCGTGCGCGCCAGCCGCCGCCTGCAGGTCATGGCCTCCTACCTGCATGGATGGCAATGTGTGCCCCGGCTATGAATGTAGGGCCACAGCGTATCGCCATGTAGCAGCTGTCCGACTTTGTTTTTCTCTCTCTCTATATATATCGCCTATGGCATAGACGCATGATTGTACAACGCACGCACACCTACATGACTCCCCTCAATGTGACGTAACCTCTTCTTCCTTCACATGCACATGACCAGTTACGCCCGCGTGGCCATTGGCTCGAGTACCGGCGGTGAGGCTCTCAACCATCTTGATAGCGCCCTCGGTGTCGTCCTTGTTATACAGAAACAATCCCTGCAGCGATGCCGTACTCACTGCATCGACGAGGCCTAGCTCTCTGGCCCTGGCCATAAATCTCTGCTTCGCTTCCCCACTTGCATCGAAACCGGCGTAGAACCGATCCCATAGCTGTTCGATCTGGTACTCCGTCGCCTCACCGAGTCGCACCGTCATGTCCACGCGTCCTGGCCTCACAAGCGCCTCGTCCAGCCTCTCGATATGGTTCGTCGTCAAGAAGATGATGCGCTCCTCAGCACTAGCGACACCGTCCAAGGCGTTGAGGAGCCCGGAGAATGTCACTGATGCGCTTGCATATCCGTCGGCGCCAGGAATTTTTCGGTTCATAAAGGCAACATCCACGTCCTCGAGCAGCACGACGGTGCGACGCGGGACTTTGGTCAGCAGGTGGTTCAGTCTGTCGTCGGTGAGGCCGCGCTCGCTGACATTGAGGATGGCAATGTTGAAATCGAGATGACCTGCAACTGCCTGGATAAACGAGCTCTTACCAGTACCAGGGGGGCCGTACAGCAGATAGCCTCTTCGGTAGGGTATGCCCCGGTCCAGGTACCATTTGCGTGACGAGATGAAGGCCTCCATGTCCTCTACAATTCTCTCCTTGACCCCGCGCTCGAGAACGACCGAGTCGAGCGGGCGCTTTCGCTTTGCATCGCCAAACTGCTGCCACATGGTGCCCATTGAGTTGTATATGACCGTCTTGCCCTCGTGTGACTGCTGGTATATTTGGTGCGCCTCGGCGAAGATGTCCTCGAAGACATGGCGATGCGAGTACAGGGTCGTGAGGCTGATAGTCTCAAAGGGCACGCCATCCTTTACATTGAGGCTGTTTCGTTCCCGTTGCCGGTCGACTAGGATGAAGGCGTTGTTGTAGCGCAAGAGATGCTTGCCCGGTCCGGGAACAAAGGAAAAGTGGGCGGCGTGCGAAGGCCCGTCGGGAGGGGTGTATGTTTGCACCTGCAGATGATGCATGCGCGGGTCGATGCGATTGAGGATTTTGGCGAGCACAGTGTTGTGGGCAAGTGGCCTGGCTCCGGCTTGCTGTGCGCGGTGATAGTTGGTCATCCATTGCAGGACCCAAGGATAGGCATCGTCATGGCGAGTGATTTCGAGATCGACGAGCATGCGGCGTTTGATGAATGCGGCGCCATGCTGCAATCCTTTCTGGCCCGTCCGCGCCGCAACTCCAAGCGCTGCGAGGCCGAAGCCCTATGGCATGAGTGAGCACAGGTCGAGCATGGCAGGCATGGGCGGCAGAGGTCAATTCATACGGCGGTGAAGAAGGGATTGTCGGCAGCCTGGGAAAACAGCGATGCTGAGCTGTCGCCCCGGGCAGCAGTCATCTGCTGTGCCAGCTGGTGTTGTGGCGTGTTAGGTTCCATGGGGGGAGAGAGATTGGCCTGCACACAAATTTGATAGGTCATGGACGCTAGCGTGGGACATCCAACTACACACGCACACCAGGGCGCGTGCGCATGTCACACAGCTACAGCGCCCTGGGCTGCCTGAGACAGATAAGACCCTGTATGCGCACAGCATGTCTGTACATATATACATACATACACACACATACATGTATATATGTGTTTGCATCCGCGCATCCAGATAAAATCAAAGTCTTGCGCAGTGTGGCTTGCAGCAAGGTCCAAGAGGGAGCTGCAGCTGCATGGAGAATCCGGGGTCGCGGAAGACGATCGCTCTTTCCCACATCTGCGGAGGGGTGGAGCGCTAGGGCGACGCTTGGACCGACCCCTTCCCCCCGTTACTGATAACCATGATAGCCGCCTGTGTGCCCATTCACCTGCCTTGACTCTTGCACTGACGCCTCTGCCTCTGGCTGCAAGCCTCAGTCCTTCTTCTCCTGTGCTTCATGGCCACCGTAACAATCGGAAGACCATATTTCGACGCCCTCCTGCGCAGGTATGTCCTTGCACCACTTGGCCCAGACCACCCGTCCCATATGGCCTCTGCTGACTAGACCCATAGGGCCGAATTAGTTAGTACTTGTCCCTGGGCCCAGATGCCACCTGCGCTAACGGAGACGGCCAGCATGCTCCCACTCAGCATGTCAAGTATGGCACTGATCTCTACAGCAATGTCACCATCAGCAAGGCTGAGCACGACTACATGGTGCGACCCCTGTGGCACAGCATTGCTGCCATTGTGCTTTCTAGCTCATGCACTAACAGACCGCCGATTATAGGTTCAAGCGCTACGAGAGTACCGTATGTATGCCCCACTCCAAGCCGCATGCTAGCTATAGTTGTGCCATGGCCCCCACATATCACAGAATAGCCTCTCAGTTTGCTTAGATCTTCTCAAAAGCGCTCTGTTCCGCGGGGGCCTGACGGTCGAGACACTGAATACCCTTCTCCAAGATGAGGGCACTGCCACAAACGAAGAGCCGTCGGGATACGATTACGAGTCAGAAACTACGCCCGTCCGAGCCAGAACCAGAGCATTCGCAGGCATAGAACATGACCAACATACTATCAGTCAAGACGCACACTCGGCAGCATCTCATCGTCAACGCCTTCGTGCTTCTGGAGAGACTGGGACTTTCACCTACGGTCCAGACAGCCAGCTAGATGAGGATGAAAACGACCAGACCCAGTCCCCGAGTCAGCTCATTCCGCCTCATGCCCAGCGGACCGTACTAATCACGAACCTACCGGAACGCACTACCCACAAAGACTTGGCAAGCATCGTACGAGGTGGAAGGCTCCTAGACATATTCCTCCGGAACGATCGATCAGCCACCATATCCTTTGTTGAAGGTGCAAGCGAATTCCTCGCATACGCCAAGCGTAACGATATATACCTGCACACGAAAAGGGTAAGTTGAAGTCTGTTAGTTTTTTGGGTCTTTCGAATTATATGCTGACTCCATCAGCTCGAGTTCCGCTGGAACGATAGACAATTTCACGTGCCCTCACACGTATCTACCAAGATTGCCAATGGAGCAACCCGGAACCTCGTGGTACGAAACATTGCAGGAAAGCTCACGGCAGATCAGATCAGGGATCATCTAGACCATATACACAACCTAGTTGTGGTCCACGTTTCCTTTAAGAACGGAGATGCATACATATCCACCAATTCCATCCACAACGCCCTCTTCGCCAGGACCTGTATGATCTCGCGCACTGCATACAGAGGCGCACGCATTGAATACTACCCAGACGAATGCGCTCATCCATTGCCCCAACCTACAAAAGTCTATACCCAACCTCAACGCACTTCCATCAAACCTGCACCTCTGGTCAACCAATATGCTCTTCTGGACATCGGGTCAGATGATGACTCTGAGTCTGATGAAGACTCATATGGGATCCACGGTGTGCAGGTTGGTGGCTGTCGTTTGCCCAATGGTGTAGCAGTATAGGCCACTTGACAAGCAGCTGCTCACCCGTTCCGGCTCAGTGCAGCTGGAAACTACAGTGGCCTTAATGCACGTGCTTGCCCTAGAAACAAGTCAAGCGGGACTAGCCTTCTCTATGGCCTGTCAACCTTGAAGAGGCCGGTGTCAAATTTCGACTACTTTGAGCATTTCCCAAAGAGAATTAGAGTGGCATAAGATACAGGCGGTTGCTACAAGTTTTTCATTAGTTACTAGGCAGGTTTAGTAAGCAGAGTGGTTGTATGCGTATCGCTAGGTCAATCTGGTGTGGTAATTTATATACCTACTCGAAGCGGTGGTTTGGTTCCTCTTTTTTCTCCCATATTGATACCCTTCAACTTCTGTACCTCTATCGGCGAGACTATGCTCTTAATAACAGATTGCAATAGGCTTTCCATTCTCTCAGCTCCTGCCAAGTACGGCATGGAGACTTGTTTGTTGTCATGTCAAGGATACCCACTAATGCAGCTCGTTCAGTTTTAGCGACAACTAGCTCTGCATGAGTCGCACGTCACTGCAGCCGCTGTATTATTGTGCATATCCCCGCCTTGTTGCGATGAATAACGCGAAGCTGAACTTGAACATCACATAACTTTGGCGTTGGGTCAGACCAACAGAGATCAAGAAGAAACATGGCGCCAATTGTCAAAGTAGCTGTCATTCAACTGTATCCAAAAGTATGTGCTTGGTACCCCACCTTACCCCACCCCCGCCTCCACTTCACCTTTAATTATATTCCTGCCATTATGCACAACGCACTGCATGGGCACTGTGGCTGACTTTGGTAGCCTCTGCAACCCGAGCACAACTTCACCAAGGCAGAAACACTTATCCGCTCTGCAGCCGCCCAGGGGGCGGAGCTTGCCGTCTTGCCCGAATACCACCTGACCAACTGGAAGCCCAAGGATCCAGAGTTTCTGGCTGTGGTAAAAAAGTGCTCAGACTATGTGAAGAAATACCAACAACTAGCCAAAGAGTGTGGGATATGTGAGTTGACGAGATGTTTTGATTAAGTCATTGGCTGTAGAGACTACAGATCACTAACAAAAGGGTTCCAAAAGGCATTGTCCCAGGCACGATTGTAGAGAGCCACAAGGAGAACGAAAAAGAGCAGGACAGATTGCTGAACGTGTGTTACTTTATCGACAACCAGGGTAACATTATTGGCAAATACATCAAGAAGAACCTCTGGGGCCCTGAGCGTGACCATCTCACGGGCTCGGGCCGCAACTTGCATGAGGTGTTTGATACGCCCGTGGGCAAAGTGGGATTGCTGATATGCTGGGATCTTGCCTTTCCCGAGGCATTCCGTGAGCTTATCGCCCAGGGCGCAAAGATCATCATCATCCCTACCTTCTGGACGTTGAATGATTGCAATGAGGCGGGGCTCCAGCAGAACCCTGCGGCTGAAGCGCTCTTCCTTAACTCGATACTCACGGCTCGAGCGTTTGAGAATACGTGCGCTGTTATCTTTGCGAATGCGGGAGGACCACCGGGCAAGGGGTATGCTGGGTTAAGCCAAGTGACTGTGCCATTCGTAGGCCCGCTGACGAAGCTGGGAAGCAGCGCAGAGGGCATGAGTGTTGTTGACATTGACATGCAAGTGCTAGAAGATGCGGAAGCCAATTACCAGGTTAGGGCTGATTTGGCAAAGGATGATTGGCACTATGATTACAGACATGGCAAGGAGAGGCTGTAAAAGTCTAGCTAGACTACAGTATCATTGATATATGTTTTGATTTGCTTCCAGCAGCTCTTATATACATGTTTGCCAGAAGCTGTCAAATTGAAGATAAAGAGAGCCAAAAGAAAAACGAGAAAAAAAAACACAGGGACTCGCACAAACGCCTTGATCGCCTGTACCCATGGTATATTCCACAAACTGGTAAATCCGAAATGGGCTTGTCGTCGCACGCAGGACCGACCCTGTTGGTAGCCAGGGGCGTTCGTCACAACGTGGCTTCAGCCTGGGGTGGAGCGGCTGTCTTCGCTACTGCTGCTGGAAGGGTCGCTCATTAGACCGTAGCCCACGCTGTGCGTGGTCGAGCCGGCCCGATCTGTAGTCCAGGTCTCGCCAATGACTATGACCTTCGTCTTGCCGCCTTGCAAAAAGTTTGCCTCGTCCTTGGTCAGCACGGCGGAAATCTCTTTTGAGTAGACGCTGCGGTAGAAGTCGAGAAAGTGGGCCTCGTCCTCAAAGACCATGTCGGAAATGCAGTCAAAGTCAAATTCTTCGTTGAGCACGCCCCTCAGCAGCAGCGGAGGGCGGTCAACGTTGGCAGGGCCGCCAAAGCCCTTCCGAACAATCCGGGCTAGGTAGCGACGGTTGAAGGTGATGGGCCAGCAGTGACTGAGCAATGAGTAGGCTAGTGGAATGTGTGTGTTTTCGTAGTGGTCTCTGAACTGCTCCGACGTGATGTGGCTGTTGCGCGTGACGAAGAGAATGACGGTGTACGTCATGCTGGACGGTCCGGGACAAGGGACTGTTTCTCGATGGATATGCGTTCTGGAAATTGCTTGTTTTTGGCGGAGAGGACGGGAGGCCCGAGGACAGGGGAAGGGAAGCGGGAGCTCTTGTAAGTAATTGTAGTGAGCGGCAACAGTGTGTGGACTCGGTCGGCCTGCCTGCTATGTACGTACATACATATGTAGGGAGGATGCACCCACCATGCACCGCCCACGACGGCCCTATGTGGCTTATATGGACACAGGCGCACCAGCTCAGTGGATGCGAGGCTATATCTAGGGGCGGGCTACGGACTTGAGGCCGTCTTATGCCATGGGATGGCTTTTTTTGTTTTTTTGGCGTTAGCTGTCTTGCATGCGATGCCAGAGGGAACCCAGGGGGGCGAGTCAGGCCTGCAGAAGAGCCGGCGCCGGTGCAGCTGCCTATCGATAACGCCCGCCACTAGCACCAACGCCCGCCCACAGAACAGAGGGCCAAAATTGCGCCAGACCAAGGTGGGGGGGAAAGAGGCCCTCCTCAAGACGACGACGACGACACGACCAGCCCGCCCAGCATACCACCACCACCCGCCACTCCCCCTCTCCCTCTCCCTGTCCAACCATGAGTCTGCGCGAGCGAGTCCCGCCGCAGTACCACAATGGCGAGCCCGCCCGCCGCGCCCCCAACGACGACTCGGACGTCGAGGAAGAGGCCATGGCCAACGACTACCGCGAGCAGGTCCAGTACGACGGCATGGAAGATCTCGACCGCATGCCCTCGATGACGGGCAACCACGACATCCACGCCCAGCTGCAGGCCGCCGCCACGCCCCTCGAGTTCCAGGCTACGCTCGAGACCAAGTTTGCCAGCTACGACAGCTACTGCAACCTCTTCCACTACATCCTCAACTCCGAAGGCCCCGTCGATCTCGAGGTCCCCAACTACTACTGGGCCTGGGACGTCATTGACGAGTTCATCTACCAGTTCAACAGCTTCTGCAGCTACCGCCAGCGCGTGGCCCAGAAGAGCGACAATGAGGAAGAGATTGCCTTGCTGCGCGAGAACCCAAACACGTGGGGCTGCTACAGCGTCCTCAACGTCCTCTACTCGCTCATCCAGCGCTCCCAGATCAGCGAGCAGCTGGCCGCCATGAAGCGCGGCGAGGACGCCAGCCTGTATGCTGGTGAGTACGGCAACCGCCCGCTGTACAAGATGCTGGGCTACTTCTCCATAATTGGTCTCCTCCGCGTCCACTGCCTGCTGGGTGACTTTAGCCTGGCGCTCAAGACGCTCGACGACATTGAGCTGAACAAGAAAGCCATGTTTGCCCGTGTCATGGCCGCCCACTTCACCACGTACTACTACGTAGGATTCTCGTACATGATGATGCGCCGCTACTCAGACGCCATCCGCATGTTCAGCCACATTCTCGTCTACGTCTCGCGCACAAAGAACTTCCAGAAGAACGCCCAGTACGACTCCATTACCAAGAAGAACGACCAAATGTACGCCCTCGTCGCCATCTGCGTCGCCTTCCAGCCTACCCGCCTCGACGACACTATCCACACTGCGTTGAGGGAAAAGTACGGCGAGCAGTTCAACAGGCTACAGCGCGGCGGACCCGAATCGCTTCCCCTGTTCGAGGAACTGTTCCGCACCGCCTGCCCCAAGTTCATCAGCCCCACACCCCCCGACTTTGACAACCCAGAGATTAACATTGACCCCGTCGAGCACCACCTCCGCATCTTCATGGACGAGGTCAAGAACAACATGATGTCGCCCACAGTCAAGAGCTACCTCAAGCTCTACACCACCATGGATCTTAAGAAGCTGGCTGGTTTCCTTGAGGTTGAGCCGGAGAAGCTGAGGTGCTGGCTGCTTGTCAACAAGCAGAGGAGCAGGCAAATACGGTGGGCCGAGGGCGGTCTCCTGGATGGCGATGTTATCCAGGCCAGCGACCTCGACTACGCCATGGAGGGTGTAAGTAGCGGCTTTTTAGAACCCAATGATAACAGTGCTAACAAAAAACAGGATCTAATCCACGTTTCTGAGGCCAAGGTTGGCAGGAGGCTCGTAGACTGGTACCTCCGCAACCTGGCGAGGACGTACTAGGAGGCTGGGAGAGATTTTAGACATGAAATATTCAGATTTCGAAACCTGTTCAATAGAGCATTGCGACTTGGAGTTGGAGGGTTTCACGGCGTGCACATTTCAAAAAGCAGGATTTTATTTTTGCGAGATGCGGAATACGCTCTGGCAACGGGGAGACGGAATTGGCTCCAGGTTGTAGGGTATCCCATGGCGGGAAGACGGTGCCCGCCCGCGTGTGCTGGTCGGGCCGATGGAAGGAAATGACTACGTCTAGGTAAAAGTAGGCGAGTGCCGAGGCAGATGAATACCAAACAAGCGTTTATGATTGCAATGCACGTCTGGTGGGATTGGGAGTGAAATTGCGGTGGCTTTGGTTGGAGAAACAGAAGGGTCGCAACAACATAACGTGCCGAATTATGTCTGACTGCGCGATGGCTTGCAGCCGGGGATGGGTGCTAGCGCGCTGGGTAAAGAGCATTTGCATCTGAGCAGGCATCGCTTCTACTCGACCAACCTCAGCCAAACAAGATCGACAAGCAGGCACCGCGTAAAACAAACGTGCCAGGAGCACGCACGCCGGAAAGAACATGGGCACCAAGTGAAGCTTGCCCCCGCCCATCTGGGTCGCCCCCGCCGCTCATGGCCTTTTTCCATTGCCCGATGCACCTGGCTAACAACGACCCTCTGTCATCACGATCGCCCCTGTGCACACCGACTCGAGATCGACTCCCTTTTTCAGTCGGCCACCTGCCCTTCCGGACTGCTGCTGCATTGTTATCTACCGTGCTTGTGACTACGGCGGGGTAAATCAATCAAGACACCACCTCTCTCCACTCTTCGACCAAAGCAACCGCACCACAATGGCCCTCGACTCGACCACGGTACCTGGAGCCTCGCCCACGAGCAATCCGTCGAACACACAACCAGCCTCGGGTTCGCTCTCCCGCCAAACATCCACCCCAGCTTCTCGACGAGCCTCCCAGATATCCCCCATGGGCCCTCCACCGCTCCCTCTAGCATCCCCGGGAGGCACCGTCCAGGCATCTTCGCACCCACACACCCATGCCTTTCCACCCCTCAGCCCAGGACCAACCAGCTACATGCACTCAAATGCCGCTGCCGTCGACGACGCCTCGAGCGTCCCCATGCGCCACCCACGCCCCATGACAGCCGCCGAACTGCACCTCGAACTCGAAAAAGAACAAGAAGCAGTCGTCAACCGCCTCACACGCGAACTCTCCGCCCTCCGCGCGCACTCCGCCTCCGTCGCCTCTACAACCTCTCTATCCAGCAGCGTTGCTGACTCTTCCATTGCACACGTAGACGGCCTCGTAACATCAGGCTCCATGCACCCGACGTCATCACGCCGCCACCGCAGCTCGTCGAGCGTGTCGCGCAGCGCAAACCACGCCGCTGCGCACCGCTATTCTGTTTCGTCGCAGCAGACGGGTGGCGGTACGTCGCGGTATGAGGAGGTTGCGGCGCAGAAGGCGGAGTTGGAGGAGGTGAAGAGGGAGAATGAGGGGTTGAAGGAGAGAATAAGGGAGTTGGAGAGGTTGATTAGGGAGGGGGCTGCGAGTGGGAGTGAGGAGAGGGGGAGGAGTGGGGGGCCGAAGGGTGGGGAGGGGGACAAGTGAGGTAGGGAATTGTTTTGCTTGAGGGGGGAGGGGAAAGGGGGGTTGAGATGAAGAAGTGCGATGCATTCTTCGAATCGGTTATTCAATAATGAGGTCAATGGCTTTTTATGACTTACTTTCTTTTTTTTGGAAGAGTGAAGAGCAGAGCAGATTGATTATAACATGCGTTTATTCGTATCTATGCTTCTTGGATCTTTTTTTTTCTCTCCAACATCAATGTTTACTCTTCTCAAGATGTAAAAGTATCAAGTACGACTTGGAGGATTTCTTTATCTCCCTTTTTCTGTTTTGCTATGTATCCTTTTTCTTTGCTTTTTGCTTTGCCCCCAGTAGGTGGGTGGGGGAAGCGGGAAAGGATGATCTACACATGCATGCATGCATGCATGCAGGCTTTTTGTGCATATGCAATACAAATTCCATCTCTTTCTTGCCTACTTGCCATTATCGATGATTGACATGCGTATGGTAGTGATAAGGCCGCGCGTATTCCCAGTGTCGATCTCTATCGTCATTTTCTGTACTCCCACTCCCGGATATGTGTGTGCGTGTGGGGAGTTGGTGGCAATTTTTTTTTATTTTTTTATTTTTTACACTTTTTCGTTTGTTTGGCTTGATGGGATGGGAGGGTGAAGGTGGTGTACGTCATTTATCGGGGCAAAGAATGATAACAATGAGGGTGAGTTATAAAACACTGGGAATGGGGGGTGTTTTATATCTTTCAAAGGCAGGAATATCTTGACATAAGAACAACGTCTTTGCTTTCTTGTAAATCCTTTATACTTTTGCAATTGATAGGGTTTTGTACATGGCTACGACTTGAGTAGTTTAATTTTTTTTAGACAACGTCTTGGAAAGGAAGGAAAAATCAAGAAATACGAGATCCAGTAATATACACTTCCCCACAGAAAAGACTAAGAAAAGATGTCTTGTCTGTCTAGTATCCGCTCGAATTTTGGCTCTGTTTTTCAATCGAAGAAGAAAGAAAATCCCACCTTGGCTGAAAAATCCGGTATGCCCTCTTTCTTAATACTCACCACGCCTCCATCTAACACAAATCAGCTAACACCTCGCACGTCTCTTCCCGCCCCTCCGTCTCCACCTCTACCCAAACAAGCAGTCCATCGTACAAACCACCGCTATACCAAGTGCCCAGCGCCATAGTCACAGCGACAGAAAAGGGCATGATATCCGCGTCCTTGTGTTCAGTGTCGCAACCTCCCTCTGCATCAACATCGCTTACTTCGACAAGTACACAGACGATATCAGCAGCGGCACCATCTCCATTCCATAGTTTGCCATTAGCATCGCCATCACCACTGTCGCTGTCATCATCATCGGCATTGTCTCCGTTTTGTCCATCGCCACTGTTGCCGATGTCGAAGGCGGAGGGGAATGCAAGGGAGAGTACAAGCAGCACCACGACACTAACGCGAGGCGAAGAAGCCTGCGTATCCGGACACAGTAGCCAACGGGCGAGTGTGAGATTCAAGGGGTTGGATGTTTAATGTATTCTCTTCCCTTCTCTCTTTTCGTTTCATTGAAGCGTAAGCGGTAGGCGTTAGCGTTATAGCAAAAAACCGGGGGCGTCTACATATCTCTTCTACTACATCATATCCGTATAGCAACCTCATACTCGCACATGAACCAAAAAAAATCCCCGAAATATCGCTTTTGCAATCCTCCCTCACACTCCACCCATTCTCTGCGAGATGGGAAAAAAAGGCCTGACGGCTTTTTTATGTATATACTTAAACGATTCGCCTCGTCATCTTCCTATTCTCACCCAACCTCTTCGCCTTCAATGCATCGCGTCTCCGCTTCTTCCACGCCCTGTTCAAATCACCTCGGTTCTCCCAGAACCACTTTTTGAACTCGCTTTCGGGTTTCGCTGCCTCTCCGGCTTCCCCATCCGCAGTAACACCCTCATCTTCCTCCGTCACATCAGCAAGCTTACTAGCATTCGTGCGCGTGTTGAGGGAAAGCTGGTGCTCGGCGTGAACATCGAGGTCGCTGTCATCTTCATCATCGTCTCGTTCTTGGCTGTTGCGGCGCCAGTCGAAGGAGAAGCGGCGGCCGATGGCGGCGGTGTCTGGGGTTGGGGCTGCGCTGCGGAGGCCACGCCATTCGATATCGCGTTGGGTGTATGGGGTGATGGGGGCGTCTTCGATGGGTTGGCCTGTGGCTTCTGTGGCGCCATTGTCGGCGTTGTTGTCAAAGAAGGTGAAGGATGTGTCGATCGGATTGAGTTTTTTGGTGGGAGTTGTGATGGAGTTGTCGGTGGGCTTTGAGCGCTTGAATAAGGCTTCGAGGGGGTGGACCTCTTTTTCAGCAGGTGCTACGGGTTGGCTCTTTTCTGGGGCTTTCTTGCTCTTGACGGCCGATGGTGCAGGTGATGCGGCTTCTGATTCTTCGGCTTCCGACTCTTCAGCTGACTCTTCCGAGTCCAAGTCTGAAGAATCCTCGTCTTCAGATGAGGATGAAACGACAGACGATTCTTCAGACTCGGATTCAGACGAAGTTGGTGGTGGCGTAGCCTTCTTGTTTTTCTTCTGTTCCTTTGTGACCTTGGGCGTGGAAGATGGCTTCGATGTCCCGTCGATCCATGCTTTCGCAGCTTCCGAGGGCGCATCTACCAGCTCCAGAGCTCTCCTAGCTTTCGCCTTTCCAGTCTCCGGCTCAACAACAACACCATCTTCATCCACCCATCCCAGACCATTAACGTAATCCACTGCAGGCTTCTTGGAGATTACAACATCGGGCTGCTTCAAAAAACTAGGAGTCTTGGAGTTCTTCTCAAACTCATGCACAACAACTTCCGTAGATTTAGACTTGTTCTTTTCCTTCTTCTCCTTCTTGTCTTTCTTCTTGTCCTTGAGTGCAACCTCGGTCGAGGCAACAGGCGTCAGCTTCGCCTTGAAGAGCAGCTCCGGCTCCTTCGTGTATTTGGAATGCTTGCGCTCCTTCTTTGCCTCCTTGTCGCTCTTGTCCTTCTTCTCTTTCTTGTCCTTTTTGGTCTTGGTCACTGGCTCAGTCCAACCACGCTTGACCTTTCTGTCTTCTGGCAATTCGACGCCCTCCAGGACCCCCTGTTCTTTCTTTTTCCGTTCCTTCTTCTCCTTTTTGTCCTTCTTTGCGCGTTTTGATGGTCGGTCAGCCTCGCCCTGAGCTTCCTTTGCAGCCTCTGCTTCTTCACGCGCCTTGCGCTTCTCTGGCTTGGCCATTTCTATGCGCACCTTTGAGCCCTTGAGAATCGTGCCGTTGAGCTTCTTCTTAATCTTCTGTGCTTCTACCTCGGGTAGCTCTAGGTAGCCAAAGCCTTTCTCGGGAAAGGTCTCGACGGTATGGTAGGAAATGTTTTGCGCAAGGGGCAGGACTGCAGGTGCTAGGTAGACCTTGAGCAGATCAGGGCGGAAAGGCGTGATATGTAGGCGGACAGTCTTGCTTTCGGGTTGCGCTTGGGGAGAGTTAGGCGCCTGTGCGTCTGGCATTGAGGCGCAAGTTGGCGCGCGTGCGACAGGGCGTGATTTTGGAGTCGGCAGAAGGGCGCCAGGTGCTAACAAGAAGAGAGTAGGCAGGTTCCAGACCGCCGCCTATACGCGTGGTGTTTGTGTGTCGGAGGTGGAGGGGAAAGGAAAATGCTTAGCGTGACATGGACCCGGTTGTCTGGCGCTAGCGTAGACGCGGGCGGAGGTTTGAAGCTCCACTCGACCCGAAGATGGCCGCCATCTCGACATCACGTTACTCGGCGTACGAGAGTCGGCTTAGCCTGTGTCTTGCGCCCACTCTTGCATTATCGACGATATTCTCTTGAATTACACAAAATGAGGCGCCCGCCGTATCTCCTCTTTCTCCTCCTGACCTTCCTCTCCTCCCTCTCCATCTCCCTCGCCGCCTGTAAGCCACCTTTGCTACTTGTTCAGTTATTCGAAACCAGCTAAGCCCGTCACCAGCCCCGACATCCTTTTGCAAGTGCACATGTTTCGGGAACAGCACAATTGTCGCCCTCGACGCACCATCCGTTGCTAAGAAGCCCACGAGCCATGCTGAACCCCGCGCATCCAAGAAGACGTGCAACGACTGCAACCGTCAGTTCTGCCTTGGATACAGCTTTTGCACTGGGGAAAAGGAGGAGAATGTCCTGACCACGTGTTTCCAGAGGGACTCTGCCAAGGATCAGGCCGTCGTCTTCATTTTCATTGGAGCGACACTGGGGCTGCTGGGTTGGGCTGGGCTCCGGCCATGGATTGAGGGGTGGAGAGAGGCATGTATTCGTCTGAGAACCACACTGAACTGATGCTGACTAAATACAGCGTACGGGAGACCGGCGAAGCTACATTCCCATGGCAGGACAAGGCAATCAGTAAAAGCGGAAGACCAACCGGACATTCAAACATGCGTCATTTATGCGGCATAGATACAAAACAAGATACCCCAGTAGACAAAAGACCCTAGAGACATGCACAAACTCCATATGCATACATCTAGTGTGACAGCGACATACAGCCTCAAAGTGTATAGTAGTACATGAAGGTCATCAAAACCCCCTCACATGGTATCCCCCGCACTCTTTTACTCCTTCTTGGACCCTCCCGATATCCATCCAAACCAGCCTTTGCCGGTAGCCTCGGCCTTGTTCACTGCCTTCTCAGCAGCATTGTCCAATGGTCCGCCTACTGTCTGTGTTGATGGCGCTGGGGCTGTGTATGATGTGTCGTTTGCCCTAGCCTCCTGCACTGCAGCGGTAATGCCCAGATTTGAGTTTCCCTGGGCTTCTAATCGCTTGATCTCTTCTACAGCAAGCCTTCGCTGCTCAGCAATGGATTGGTCCTCTTTCCAGTCACCATGCAGCCACCACAGCAGCTTGGAGGGTGCTTTCCGCTCTGCTTTCTTCTTCTCCATCAATTCCTGTTCCTCGGCAATACCTGCGACAAGCGCAGCCTGTGCTGGAGACGCAGTTCCAGATGCGACGGCGGAGCGGGCAGCTTCGAGGATCCTGGCCTGTGTGCGCTCTTCTTCGGCAAAGTAAATTGCGCGTTTCCGCCGGTTGTAGACAATCATGTCGCCTATTGAGAAGACAGCGAGTACACCAACGCAACCTTTATAAAATGTTAGCGATTGATTCTGGCGACTCAATTGGAGCAGTGCAATTGCCCTCTGGGAACAGACATACCAGTTGCAAATATCAATCCATAGACGGTAAATCGATGCGCCGCATCTGCTGCCATTCTGCCGTATAGATACATATAATCCCACCTCGTCACTTGTGCCATCTTTGCCCTGTTCGCCGCCTCTCGTAACCGCTTAACCTTTTGCTGTGGAGTTTCATTTTTCGGCGCTGGATCAGCGAATTGTAGCGTCGTTGCCCGCCCGCCGGGACGTGTGTGCGCCCATACTCCAGTAGCCGTGAAGCGTGTCGAGTCCTTTGGTGATTTGGACATTGTGTGGGCGGCGGTGGACGCACTCGAGTGTGGGAGTGGCGTGGGGTGGTGGGAGCGAGGATGCCGTCAAGACTTGCGGAGCGGGAGGTCGAATGATTCGACGATTTCCAAAAGTTGAGATGGACTAGGGTTGGATGCGGAGATTTCCGCCCTGTTCCCTGTCTCCACCCAACCAACCTACACCCATCGTGCAGCGCTACTACTGTGAACACGACAAGTCGGGTTGTGCCACGAGTTTTTGGTCGTTGACTGCAAAGTCCTTCAAGATAGGGTCGTCGGACAGTTCTGCAACACAGAATGAGTGGTCTGGGCTGGAGAGTGCTTCTTTCCCTTCCTTGCCCTTGAAACAAGCGCAAGCAATACGCGCCATGCGCCGTCACTCACACATTGAACCCGCACCACACCCCACACTTTGAGACACTGTAGATTCAACCTAGATTCGCTCATTAAGATACTCAACTTTGTACCGCGAATATGGCGCAGGACGGGCAACAAAATCCAGATCTTGCCGCCATCTTGGCCACGCTCGCAAGCCTCCCTAAACCAGAGGCTCAGCCGTACCAGGACCAACAAGCGTATGAACAGAATCATAGTTATCAAGGGTATCAGGATCCTCAGCAGCACTATCAGCCCGAGCCGAGCCATCAATATCAACCACCACCTGACCCCCGTCTTGCTGGTCGTCCAGCACCCCAGCACCGACAACCACCTCCCAAGCCTCAAGACCGGGTTTCTTCCCCGCTCATCGATCCCTCAACTATTACAGAATGGAAGCAAGGCCTCCGATGCGTGAGCAAGATCGCCGCGCAAAACCCCGATTTTGCTCCCGCCGTTCGCAAGGTGCGGCACACATACTACCTTACATCTATACTCAACGCTTACTATATGTACTAGTTGATGAAAGACCAAGAAGCAAACGTCAAATCCTGGGAAGCCGGCCGCAAGAAACTCATTGAAGAGCAAAAGTTTCAGCGCGAAAACGAACGCACGCATCGAGCGGCTTTGTACGCATTTTCTCTGTTTATTCCTTGTTGACACTCCGACTAACATCTATATAGATCACTACCTGGCCTACTAGAAGGGACAGCACTCCTTCGCGTATATCCCCCCATTTCCCCTACTCACTCCTAAAGCGCCAAACTAACATCCCCCTTAGACCCCCGAGCGCGAAAAAGAAGAACTAGACCAATACGACGCAAAAGTGTACCGCGCCTGCAAAGCAATGGTTGACTCGCAGTCTTCATCGCTTAAAGTCCTTGGCGTCCCTTTTTTCGGTGTCAAGCCGTATCTTGTGCTAGGAGCGAGTTATGATCCCATGGAAGTTGTGGATTCGCAAACGGTGGCTGTGGGAGGAGGGGGCAAGATTACGAAGGAGAAGCTTTTGGAATTGCAGAGGAAGATGCTGAATCATCTTATGGAGTTATATGGGGATTGAGTAAGTGAGAGGGGGGTTTGGGTTAGATTGGGGGTGGGAGAGGGTGGTGGGGGGTATATTCTGCGGGTACAAGGATTTGATAGATGGGAGTAAACGGATTAACATGGGTTTTCTAGGTCGTCGAGTGGTTTTGTTACTGATCACTTTATTACACATTCACTTATCTATACTCTTATCGATAACCTGACTTAATATCTATCTCCCTACCCTAACTCCCTCGCCCTCACCGTACTATCAGGCTGCGTCCCCATCAACTCAACCGGCTCTACATGTCCCCCTTGCATCTCCACAGCCTCATGCCTATTCTCTGTCTGCTTACCACTCTTTTTCCCGCCAATCAAGCCTTGCATGCTATACCCTGAGTCGTTGTTAGAACCAGCCTTACCAGCCTTACCTTGTTTCCGGCGTATAAGCAGCACTCCGAGAATCGTGATGCAGATTACGACTACGGCAGCGACGACACCGCCGACGATGGCACCGACGTTTGAGGAGGAGGAAGATGAAGAGGAGTTAGAGGCTGATGGGGTTGGAGATTCTGCAGGAGAACCTGATGAAGTGCTCAGGCTAGTAAGAGATGAGGAAGACTGCGATGTCGTCGTGGACGCATCCACGCTGTTTGCAGCTGCACGGAGCGTTTCTGTTCCCCCTTTGGTGCCACACGCAATGTATTCGTAATCCTGATCGGGCCCGTCGTTGAGCAGGAGGGCTGTAGAGCAGAATTGGCTAGGTGGACTGTATATGCGGTTCTTTTGTTTAGCAAAATTCTAACTTATGAGGTCGTATAGGGACAAGTGTATGTGTGTGTATGTGTATAAGGGGGTGCTGACCATGAAGTACTGCCTCCTATTTCATTGGATGCCCTGCCACAGCCTGTTGTACAGGAGTTGCTGTCGAGACAGAAGCCTACTAGACTGCAGTCACTGAGTGCCGTTACGGTTGTTGAGCAGAAGCCCCATAGCCCGCGTGCAGTGTCGAATTGACAGTCGTAGCCTGGATTTGCTATTCGGGGGTTTTCGGGGTTCCCGTCTACGTAGCCGCAGGTAGAAACTTGTCCGGCAGCTTGTCGTTTGCTGGGTGCTGGTGTGGGTGGGGGGAGTGGGGGAGAAGTGATTTTGTTGTGTATCATTGCAGCGCTGGGAGATATGAGATTCAAAACACACAAGAGGACTAAGAATGAAACTAAGATTTTGAACACAGCTGCTTGAGTGAGTTACAGCGCGGCGGAAATGGAGATTAGAAGGGGGAAGACTAGCTACCCAAGTGCATGGATGTCGGTGATACATGCATGGCAATCAAGGACCATGGCTGCGTGATCTTAGCCGTGCCGGCATCTGTATAGACTTCAGCCTTGACGTCGCCACCACAGCCTTGCTACAGCTGCCTAAATGGTAATGTGGCAATACACAACATGTTTGGTTATTCGTGGGTGTGCAGCCATTCTGATGCCAGGCCTTGCTAAGTTAAACTATCGCAAAAAGACAAGGGGAAAATATCTCTACTAAGGAAAAATCTTGGTATGCACATGCCGGATAAATCAGGATGGGGATTACATCTCAGCTCTGAAAAGACTGCTGACGGATATGGCTGCTGTGTAACAATTGTTACGCAGCGCGTGTCATGGATTGTATCTTGGTGTACATAAGCATGATGCGGCAGGGCGGATGGTGATTGGTCGGAAATACGTGATGGCTGATTCGATCTCACTAAGCGCCCATTCCTTCACAGAGGGCGCAGCCGCCTACCCCCACTAGTCCCGTTCCTGGGGCGCGTGGGATGCGGCTCGGTCGCTCTCACTCTTGTTGGCCTTGTTTGTTTCTTTATCAGCAGTCAATGTGCCCAACTTTACCAAAATGTCATCCTCCTCACCACATCAACTCCTGAACTACACTCCTTTTTCCTTTTGGTGGATCGATCGTCATGGCGACGCAGCGGAGCATGCGGTCGCTTCTGCAGGCCATCGCATTGCTAGTCCTGGTCTTTGTTCTGATCACGGGAGCGGGGATTTTCCAGTATGGTGACAGTCTTCCGAGGACCAAATTCAGCCTTTCCGGAAATTCAAATTCAAGCCCACCAGGTAGGAGACATTCTGTTTCAGCGTATGTCTATACTGACGTTTACAGCGAAACCTGAAGAGGCCTTTAAAGATCAACCGGCACAGCCGCCGGACTTGACACCTTCCCTACCACCCTCAACAAAAGGCAATGCCACTCTACGAGCGCAAGCGCCACCATATGTCCGCGCAATCATGGATCCGGCGGACGTGACATTCCCACGTCTGGAGTGCCCACAGCCAAACCTCGAGCGCTATAATTACCTAGGGCGCGCGTCGGAACCCACAATCCATGCGCAACTCCCAAGATACTTCTTTGCACTCGACTTACATCAATGCGTTGATCTCCTTCCACGACTCATTGGTTCAATTTTGGAAACCATGCTTTTCCTTGGTCCACCAAATTGTGTACTGTCCATAATCGAGGGAAGATCGGATGATGGCACCTTTGAAGTGCTTGATGAGCTACGTTCCAATATGGAACTTCTAGGAATCAAATACCATCTTCAGTCAAGTGATGTCAACCCAATGGCCGAGGGAACAGATCGCATTGAAGCGCTTGCAGGGCTCCGAAACCTCGCGCTCAAAGATCTCATTGAGTGCCCGGAGCATTATGACAAGGATACCACTGTCATATTTTCCAATGACATTGCGCCTTGTATGGAGGACTTTTTAGAGTTAATTCATCAGCGCAAGTTCCAAGGAGCCGATCAGACTTGTGCCATGGATTGGACATATGCTGGTGACAACCCAACTTTCTACGATGTCTGGATTGCTCGGGGCATGACAGGCGACTTGTTCTTCAGAATTCCCCCCGAAGATGGCAGCTGGGACTTTGCGTGGGATCTCTTCTGGAACGACGAAAAGTCAAAGTCGCGACTTGCCGCCTCGAAACCTTTCCAGGTGTTCTCATGTTGGAACGGCATGACAGCGTTCACCGCAAAGCCAATTATGGAGAAGAAGATCAAGTTTCGGGGGCACATTGAGGGAGAGTGTTTTCAGGGAGAGCCGAAGCTATTTGCCAAGGATATGTGGTTTCACGGCCATGGCAAGATTGCTGTAGTACCGAGTATTAATGTAGAGTACAGTGATAAAGCAGCGAAGAAGATCAAGGCACTCAAGGGCTACACTTACAGTCATGTTGAGAATGAAGGCGATGATATCGAGATTAACTGGGAGACTTCACCGCCGGAACAGGTGAAGTGCATGCCTGAACATACTCGCCAGTCATTCAGGCCCTGGGATGAGGGATTGCGATCGAATGGCTCGATGGGCAGGACATAATATGCAATATCTGTAAAACATGATAATTAATGATTCCTTTTTCAACGAAGAAAAGCGCGTATACCAGCGCTTGAGCAAAGTGTTGGGAATTGGAAGTCATCACTCCAACTAACTTGAACGTCCCATCAGCCTACATTTCATCATGCACACGCATATGTGGGAAGCCTGCTATCCGAGGCATGCATGTTCTAGAACTTCCTTTGATCCAGTCCTATAAGCGTCCTCGATCCTCCAATTTCCCTAAACCAGCATTCCGCTTGTATTCCTACGAGTCGACTCCGCATTAGAGATCCTTTGGGCCAGACACAACTGATTAGATGAGCAACCCAAAATACCATTGTCGCTCGTGCTCAAAATCCCATAGGTAGTAAAAGTAGCTAGACAGGCGGACCGATTGGCAAACCTAGAGTCTCCATGTGATGGGAAAGTCAGGCAAGTGGAATGATGGCACTGAACACAAATCGTTGCACTCTTTGTTACGTATCCGCGCCAGTAGGCTTTTCTGCAGCTTTATCAATTGAGTTTGACAACACACTCTAGAGTCCCTCACCTGCATAATGCAACTCCAATCCTTCAAGAAATTAAGCACCTAACCCATTCTCGGGAATGACCACTTTATCCCCCCGGAAATACCCAAACCGGCATCCCGGAAAGCTGACTCGGACACCCAAACTATAACTCTCGGGGGAAACGGGTGCTATGCGGGGTAGTTTCAATGATTCCCCAGTACCCCGCAAACTAGTATACATGCCGGATTACAGCTATGGACACATGGTGCAATTGCGTGTGGCGTAGCCTTCTTCCCGGGAAGCGACTCAACTGTTGAGATTCATGCAAGTGAGTTGATGACGTTTGTCTGCCGATAGGTATCTTTCGGGCAACCGGCTGGAGGGGATACTAGGTGGGATCGACGGGGTTTCGACATGTGTGCATGAGGGAAAGCGGGTAAGGCCTGGTTGTCGGGCAAGAGATGGGGGCGTGGAATGCTAGGCGGAGTATCGGTCTTCTGGGATTCATGCAGGAGGGGTATATTGTGCGTTTGCTCGCGTATATATATGTGGGTGTTTCGCTGGGGCCTGGGTTGTTAATTCGCCTCCTCCCATCCCCGCATCGATTGAGCTTTGATCACCAAGAGTTGGGCTATCGTCTTTCGATTTAGGATTTTTTTACAATCATGGTGCACTTTCGTACAGATATCGGGGCGACGAATGAGATGGCGGATCCGAATAATGAGAACTATGCCAAGGAGCTCGAGACTGATGTGTTGATTGTAGGCGCTGGCTTTGGTGGCATTTACTTGATGCATAAGCTTCGTCAGCAAGGGTTCAAGTGCAAGATTATGGAGGCTGGGTCGAATATTGGGGGTATCTGGCATTGGAACTGTTATCCTGGTGCTCGCGTCGACTCTCAGATCCCTATTTATGAGTACAGCATGCCGGAGGTTTGGAAGGTAGGTGTGGATTTTAATACTCTTTATTTGCGTGTAAGCTGACAGATACCAGGACTGGACTTGGTCATGCCGGTACCCCGGCACAGAAGAACTTCAAAAGTACTTTGATCATGTCGAGAGGAAACTGGGTATAAAGAAAGACTGTGCTTTCAATACAAGAGTTGTTGGGGCACAGTATGACAAACCGTCTTCAAGATGGATAGTGAAGACCGAGGATGGCCGAACAGCGCGCTGCAAGTATCTCCTGCTAGCTCTAGGGTTCGCAGCGAAGCGACACTTTCCAGACTGGCCAGGTATGGATAAGTTCAAAGGCGAAATCCACCATTCGAGTTTTTGGCCTGCGTCTGGAGTAGATGTCAAGGGTAAGCGTGTTGCGGTGATTGGAACCGGGTCGACGGGTGTTCAGATTGCCCAAGAGACTTCCAAAGAAGCTGCCAGTATAACGCAATTTGTCAGGACACCAAATCTCTGTCTGCCCATGCGACAAAAACCTCTAACGAAAGAGGAGCAAGAGAAGAGGAAGCAGAACGAGTATGAGGAGGTCTTTAAGAAGAGATTGACGACTTTTGCCGGATTCCATTACGACTTTGTTCAGAAAAATACCTTTGAAGACTCACCAGAGGAGCGCGAAGCATTCTACGAGAAGATATGGGAGAATGGTGGTTTCGAGTTCTGGCTGGTAAGTGATTCACATACGACATATCTCGATTTGAAACTCACCGGATTTCCTAGGCAAACTACAAAGACCTCTTATATGACAACAAAGCCAACCGCGAAGCCTACAAGTTCTGGGCAAAGAAGACTCGCGCACGGATATCAGACCCCGAGAAACGTGAGATTCTCGCACCGCTGGAGCCACCACACGCCTTTGGCACCAAGCGACCAAGTCTAGAACAAGACTACTACGAGATGCTCGACAAACCTGAGAACAAAGTTATTGACGTGAAGAAAACGCCCATAAAGGAGATCAATGAAAAGGGTATCGTGCTCGCCGATGGTACGCTTCACGAATTCGACGTGATCGCACTCGCTACCGGCTTCGACTCTGTAACAGGAGGCATCAAGAGCATGGGTTTGAAAGACGTCGACGGTGTCGAACTGTCAGAGAAATGGAAGAATGGGACGTACTCGTATCTGGGTATGACGATAAGTGGCTTCCCGTAAGTAAACCCCCTTCTCGAGACACTCGCCCTCCAACTAACGATTGTAAAGCAACACATTCTTCCTCTACGGCGCACAAGGTCCCACAGCCTTCTCCAACGGTCCAACATGCGTGGAAGTTCAGGGTGACTGGATCGTCGACGCCATAGTCAAGCTCCGCAATGAAGGTATCACGTACTGCGAGCCCACGCATGAAGCTGAGCAGCAATGGCGGGAGAAGATCATGGAGCTGAGCGATAAGACATTGTTCCCGCAGACGAAGTCGTGGTATATGGGAGATAATGTGCCGGGCAAGGTTCGGGAGCAGTTGAGTTTTGCGGGCGGGTTTCCTTTGTATAGAGAGTTGACGAGGAAAGCGCTTGATAATGGGTTTGAGGGGTTTGTTACTGTTTAAAATTTTCTGGTTAGAGTAGATGGAGTGTAATTATTTTCACGTGATAATGGTTTCGCCTCAGTATCTTTGGCATGAAGCACCTCTTTTTAGTGTGATGTGGATGTAAAAGGTTGAAGGTGAACGGTGCTGAGGAGGACTAGAATAGCACATTCATGTTCTGGAATCTGTTTGAATTGATAGGGATAGATTTCTAAAGGTAGGGAGACCTTATATAGGCTAGGATGTGCCATTAGTTGCCAAAAGTGGACATTCTGCGATAGGACTTTACCGGGGTCAACGAGAATATGAACATGGATTCCGATGCAACTAGTATCATCTCACAATTGCAGCAGTCATTTGTCTTCTCATTTTCAGTAACTAGGGACATGTGCAAAAAGTTGTTATCAAGCATATCTTGAAATTTCGTCCGGATGCTACCTAGTACGCCTCGGTAATAGTACCAGGGTCGGTGTCGCGTGGGATTTACGCCGACGCGACGTCACGACCTTGGACTTTGCAGGTCACCAGCACCGGCGCATACCTCATGGAATCCATACGCGCCCCATCCGCACTACGCCCTGTACCATGAGCACAGCGCTCCTTTGGGGACGTCAATGTTCCCGAAAGATTTTCCCAAGACTCACATCCCGCGCATTAAATCGCCCATTTGTAAACGCTGCTTCTATTCGCAGCCGATTCGCAACTCCGAAATTCAAAGGCAAAACAATACTATGGTCTGGCGCAGCGACCGGGGCTGCGGGCGGCACATTACTGAGTTCTCTTTCGTTCGTAGAGGTAGCCAGCAACAAAGCTAGCAATGGAGAGCAGACACACGAAGAAGCAATGCTCGAGGCATCGAGGAAGGAGTTGGATGAGCAAGTACCGCATGCGCTGAGGAATTCTGCGAAGTACAGGCGGGGTATGTACTTTTTTTTCGAGGACTACATAATCGAGCCCATTGCCACTGGCCTTCGCTTCCTAAATTTGGTCATTATCTTTGTTCCGGTCATAGTGACTATACCTGCACTATGGCTTGGCTCAAGGCGGCCTGATAGAGATAACGAACGAAGTGGGACTTTATGGTGGTACGGCTTCCTGGTGGGGTCTATGGAGAGGGCAGGAGCTGCCTTTATCAAGGTATTTTGCCATATTTTAGATCATTCAACGCATAGTAAAGACTGACTTTCTGTAGCTGGGACAATGGGCGGCTTCGCGAACGGATGTTTTCCCGACCGAGATGTGTCTGATCATGTCAACACTCCACTCCAACGCACCGGCACATTCTTTAGAAGTAACGAAACGTACCATCGAGGAGGCTTTTGACGGACAAAAATTCGACGATATTTTCGAAGAGTTTGACGAGAAGCCGCTAGGCGTGGGTGCAATTGCCCAGGTTTACAAAGCGAGGTTAAAGCCACATCTTGCGACACTGAAGGAAAATGCAAGCGAACACGAGGAGCCCAACTTGGCGCGCAGGATCAAGAAGAATGTCGATGTAACGTTGAAGAGTACACCATCAAGAGTCCCATCAGACCATGTCGCTATCAAAGTCTTGCACCCCAAGATCGAGAAGATTGTAAGGAGAGACTTGCGAATCATGGGATTCTTTGCGGCACTCATCAACGCTATACCTACCATGGAGTGGTTCTCGTTTCCGGACGAAGTACAGCAGTTCGGCGAAATGATGAGGCTGCAACTGGACCTGCGAATCGAGGCTGCGAACCTTACGCTCTTTCGGAAAAACTTCAAAGATCGAACAACAGCCTGGTTCCCTTACCCTTACACGGATTATACTACGCGCAATGTACTGATCGAAGAGTTCGCTCAGGGAATCCCTCTGGAGGACTTCTTGCAAAATGGAGGCGGTGTCTTTCAGAAGGATATTGCAGATGAAGGATTGGATGCTTTCCTGAACATGGTACTCATTGACAACTTCATCCACGCAGATTTGCATCCAGGGAACATAATGGTTCGATTCTACAAACCTGAGCAGCTCGACGTTTCATTCTTCGCTAGAAAGGAAGACCAGAGAACGGGCCCTAAGGAATCACCGGATGTCACCGAAGAAGTACTGGAGCGTTTAAGACCACACAAGAAGAACCCCAAGCAATGGCAAGCGACGTTGGAGCAAATTGATAGTGAGGGCTACCGACCTCAACTCATCTTTATCGATACCGGCCTAGTGACGGAACTGAATGCAAAGAACCGCACTAATTTTCTTGATCTCTTCAAGGCTGTTGCAGAGTTTGATGGATACAAGGCAGGCCACTTGATGGTTGAGAGATGTAGGCAACCACAGGCCGTCCTAGACCGTGAAGTGTTTGCTTTGCGTATGCAACACTTGGTATTGGGAGTCAAGAGCCGTACTTTTGCCCTTGGCAACATCAAGATTGGAGACATCTTGAACGAGGTCCTATCGATGGTCCGTACACATCACGTTCGGCTCGAAGGCGACTTTGTCAATGTTGTTCTCAGTATACTTCTTCTGGAGGGTATTGGAAGGAGCTTGAACCCAAACCTGGATCTGTTCGCAGGGTAAGTGTTGGCGCTGGCATTTCCGAATCGCATATTGATTAGCAATAGGGCACTTCCCATTCTACGACAACTGGGTGCGCAAAGCGGCTCGTCTATGATCCGTGGAGGCGACTTTTCCATGCTCAAGGTCTGGGTTGGTCTTGAGGCGCGTAGCTTCTTACAAGCCTCGATTGATACGGTACGTGTCTTGGATGTTTCAATGGATTTTATTGCTAATTCTCATCTAGGTGGAACGATGTGTCAAGTCCGATCAACTCTCGCCGAATATATAAAGCACGAGAGGTGCGCTGTTACTACATAGCTATTTAATAACGAGAAATCACGACTCATACATACTGTATCACCTGTCTTTTTATCATTACTTTTTGTAGATGTTTAGCACTACTGCAGTGTCTACATGTCTAGACTAAGACGAGCTGCATTCATCACCCTTATACGTGAAAGCGTATCGGAATAGCATCTGTGGCTGTGAATGGTGGGCGTCGGGTGGCTAGTGGCTCCTGATCTGACGTCATTTTCTGGGGTAGCTTCGTGTTCGCAGCTGTACAACACCACCTGTTGCCAACACACCAACTCACGATCTTACATTGTATATCAGAACACATTCAAGAGCTTCTCTATCACAGGAATTACTTGTTTCTATTTCGAATCGATCCCCAGGCCTCACCTACTACAATGGAAGCTGGAGCAGCTGGAGTGCTCTATGCAGCTGAGAACCTCCTCGGAGGCGCTGTAGCCCTCGTCAAGGGCATGAAACACCCAACACTGCCTCTCAAAGCTAATATCACACGCATATCATCTGTTCCGCTCCCGCGATCGCACCACACAGTTTCGGTAGTCAAGGGTCGAGCTTACATCTTCGGTGGAGAAACCGAAGCTGGCACGCTTGCAGACAATGACATGCACGTTGTGATTCTTCCCTCAAGCGGAGTACTTGACGCCGACTATACAAAATACCCTGCTCGATCGGCCAATGGCCTGGACGACGTACCGAATTCGAGAAAGGGACACACAGCAGCTGTGATCGACGATCATATCTACATATTTGGGGGTGAGGGAGAAGGTGTCACAGACGAAAAGGGAAGAGTATGGGTGTACAACACGGTATCGAATACTTGGTCGTATCTCGACCCGGCGGTAGATACGCTCTATCCCAGTCATCGATCAGGCCATGCCTCGGCGAGCTCAGATCTCCCAAGCCCAAAGACTACGACATACGTTGAGAAGGCACCGCAAGCACCCGCAGATCCTGCAATGCACGTGCCAGAGCCACCTGAATCGAACTCGTATGGTACCATCTTTATTGTGGGTGGCCGCGACATGGCAAAGAGTGAACTCTTAAGCGATGCATTAGCATTCGACGTCAAGACGCGAACATGGTCCAATATCCCATCGCCATCAGGTCACCCACGAGAAGGTGCAAGTTTGGCCCTGGTTGGAAACCGCCTATACCGCTTTGGCGGCAAAGGTGTGGAAACCTTTGCCTCTGGTGCGATGGAATGTGTTGACGCTTCCCACGTCTGGACACATGCAGAACGCGGTACAACGCCAGTATCGAGCGGTTGGGGTTGGGAGGAAGTGAAGAAATCAGACCGAGAGGGCAGCACCGCTGTAGCACCTCAGGCACGCTCATATGCAGGGCTGGTAGGAGTCACTACGGGTCAAGGACGGTACTACCTGTTGGCTATTGGTGGTTTGACCGAAAACGAGGAATATCTCGATGACATTTGGGCTATGCAGCTCGCCCCTGAGAAATCGACAGCTGCAGCTGCAAAGGACAGCATTCGCGCGCACATCAAGAAGGACACACATGAGTCGCAATGGGCCGAGGTGATTTACCACTACGTCGATACAAAAGGAGAAGAAGAAAAGGAGATACCAGGAAAGCCCAAGAGGGGGCTTGGCGCACGAGGCTACTTTGGCGTCTCGAAGGGTACCGAGGTTGATGGAGCTACAGCTGTGGTGTGGGGCGGCGTTGATGCGAACGGCAAGGTCCTAGAAGATGGGTGGATGATCACTGTTGACAGGTGAGTCGCCGTTCCTTGCGCGCCAAAAATATAAGTATGCAAACGAAGAATATGGACGCCCAACTGAATAGCGAATAAATTGCAACATGCCAAGGAGGTAGTAGCTTATGCGCTGAACTTACGTATGCATACATTAATCATTCTCACCCTTTAGCGCTACGCTATGCATGTGGTGGTTTCCTAGGGATAAAGAACAGATGCGCCTAACCATCGCATGTCTTATCACGTACGCACTGCACATAGCCGATTGTGTCGCTTGACATGTTACTCGCCTGCTCTTGGATCGCCCAAATCGCGGCGAAATAGTGCGATTTTACTTCGAAGCCCATCTTGAACTCTTTGACTTCTGAGGCGCTAGGCAGAAACACGGCCAATAAGCTCGCACCGCTCAGACCCTTCCTACGCCCCGCCACGTTTCATACCACCCGTCACGCCGACAAGCGAGCTGCATGTCTTGGTATTTACCTCCTTGATAGTCTCGACATTGGAATTGGCCATGGGATTTGCGCCTGAAACATCAACTCCACCCAATCAGGAATGCGACACCAAGCACCATCTATCTTCAGCTTGTTCGCTGCAGCGCAGACCCACGTGCAACAAGTAAGGGCTTCTGGTTAACATTCAAATGCACCCTGTATTTCACAAATGCAAGCATCGATCCACTGGCTGATATTGGCTGACAACAGTGCGTGAGTGGGAATGACGGTCAGGCCCGGCCCACTAAACCATGGTCAGGGCGAAGGACATGGCCAATGGGTATTATCCCGTTATGCGCCGACATTGTGCATCAAGGCGAGCACGGTGGTTAGGTATATCTATAGCCCTGTGTGGCGCAGCCCAAGGAGCACGATCTCCGGACGAATATCTCAGTTACGCGGCTCTTAAGGGGCACAAAGACCAGCAGCCCTTACAACAATCAGACCGCAACAGAACTGCGGTTACAGAAGACTCGGAAGAACTCTCCACCATGGGTTGGGGTAACATCATCGGTTGGGGTAAGTGAAGAACAGGTTCTTGAGACGACATCAGAATAGACCAGGCTGACTGACCACGTACGAACAGGTGGAGATTTGACGCTAGTGAATGGCTCGCCATTTGACTGGACAGTGGGTTACCAGCATTCATACCAGATGAATACATGGAACTGGCCGACTGTGAGAGCAAGTACGAAAACCCATCTAGCCTGCGCGTCCAGACCGCTCATTTAAGAAAACAGGAACCGCCGAAAAAGTCCAGGTCGAGTTTGGACTGAAGGGACATATTTGGGATGATGCGGGAGAAGGCTACTACAATGTGGATGGAACATCAAATAAGTTCACAGTCCTGGCACGAAAGCCATCAGACTATGAGCTTACCATATCACTGGACAACATGCAAACGGAACAAAGTCCCAACATGACGAAAATCAAGCTAGGATTCCGACAGAACTCGGCGGTAAACTGGATCATGTCTACCGATGAAGCTGGAAAATTCTGGACTAACACTGGATCATACGCCGACTGGATGCAACAAAGTATGGGATCACTAGCGAACAGAACACTTAGACACATTTGCATGCCTGGCAGCCACGATGCGGGAATGGCTACTTTCCATCCCGGCACTGTTGGCGCGCATTTTGCAAATACACAGGCGCAATACCTCAACTTCTACGATCAACTCATGGCTGGATCGCGCTTTTTTGATCTCCGCCCTGTATTCTCCAGAGGTCAATGGGTAGCCGGTCACTACAGCGCCGTAGCTGGCGTTTGGTTCGGCGGCAATGGCCAGTCGCTCAAAGACATCATACAGCAAGTCAATGACTTTACCGCCAACCACAAGGAACTTGTTATCATAAATCTGAGCCATACGGTGGACACCGATAGAGACTATCGAGACCTGACGCAAGCGCAATGGAACGACCTCTTCAACACCTTGAAACAAATCAACAACCGACATATCGTCAACAATCCTGGCGGAACTGACTTCTCCAACAAGCGCTTAGCCGAATTCATCACCAACCGCGCTACAGTCTTTATCATGGCACAACTGCCCGGGGGCATAGAACTTGGCGGCTTTGCAAATGAGGGCTTTTACAGCGGCGGCAACTTCCCTTTTTACGACGAATACAGCAATAGCAACAACCTGGAGAACATGAAGAAGGACCAACTAGCCAAACTCAAGCAGCAACGCAATATTGTTGCCGATGCGCAGGCAAGAAAGGATGTGTTTCATATCTTTTCTTGGACGTTGACGCAGCAGCCTGAGGACGTGATTAATTTTGATAAAGGAATCATGTAAGTTATGAGCTTCGCTTATGCTTTCCTTTCTCTTACATGCCACGTCTTCGTTCTTATAAAAGCTAACATTCATTCTAGGAACATGGCTACCGGCGCCTTTGACGACCTCATCAGTGCTGCTTGGAACTCGTTCACACCGCAGAGTTTTCCCAATGTATTGTTTGTGGATAGTCTGGGTGTGCGTGATAAGAGCGCCGTTTTTCCGTTTGATAGAGTCAAGGGTGGCTTAAGCACAAACGTAGATATTGCGGCTTTTGCAGTCGCCGTGAACAATGCTTTTGCGGGCAAAAATTCTGTTGTTACAGGAAAATGAGGGGGTGATTTGGGGGAGAGGAGAGTTATGGTGTGCATATGTATCATATGCTACTTAAGTCGGGGGTACGTGTCTATGACGACGTTCTGAGTGCTCATAGCGTGTCCTTTTGCCTTTTTCTTTTGTTTCTGCGAACTTGCATCCATACGGCAGCTCGGCATTGTTGATAGACTAGTATGACGTATTAATCTCTTTACCTTTGAGAAATAAAAAAATTGTAGAGCTAAAACACTAAGAATATATGAGATTCAGCAAATGGACATAGAATCGTGGGATCAGCCAAGTGCTATGTGATGAAGAACTCTATCGCAAGTCAGATGATCTGATGGAGTGGTGTACAAGATTACGACGCAAGACGTAGGTATTATCAGAGTGACCATAGACCGATGCAACCTTGTGCATCCGCGGTACCCTTTTGGGTCAACTTGAGTCCGTAAAAGGAAATTAGATATGTGTTAGACGGGATCACAAGCAGGGAAAATAGATTAGGTGCTTAGTATGGTGGGGGTGTAGATCAGGATCGCTCAAGGTGCCGTGTCGGACATTGTTTTTGAAATACGCATGTTCGTCAGAATGCGCAAAGTATTTGGGTCGCCATACCTGACTAACAAAACGCATCGTGAGCTGTTCTGTTGTTTCTAGTATTTAGCTTCCATTTTACTAGGGCTCAATGACCGCTTTTCATGAAATAAGAGGTAATAGTGTCGCGTGTGAAGTGGCATCGCCGCTGATGGTTGTGGCTTGCCGTCCGCTAGTGCGAGGCATGACGTAGTGAACCATCGCAGCCTACTGCGTGTTTATTGTTGTAATTATGAGCGCAACCAAATTGTATGACTCCTTTCTCCTACCTGTTATTCTATCCTAGACTTCTCATAACATCTTTTTTCTAATTTTTGCATCAAACATGTCGACCGGTGGTGTGGTCTACAAAGACCTCCTGCCTATTCCCGATACAGATCCTACTGAGCATGAAGGCAAATCGGCCACGCTACGCGATGCACCTACGGACAGCCATGCACTAGCTCTAGACGCCGCCAGGATTCCCCCTACAGAGGAGAAGGGTGCAGCTCAGGTCGAGCATCAAAAAGAGGTAGTAGATTTGGGGTGGAATGAGCCAAAAGAACATGTCGCCAAGCCTCTCGTGGGAGGGCTCGACAATGAGCATGTATGGATGCTTGTTCGGCGTTTTAACAAGGTAAAAAGCACGCATGTTCAACGTGAAACGATTTCATGCTAACTCTTCATAGCAAATATATCAAGTCAAAGAGATACCGACAGCGCCTCCTGGAGGGCTAGACCTCAATGTTGCTGACGAAGAAGAGTTTACCCCGGACAAGTTTCGTGCCAATCTTGAGCGCCTCTATATGACTATTGTAAGCTTTAGAGACTAAGCGCCTGCTACATGTAGACTAACCGTGCTAGATCATCGGCATAATCGGATTTGCTAAGCATATTGCTCGCATTCGATCATGGAGAGAGTCACGTCGTACTGCGTGGTTTTGTTCCGCGTACTTTGCTGCTTGGGCCTTTGATATGATTATGCCTTTACTCTCAGTCACTCTGTTGACGCTAATCGTTCACCCACCTGTTCGCGAAGTAATGTTTCCTCCAGCCCCTATCGCTCTCGTAAGCTCCAGTGGGGGTGTTCAGAAGCCAAAATCAGGAACTCTTGGAAGCATCGACAGCGTCACTGGAGCACCTGAAAACCACAAGGGTGAAGCTGTGGAACAGGAGGCCACGAATTTTGTCTACGGTTTCGCCACAATTGCACTGTCAAGTGCGACTGGCAAACAACCTGAGGTCGAACCTAAGGACGATAAGTCACCTGATGATAACATTCCAGATACTACTCGACTTGCCATGGGTGTTTCCCATGCCCAAGACAAAGCGACCGGTAACAAGCTCGACGAGGATCATGATAAGACCAAAGTACCTTTGGAGACTGCCATGTGGAGCAAGATGAGGCCAATCATGCATGCGCTTTCAGACGTTGCAGATACCTGGGAACGCTTTGCGAAGTGAGTGTGCTGCAACAAGGAAAATTGATCACCTACTGACTTTTGAACAGTATGCTTGACCCAACTCCTCCATTCCCACAAAATAAGTTCCATCTTCGTCTTGGAGTAGTTGTTGCTCCCATTATCTTCATTTCGCTGTTTGTATCGTCTTATGTCTTCATGAAGGGCGTTACATTCGGTATTGGATTCGGATTTTTCGGCGACCCAGTCATCCAACGAGGACTTGAACTTCTTGACAGAAAATTTCCCAAGTGGAAGAAACTACTCGAACTCCGTAACACGCTCCTTAAAGGTGTTCCTACCAACGCCCAACTCACAATCACTTTGCTCCGTCTTGGTGAAGCGAACAAAGCTCCGCTACCACCTCCACCACATATCACGCATCCACCAGCAGAGCAAACCGCACATGTTGGCTCAGAAGAACTCCGTGCTATGGGTGTAGATAGCGCACTCAATGCCACAAAAGAAGAACTCGACGACGCCATCGCATACGACTCCGAAGTGGGACACGAAGCGAGCGGTCAAGGCTCCGAAAATGATAGCAAGCACGTCAAGAAGGGCAGCAAGATTCTCAATTTCTTCCGCAGCACCGCCAAAGGCGCCGTCGAGACTACACGGGGCGCCGACAAAGTCAAAGCCGCAGCTGGCTCCACTCGCGCAAAGAACAGACTGGGTGCCCTCCCGCCCCGAAACGCCGATCTCACATCCGGCCCTGTCGAATTCAAAGCCCGATTCGACGGCAAAAAGGGACACGCGTACATTGCTACTAAATCCACAATCCCCTGCATTGCCTTTTCGACTGACAAGACGATTGAGAAGATTGGCAGCGTCGATAGAGAGGACTTGCATCCGTTGTGGAGTGTACCTGTCAGCGACATCATCGATATCAAGAAGGTGGGTGGGTTTGGATGGAAGGCCAAGATGGTGGTGGGATGGGCTATGGAACGTGAGTTGGCGGATGGCTTGATTATTACTGATTCTAAGTTTAATGAGTATCGGATTATGGCACTGCCGTTGAGAGATGAGCTGTTTAATCGGCTGATTGCTATGGGCGGGCAGAAGTGGGAGAGTTGGTAATCCGGTGGGAATATAGGAGGGAGAGAAATATGGAGGTGCATTCTGGCGTTTTCATTCTAGGGTTTTTATCAATATGAGAGAGTAAGGATTCGCGTTGGGGTCCTAAGTTTTGGGCTGGAAGTATATATCCTGATGACATGAATTTTATTTCGATTACTCTGATAAAGTTCGATGTTTTAGTTGTGAAATGATATCCCAATCGTATTTGAGAATCATGGCCTTGGAAGTCCAAGTATTTCATAACCATGCAAGCATACTCACTCCAGCTTCTCCATCACGATTTCGGTTTTTCTTATGGGTATTCCTATCATGCAGCCAAAGCTGCTCTGCAAAAGGTCAAGAATTACATATCTTCATCTTTGGCAAAATCGAGATAAAATATGAAATATGGTTTAGCAGAAAATTGTAGTATCGAAAACTTGAGTTCTTTGGACCTATATTCATACCTTGCTCCTGTTAAGCAGCAGTTTGGCGATGACAGTTCGCTGAAGATGTTAGTGTAGATATTTAGAGACGACTTAGTTCATAACCTGTATGTTACCATTTAGAACTCTTGAAAAAGTCAACCTCATAAACTAAAGAATCTAGAGGTAGTAGACACAGTTACTCGGTTGCAGAGCCTCTCCCGATTCAAACACGTGATACATGACCAGAAAGTAGTGTCAAGATATGATGTCATCAGCGAAAGCAGCTTCCCTGAGGTTGCTCAAGTGGTCTTGAATTAAACAATGAAGCAAGATGTATAAAGTACAAGAAGGGTACCAGTAGTAAGAAGCTAGGTATTAGTATCACTTTGTTTTTTTCGTAGAAGAGCAGGGATGCTACAGTGGCGCAGATCTTAGCACAACCACCCCTGCCAATGACGCATTACTTCCCGTCAATGCGGGACAGTAATCAGGGTCTCGACGTCGCCTTCGACGACATACTGAGCACCGCCGAGCCTCTAGAACTGCCGCTTAAACTGACACGTGCAAGCTGTTTCGCCATCCTTTATTCTACGCACGAAGCCTCTCCCGCTACGATCGCCATCCTCAGCCCAACCCCTCCTTTGTTCTATTCGCAACCCAACATACACACACATCAACATCGACTATGGCGTCCTATCTCGAAAAGGTGCGTCGGCAGTCAAAGCAGCTGTTCCCACAGAATAAACAGAAGCCCGGACCGCCGCCAATCGAAGACCCTCCCAAGGTTTCCGAGTCCACGACACCAAAAGTAGAAGATGCCGCTGTTCCCAAGATTGAAGTGCCCGCTGCAACAGAGCCTAGTGGGCCAATTTCCGAGCCGCCAGCTCCGACAGTTGCAGAAGCAAGCGAAGAAGTAGGTAGCGACCCTGTACTGGATCCTGAAGATCAGAAGTTCCTTGAGCGACTCGCTGCCATTGCCTCAGAGCCCGAGGGTACACCTCCGCCTCTGCCTGAGCGTGCAACTGCAGCCGGTGATGTGGGTGAGAAGAAGATTAGTAAAGATGCACAGGAGGCACTCATCGACGGTGCAGACAAGATTGCACTTCCTTTAAGCCCACCTGTGACAGCTGTTGAGACTAGCGATAAGGGCAAGGGCAAGGCTACAGAAGGTGGCCTGGGCCGGAAAAAGAGTGTCTTGTCCTACTTCCAGCTGCCCAAGTTCGGTAAGAAGGACGGAGAAAAGGCAAAAGAGAAGTCGTCCAAAGACAAAAAAGTAGTAGTCACGGAGAAGGATAGGGCCCAATTCGCAGACGATCTCCAGGCCGCTGCTGAGGCTGCCAAAACTGCTGAGCTCACCGACGCGCAGAAGCAGGACAAAGAACTCACTGATATCCTGGACCAGCTGAACCTCTCAGCAGTCAACAACCGCGTCTTCAGCTTCAGCAAAGAGTCGGAAGACCTCCTCAACAAATTCACCCAAGTCCTTAAGGACCTTGTCAACGGTGTCCCTACAGCCTACACCGATCTCGAGAAGCTCTTTACAGACTACGACAACCAGCTCAAGAAGATGTACGCTAGTCTCCCACCCTTCTTGCAGAATCTAGTCAAGAGTCTGCCAGCCAAGCTCACAGCTACCCTGGGCCCGGAGTTGATGGCTGCGTCGTCCGAGAAGCCTGGATTCGACGCCCAAGCAGCTGCCGAGGGAAGCAAGTTCAAGGGTGCGAAAAACATGCTGCCCCAAGTTCCGAGCTTGAAGTCTCTGCTTTCTGCCCAAGGCGCTGTTGCAACGGCGCTTCGAAGTATTGTCAACTTTTTGAAGTTTAGGTTCCCGGCTCTTGCCACGGGAACGAATGTTATTATGAGTTTGGCAGTATTCGGTATGTTTTCTTTCTCTTTTGAAGCAGAAATATACAAGGTGAACTAATTTGTATCCATATAGTCCTCCTCTTCGTCTTTTGGTACTGCCACAAGCGCGGCCGTGAAACGCGTCTTGAAAAGGAACGTCTTGCAGCCGAAGAAGGCCAAGGAGGCAATATCAGCGGTGCACCCTCTGTAAATGGGGACGTCGACTCGATTTTCGGGTCTCAGATCAAGACGAGAGAAGGTGAGGGTGCGCCGGCTGCGACGCCGCCGCAGGAACCGCTTATTATCAGCAATGGCAGGGAGAAGGAAGAGCAGGCGGCAGGTGTGAGTGATTTACCGAGTGTATCGCATCTCCCTGATCCAAAGGGCGGAGAAGCACCGGCAGCGCCGCCGTCTGAGGGGAAGTAGAGCACTGAAGTGTGGACGCGAAAGGTGTTTCTTCTTTTCGGGTTAAATTGATATTTTCCCCTGTGCGTATACCCTGGTTTAAGTAATACTCTAATAAACAACCCAAATTACCGTAAACAAGTTTTAGACAAATCTATCCATTTATTTATTCTCATTTTTTAAATCATATTTCTCTTCATCTCATCCCGCCCATCGTCTCCCCTGTAACCACATCTTCACGGCTTCCTCGCATGTATAACCACCACCTCAAAATACGCATGCACCTTCCTCTCTTTGACCCCATTGCGAAACTTGGCAAAGAAAACCTGCGCCTCCTCCACACTCCACCCCATGACTTTTGTCAACAAAAACAGCCCCCAGCCCTCTGCCCCTTGGGTAATATGCAGCAGATTCCAGCGCCCCAGCTCCTTCATGTGCGGGTCAGCCGGCCAGCTATTCACAGGAACCTTGTACACGTATTCCTTGACATCCTGGAACCCCGCATTACGAATATACGTGGATAGATTCCAGACTTCGTAGAAACTCTTGCCAAAGCGCTTGCTCGCCTCGTGGAAGATGTCGCTCCACTGCGACAACACGTGCGTAGGCGTTAGCGTGCCGTCGTCGGATTTAAACTGGATTGACATTTCGAGCTGGTGGAGGTAGCCTCCCGAAGTGAGGTTCTGGAATACCTGGGTGTACAAAGAGGGCCAGGATTGGATGGAGCCGTACAAGGAGCGGATGTTTATGAAGTCGAAGGGGGCGGAGTAGGTCCAGGGGAGGGTGACGTCGTCAATTTCGAATTTGCAGTTTGGAGGGGTGAAGGCCGGTTGGACGGGGGAGAGGTCGACGCCGAGGACTTCGGCGCCGGGGTGTTCTGAGGTATGTCGTTTGAGCTGAGTTGATTGATTGTTTGGGAGCGGGGAAGGGAGTGGTATCATGTAGAGTGAGAAAGAGGAGAAGAAGACGTACCATCTGCCATGTCCATACACCAGATTCCTGTTCCGCAGCCTAGATCGAGGATGCGCTTGGGGTATTTGATGGGTGCTAGGTGCAGTTTCTGGCCGAGCAAGATCAAGAACATGTGGTGGGCAATGTCGAGTTGGTCGTTTTGAACTTCGTCGTTGGGGCCCCAGTAGTCGTTTTCGCCTTCGCGGTACTTGTGGTAGCGGCGGCCATTTTCGAAGCGACCTCTGTAGATGGAAGAGGCGATTGATGTAGTGTCGCTGGCGGAATCGTCATCACCTAGAGCTGAATCTGTGTCGTCCTCGGTGTTGTCCTGGTTGTGTTGGAATGTTGCCACTGCATGGAGTTTTGGTGGGATGGACAAGGAGTTCAGTCACTTACAACTGACACGTGAGGATTAATGAGTTGAGCGTATGACGATGGGCCTTCTGTAGGTTCCGAAGGCAATTGATCCTGTGGTGTTGGTGTAGCACGGGTGTCTATTGGCTTTGAAAAGGAAGACGCTGATGGCGATGGTGAGACGGCTACTGACTCGTCCACGACTTCCCTCTCTTTTCCCTTGCCCGCACCCGACATTGTATACTGTACCTCCGTTTAAGCAGTTTGGATAGGATATGCAGAGGAGGCGTACTTGGCTTATATGCTCTGAGATTAAGCGCTCTAGAAGCGGCTATCGCTTGTTTTACCACGTGTGGGCTGTCGCCACTGTACCTTAATCGTACATACAGCAATGGGCCGAGGTGGATTAGTAGACCCGTAATTACGATAAGCGAGTCTGTCAGTGGCGCTTTGACTTTGACTTTGTTTGTTCCTTGATTGATAGTGTCTGGTGGCAATAAAGTGCAGAGGAAGTGGAGTGCAGAAATGAGAAAGGGCGCTAGAAATACGCAAAAGGCTGGTGAAGATGAGTATGCAAAAGTGGTGTAATGATAGTGGGCAGGGAGCCCCTGGAGGCTAGAACATCAAGGCAAAGGCTATGACATGCGATGGCGTCGGCGATGCGGGCAGGGAAAAGAAAAATGTGGCTTGAGGGATTCTGGACGCGAACATGCTGCGGACTGAACCGATCCGGGTGAAGCTGCTTGGGGATTTGTCCATGAACTCTGCATCAAATATGTCGAGCGGAGTCATCTGCGCAAGGCGATTCGCTGGAACCGAGTGGCCAAGGCGGCGCCTTTTGGTGATAGCAATAACACATGTGGCTGCGTGATCAAGCGAAGATGGAGGACCTTTATGTGCAGATGGCTTGTCCAAACAGTTGTCGCCTTTGTACATGTAGTTATACAGGATATACATACGTACATACGTACGTCTTACACACATAGTACACACTCTACTTGCGACTGGGACAGTGGCCGCACAACGCTAATGCCGACCACTCTGGCATGCACCATCCCAATCCATTGATCTATCTTGGCTAACCCCCCACTACTCTCTGTCAGGAACCAAACACGGCCTTTCCAACTTTATTCATCGCTGTCGTGCCTCAATGCAAGCTCGCCGCCAGCTCGGCACCGTCCCGTCGCTTGCCTCTTCAGCGTCTTCTCCTGCTGTCGACCTGTTCGCGGACCGCCACAACACGAGCCCACACCCAAAAACAGCTGCAGAGTATCGGCACTTCACTGTTTCCATCTTTTCCATACTCCACTCTCCTGCTCGTGCATCGCGCTGCACCCTTCGTCACACAGGTGGGTGCCCCACCGACGACGCCAACTCGTTACTTCGATCAACTATCAGCAAAAGTAACGAGCACATCCTTGCCTGCCATCTCCACTCTTAGCTAGCCATGGACAACACTGCCGAGGGTTCTTTGCTTGATAATGTCTCACGGCGCCTGCAGGCCATCGTATTCGTCCTGGGGTTTCTTTTCGTCATTGGCCGCATCCGCCAGTACTTGCGTCTGAGACATTTCGCCGGTCCCAAGACAACGGGTTTCTCTTGGCTGTGGCATTCTAGAGCTGTAATCAGCGGCGAATCCCCTAGGTACTACGGCCAAGTATGTGAGAAATTCGGTATGCATCAATCCTGTCAGATCTGGCACCTAGCAAGCCCTAACTCTGCTCGATATAGGGCCGATTGCGAGAATCGCACCCAACCACCTCATCACCTCTGATCCAGACTTCTGGATACGCATCAACGCCGTGCGCTCCCCGTATAGGCGATCTCCGTGGTATTTTCATGCCGCCCGGTTCGAGACGGGCAAAGATAATGTCTTCACCGAATGCGACAATGACCGGCACGACGCGCGTCGGAAAAAGATGCTTGCAGGCGTAAGTTAATTATTGACTTGTTGGTGGCTTCATCGCTAACGCGTCGCAGTACTCTGGCAAAGAGAACCCGACATTGGAGCCTTCAATTGACCAGCACGTCAAGGAACTCATAGACTTGGTGCGCAAATATGCAACTTCTGCAGCATCGACGGCCCCGTCGATCCACATGGATTTGGCGGAGAAGATTCCCTTCTTCACCTTGGATGTCATCAGCCATATCAGTCTAGGAGAGCCATTTGGAGACCTGAAAGCCGACAGCGATGTTAAAAACTACATCAAGTCAAGTGAAGAAGGCCTGAAGATTGGCAACACAGCATTTGCCATGGGCATAGCCTGGCTGAAGGACAAGCCTGTTATTGGACCTGCAATTAGTCCTTCTGAGAAGGATGCCACTGGGTTTGGCCACATGATGGCTCAGGCACGCAAGATTATCGTCTCCAGAAGCTTAAAGTCAACCGAGGAAAGGTCCGACATGTTTGCCTCCTTTGTCCGCCATGGCCTCGCAGGAGACGATCTCTGTAAGTGATGTTACTGGTCTAGGCGTGGGCGGATGGATCGTGGGCTGACTGTTCTAGTCCAAGAGGTGTTTGAACAGATCCTTGCTGGCTCGGACACCACGGCCGCGGCTATCCGAATCATTTTGCTTTATCTTATGAAACACCCCCGAGTGTATGCAAAGCTGCAGGCCGAGATTGACGAAGCAGTTCAGGGTGGCAAAGCCCTAGCTTCTCCAGGTATCATTTCGGATGCACAAGCGCGCCGCCTGCCGTACCTGGGTGCTGTGGTCCGAGAGGGGATGCGGATGCACCCTCCTGTTGCTAACCTCTTTTCAAAAGTCGCCCCCGATGAAGGGGATGTCGCTGTTATCAACGGAAAAGAGTACTTTATCCCCGGTGGCACCTTAATCGGATACTCAGCCCTGACAATGCACCGCAACAACCAAGCGGTTTATGGGGAAGATTGTGCCATATTCCGGCCCGAACGATGGCTTATTGATTCTGCAGATGAAGCAGCAAAGGAGCGCCTGGCCAAGATGACCAAGACCAACGATATGATCTTTGGCTATGGTCGGTGGGTTTGCTTGGGGCGTAATGTTGCGTTGATTGAGATACACAAAGTTGTGTTTGAGCTGTTGAGGAACTTTGATCTGGCCTTGACTTATCCACTGCAACCGTGGAAGACGTTCAATTCGCTTGGACTGTGGGATATCAAGGATATGTGGGTGGATGTAACGGTGCGAGAGTGAGGAGACGATTTCTTTGCCTTGTAATGGCTGTCGTAGCTATTGACCAATGAGCTTGCTGCATCAACGACATTGTACCAGAACGGGAAATACTGTATACTTGGAGGCACGGTTCTAATATGACCCAATGCACACATCGCAAGCAATTTACATCGAGCGTGCAATGTACGCAGAGCATGATGAACCGCCCCCGATGCCTGTGGCCGCGGCCGGACCTAGAGCGCAGCAGAACAGAGTGCCATAGTAGTCGACGCAGCATGACGGCCATCTTCGGCCAGCGTCACACCTGGGACGAATCCCCCACGTACAACCACGCCATCGGCCCTGCCACCCCACCGCTGCCTTACCATGGCTTTGCGCCCTCGCGCCATCATGTCGCCGCCCACCCCGTCAACATGGCCGGGTACTACGACGACGAGGCCTCCGTCAATGTGCAACCGTCGCAGATGAGTGCCGACGGTCAGCCGCGCGGACGAGACTGCTACGCGCCTGATGACGACACGCCCAACAGGCGACAGAAGCGCCATCGTTCTTCCCCACGCCCCCATGATGCTTGTACGATTGCTAGGCCGGCACCGGAAGCGCCATGTGCGGGCCTCCCGCAGACTTCAGCGTTGTTCGCCGCGCATAATGACGCGTCCAGCCAACAGCACTTCGATATGCTGCCTCCTCAGGACTCGGTACACGCCTCATGGCAGGCTCTCCACGAATACGCCCAGTCGCATGCCTCTCAGCATGGCTATGCCCTCAGTATCAATACAACGGCCAAGAACCGTTCTCGTATCAAGCTCGCCTGCGTCTGCTATGGCCAGCCCAAGAACACGCACAAGTTAACTGCTGAGACGCGGGTCAGAAAAAATAGAGTCAGCTACAAAACGGGTTGTAAGATGTGGATCGAGGGCAAGAAGCTGGAGGATGGGACGTGGCTGCTGCGTGTTGGCGAGGCGCAACATAATCATCCTGGTCGAGACAGCGCGGGGTGGGCCGTACAACGGAAGAGGACTTGGGGTCTTGTTGGAGGGCGCATTGGCGTTGGAGGTGTAACAGCAAAAGAGGAACTTGCCAAACGGCGGCTCCCTGGCACAAAGGATACGCTGGAAGACGTAGACGCAGAAGCCGAGGAAGGAGACGACTACACACAGCCTCCATCACCATCCCAAAAACCCGTCACACATAGTCTCGAACGCGGGGGTCTAGTCTGGAAAATCGTCGAACAAGAGATGCTCCGCAAGGGTAAACTGAACCAAGGCCGCGACCGCGGCGTAGGAAGAACCGTTGACGTCCTCCAACGCAGACTCCCCGGTATCCACATTCTCAAGCGCGACGTCTACAACATCCGCGCGCAAATCAAGCGCGCTCGCAAAGCAGCAGGCCAGCAACTCGGTGATGGCTATGACAGTTCAAACGACGAAGCCCAGGATCCTTTTCTTCCTACTGCTATTACTCTTCCAGACAACATCGATCCTCAAATAGCGCCCGAGCAATCCCATCCACAGCCACAGCCACAGCCACAGCCACAGCCACAGCCACACATCCAACCACCTCCCACCTTTTCCCCTCCTCCCTCTCATCCTCATCCTCTTCCCACTAAACCCGCCTCCCCTGCACGAAAAGATTCCAGAATCGACCCCTCCCTCGTTGATACACCACCTCCACCATCTTTACCGCCTCCCTCGCCCTCCCCTGATCCCCCGGCAACAGCATCACTCCAAGTCCTGCGCTTGCACCGTGAGAATGCGGAGTTACGCCGCTTACTCGCGGACAAGACCAAGGAAGTGAAAGAGAAAACGATTGAGATGGCGGGGCTGAAAAGCCAAGTTGAATTGCTTAGTAATCTTATGTTGACGAGTGGGAGGGGATTGATGGGGAATTGAAGAATTTGGATTTCTGAGATTTTTTTCCAGTTGGTTGGTTGGTTGATTGTGACGGAGAGAGATGTATATATCTAGGGATAGATGAAGGGGAGAGAGAGAGATGTTACATGTTTGCATGTTTTAGATACCCCCCCCCCCCCATCTCCAACTTTTTTGAACGAATTTAAGACGAATATAGAGAAAAAAATTCAACTCTTGAAAGGGGTTTTTTTTGAGTATGAGAATTGTGAAGATATGGGATAGTATTTAAATCAAAAAATTTGTTGTGGATGAAAACAAAAAAAGGTAGGTATCTCAAGAAAGGGGGGATATATATATATCCATGATTGATCATGGAAAAGAAAAAAAACCCCCAAGTTCCTCAGTTACGCCAACACACCAAAGACAAGGACTCCGTTCGTCATATCGTGAACCGCATTAGCCACATAAACACGCAAGCTGCAAAGACCAAGAACACATCAGTCTCCAACTCCCTATGCATCCTCCATCTCCTCATCCTCCTCCTTCTCCACACCCTCGCCATCATCCTCCTCATCCTGCGCAGCCAGTAAATCCTGCTCCTCACAGGACCTCTCAACCTCATCAGCGATAAACTGCTCGTACTCCTCGAGCGACTTTTGCACGTGCAGCTTGAAGCGCACAATGTCGTCGAGCATGCGCTCGATTTCCGTGTGGAGTTCCTCGCGGAGGGCGTTGGCGCGGAGTTGGAGTTGTTCGTATCTGAGAATGTTTGTCAGTCATACTCTGGCTTTGCAAGGGAAACTATGTATATGGAGGAGAAAAAAAAGGAAGAGAGAGAACGTACTCGATGTTAACGGCCATTTCGCGCTGAACCATCAATTGGACTGATTCACCGAGTCCGCTACGCATACGACCTAGTTCTTTCTCCATGCGCTCAATCTGAGCGTCGGACTGGCTCTTTTGCGTGTTTGTGATTTCACGCAGCTTCTCTAGCTCTTCTTCTGCTTGGGCGACGCGGTGGCCTAGGGCTTCGACTTCGGCTTGCTTGTCGTCCATGGCTTCTTTGATCTTGTCGAGGAGGTCGTGGTTGTTCATGTCGGCTTCTAGGGCTTGGTTACGGCGCTCGGCAATTTCCTTGCGGAGAGAGAGGATGTTGGCCTTTACGATGCCACGGAGATCGAGGTTCAGGAGGTGGGCGGGAGAGTATCCTGTCCCGGAGTCGTGAAGAAGACGGTCCGAGGCGTCTTGTGATGAGCTGCCCATTTGGGAGCCTGAAAAGTTGGGTGCGTCCGTTATAGTTAGGACGAGTTCGTATTCTTGGCCTTTTGCGTTGACGGCTGTTGAGGGAATGACGCCGATTTGATAGCCAAGGTTGTTGTAGCGCTCAATAGTCTGTTCGAGCTCGTCGAGCTTTCGCGAAGCGGCAATCTCCTTTTCAGCAACACGCTTCTTGGACTCTTCGAGGCGTGCTGATGTCGCCTGAAGAGAAGAGTCAAGACGGTCTCTTTCGTTTGCCATGCGGTCAATGTCCGCAATAGTCATGCCTCGGCCGTCAATGATGGCCTGAAGCTCTTGCTGCTCTTTCTCTGATGCCTCTAGTTCGGCCTCAATCTCTTCAATCGACTTTTCCAAGAAAGAGCATCGATCAGTGTACTTCTTGACCTTAGACTCCATTGAGTTGTTGTAGTTTTCAAACTTAACACGGTCCTCTTCCAAAATGCGTATCTGCTCCTCGAGCTTCTGTATCCGTGGGCCAGACTTTCCTAGCTCCTCTATTTGATCTTGCAAGTACTTGTGCTCGGCCTCTAGAAGATTGACTTGTTCGAGATGTTGAGCGTTTGCCGCATCAAACTTGGCAGCCATTGTCCTAATGTGAGGCTCCATGTGCTTCTTTTGTGCCTCTTCGTCGTCGTCATCGTCATCCGCTGATAACCAGGTGCTGTAAGCATCTGACAGGAAGTCGAAAATGATGCGATCTCCAGAGACGTCGAAACCTGACTCGAAGCACGCATCATCGTATGTACCAGCCTCGTATGCCTGCATGAGGCGTGCGAGTTGCATCATCCAATGAAGCAGTCCTAGGAATGTGTACCAGTTGTTACCGCCAACAGCTGCAATTTGTGACTTCATAATGGACTTTTCGAATGGGTACCGCATTTGTTTGAGCAACACAGGCACTTCTTGATCGATCGACTTCTGGAAGCGGTAGCTTGGGTCGATGCGGTTGTACAGCCATTGGAACATGCAGTTAAAGTCCTTCTGGGTCGGCGAAGTCATGGCTTTGTTGGAAAGAACATGTTTGGATTCCATCTCAAAGTTGTTATGTGTCAGGTACTCCATCAGCTCCTGTGCCATATGCGAGCGCGTGTTTGGATCCTTGAGTCGTCGTGGGTCCGCAGGAGGAACCGACGGCAAAGGTGCCGTCTGGAAGAAGGATTGCTTGACGCCTGATTGACTAGGTGCATGTGATGTCCGCGCTTTGAATACACTGCTTCTCCGTTGTGCACTTTGTTCAAAGGTAGGGCCTGAGGAGGATGCTGGTGTTTGGAAGATGGAAGCACCTGGCGCGAAACTCTTGCGCGCGCTGCTTGCTGCGAAATTACTAGTCGAGTTGCGATTTACTGACTGGAAGCCTTCGGCGAGATTTGTACCGGAAGAGGAGCGTTGAAAGAGCTGTTGGCTGGGTCGACCAGGCGCGAGGGACATTCTACTTCCGCTCTGCGATCGCGCATGGTTCGGAGGGAACTGATTAGGTTGCATGTTGTGTACAGAGCTCTGGCGCTTCATGGCGGAAGCTGGCATGGGAATGGCAGATACGTTGTTGTTGACGGGACCCAAAGTCTGCGTGTCGTGTTAGAGACGTCGAGGACGGAAGAAGGAAGATGCGACAAGAGGGGGCCACATCATAAACTTACCTGGCGGCGCACCGAGAACATACCCGGATCGGCCATGATTAGTATGAAAATGCAATTGTTTTGCGAACACCAGTCTCTTGACAGCTCAGTAAGCGAATACTGTGGTATACGGGTGCGATAGGGCTGGTGTTGATACACATACATGCAGTGTTTGTTGTGATCAAGGGTTTCGCGCTAACCATGCGTAGCAACGCGCGACGCCCGCGCCACGTGGGGTACCTTCCATTGTTTACATCGCATCTCCTATGTTGATTTGGAGGACATGGCTACGTCATGCTACATATCCTTTGTTGCCCAGTGCTTGTATGTCGGTTTGAACTAGATGTTCCAAACATGTTGTTATTCAATTTACCAGGTTCGGCGCGTATCTACTCGCCATTACAACCCAAACAGTGTCAACACAGATGGCATCAACCCAAACATCAGCCATCAACGACTCCTAGTGGGAAAAGTTGGTCTGCTGGAAGCCCAATTGGGCACATTTCGCAGAACCATCGTAGCCATACTGAGAGCACGTACCATGTGGATTCAACCACTGGGTTGAACCCCTTCAGGGGGGTTGGTAATGGGCTCCTCTACATGTGTTTATCGGCACGTTCTGCAGGGTACAAACCGGTTTGAGGTGTTGCGGCCCAACGAGCGGTAAACAGCGAGATGATCACTATTAGTTGCAAGATCCGTGACAGGCGTTTCCCTGAAGTGTAGGTTGGGATGATGGCAGATTGTAGTGTCAGGCACATCCCGGGGTCCTGTCATGCTCAGTAGTCTCGCCAAACTTGACTTCTCAACAGGCTCTCGCTCTTGAGTACGTGTAAGCGACTTGGTTTGTATTTCCTCACTAGTCAGCAGCCTGGTTAGGTAGAAGAGAATTAGTTTTGGGCCATCCTTGATTGTCTTGATCGTCAATGCCTGAACCAGCCCCCTAGTTTTCTATTATACCGAATTGCAGGCATAATCTCGAGGGGGTCCGGGCGTGAAACGGTCGAAGAGAACTGAATTGTCCTAGGGACCCAGGCAAGATTGTGTGTCGAAACAAGGCAGCAAGGGCTTCCAAACATGAGCTATGAACCACTTGGAAACAGATTGTTAGCGTTCCTCATTTTGCGATTCTGGGGTAGGGATAAGTCTAGCGTATCCGACTACCAGTCGATCTTTGAGAAAGTATCCTCTCACCAAGCAGAGTCAGATGATACACTGCTTTCCTGGTAGATTGCCTTGTGATCGCTCTCGTGACGAATCTTGGAGCTTCATATTCTTTGTCTTATCCGGTTCCCCCCAGACTTTTCTTGTCGGTACAACTGTAGATGAATCCGATCAAAAGCAAGTCACCAGGCCCTGGGCATAAGATCTAGACCCGGATTGCTTTTCGTTGCTTCCATGACATCGTTGACGGGAATGACAGATTCCACAAGTTTGGGTCGATCGCGATTGAGTGCTTATCTGGTCGTAGTCTGGACCCTCAATAGCAAATACGTCAAAGGCGTACGCAATACAAGGACTCTGCGCACAACTAACAAATGGCATGACAGCTGAGGTCCCAACATCATCTTTTTCTTCACCTTGAATAAGCATTGGCAATGCATTTGAAAGCACTTGCGCAGTGTGACGACATGCCGCTGCCAGTGTTTGCGTTGCGGGGGTTTGTTAAGCTTCAGACTGCACGAGTTTCTCGTACGATTCCTCCACAGTATGATACAGGTGATTAGCGTTGAGCAGAGAATTCATTTGTGAATGTTGGGAGCCAATGGTAAGACGATTGGTGCTTAGTGATGCATGAAGGTTGTCAGTTAGTCGCTCAGAAATCAACAAGGGTCGAGCAAGACGTCGTGAAGAATCGGGTAGCATAGGAATGTCAGCAATATGCATAGAAGAAATGACGGGTAATCCATGAAGGGAGAATGCGTCGAAGCATGCAGCGTGACGCAGTCGAAAGGTACGGTGCACGGTTGTAAAGAGCTAGTCATTGTTGGTGGAAGCAATAGGCCTTCGAGAAGATTACTGGAAGCGGAAGCATGGAAGCGGAAGCATGGAAGCGTGGCTTGCCGTTTCCCAGCCACCGGCTATACGAAGGCTGTGATCTGAGCGCCTGCCAAAAACAGTAATGTGATTGAGGATATTGACGCGGAAAAGGCGTGTGTCAATACGTCGGATGCGGAGGGGGCTGAGCAATACGTATACGCGAATGCCCTCGCTTCCACTGAAGGATGAGTAGGCGTGCCGTGTAAGTATATACGCAGTCGCGAAAATAGACGCTTTAAAGTAATATATTGACGCGGTATTGGAGTCGTCGTCGAGCGGTGGTGGCTTAGTCGCGCGGGGCTGGGCTCCATGCCGCATCTGGCAACTGGTCGACTCATAGTGTATCGACATGACACCGCGTACTATAGCAGCGTTGCGTTGCTACGGTGCCGCAGTGTGCATAGCGCGGACAGCCATATACTCGGCAATCGCGTAGTTTTGTCTAGGGTGGGACGAACACAGCGGTGAAGTGGATAGCGGATACGTGTCGTGGGCGTAGGCAGCACTCATGCGCTGCGTCGGAAAAGGTATGGGTAGCGACATGCGGAGGGGCCCATGGGTTGGGCTTGGCTCGTTTAGGATCGTTCGTCCTTGAAGTGGTGCGCCAGTGCAGTGGAAAGGGCGGAGCGGGGACAAGGTGTTGAAAGCGCACGGCCACGACGTCCCTGGTCGGTCCCTGGATCTGACTCTGATTCTGGCTCTGGCTCTGGCTCTGGCTCTGGTACGACACGGTGTAGTGTAGCAGCCTTTTGTTACGAGTCGATGCCCAGCGGCCGGTGAGAATGGCGACGCTGTCTCCTGTCGCAGTGCGCCCAAGGTGTGGAGAGGGCGAGTGACGTTGGACGGAAGCACGCAATCTCAAGATTTGCAATACAGTATGAGGAACAGTAATGTGTTTGGGAGTCTAGCGGTTCATGCAAGGCTTGCTAATTAGCGGCTTTGTCAGATGGCATTTTTCAGCACACATGACAAAGCCGACGACTCCACCAATCCCGCGCGCCCTACAGCAAGACGCTGGCAGCAGTGTTTGTAATCGGGGATTTGGATCTGCCATTGAGGATGAGTGTGCGATGAGCCTGGACCGTGTCGTAATGAGACGGTCAGAGGCGGAGATGCGTGTGAAAGAGTGGAAGCGAGTGGCAGATGAGTGCATGTGACGTGCATCGTGGCTTCTGGCAGCTACTAAGCACTGTAAGGGATACGCATACTATACGGACGAAAGTTGAATGGATAACCGGAACCCCGAGTACCTAGGCAGCTGGGCACTCTGGTAACCAAGGTTCTCTGCCTTTCCCGTACTCGTCGGCCGAGCAGTGCTTTTCCGCACCAACCGTGCCGGATAGGCGAGCCAAGGGCAGTCAGTCGCCGGTGTGGCTGGCCTGCCGAGATTGGCTGATATGAACGTGTACATGGTGGAGGCAGTACAAGAAACTTTGGGACAACAGTCGGGAGAGTAATGTCAGGACCGGCGCCGGCAGCAGACTCGGGCCCGACAGCCTTGCAACGCCCAACCGTCTAATAACAGTCGAATGAAGGGTGTAAGAGGCCCCGCAAGGAAGACACTGATGGGGGCCGCGTCGCGACAGCCACAGATCAAGGGCTGACCGCTCAGCCTGTGGGGAGGCCCGTGGCTTAGCCTTACGACAGCGCATCCTGGAACCACAGCCAGCAGGCAGCCTGGCAGGGCTCCATCTCGCCCAAGGCACCCTCTAGCAGGACAGCGCACAATGATCCCCCCCAAATACTGGCAGCAGGGTCTGTCCAAGGTGCGCGCAAGGCGAGGCGAAAGCGAACATGCCAAAAGCAAAAAAGCAGGCAGGCAGGCAGGCAGACAAACAGGGCGGACGAATAGATGATGCAATGCATGCCTCGAGTGGTGGTGAGTAAACGCCGACGGAGCAAAGAAACCTTGGACGACGGCGTTTAGCCAGGTCCATGTCCATGTCGACGACGTGCATCCACCACGCACTGCTCGGGCTCCGCGTGGTGACGGGCGAAAGTCTTTACGTCCGACGGAGACAGGCAGGGTATCGTAAGCCACGCTAGGACCCCTGTCGTGCAGTGTGAATCATCCTCTGCTAGCTCACCGCATCCGTCCTTGCGCTGAGCACTGCTCGGCCAAGAGCGGTGGAAACACGCCAATAGTCCCGCCCGCCCGTTATCCATCATGCTCATCCTCCATGCGTCAGGGAAACATAAGAAACACGCCCGCCCGCCCTCTGCTGCTTTTGGCCCTCCACTACCAGCTCCACCAAACCACAGTACAATAGTCTTGACATCACCTCGAGCAACTTTCGACATCGACATCGACATCGACACACTGCATCCATATCCCAGCCTCGCATCACCTTCCCCCAATCCGGCTACTGCACAACGGGTTCGTCATACCCCGGCCACTATCCAGTCACAACCAAACTGACTCACATTTTTTTTAGCCCTTCTTATACTTTGTGCCTACAACAACGCAGCCATGCCTTCCTCATCACACCTCCGCATCCAAACCTCCTTTGAGCCTTTCACGGCCGAGACCACTCGCTCCCACTTCGTCGCCTCACCACCAGCCAAGAAGCAAAAGATGTCTCTCACCCAGACCTACTATATTGCTGCCTCTGCCCGCTCCAAGCTCGGCAAGGAGGCATGCAGGGCCGACCACAACCTCCGCCTGCTCGTCGGACACGCAAACCTCCTCGACAGCCTCATGATTGAACTCCAAGACGCCGAACGCCAGCAAGAGCAGTGGTTCAACCAGACCATGGCAAAGGCCTCCAAGGCTGAGGAGCCCCGACACATCCAGTGGGCCGACGGCATTTCTGAGGAGCTCGACGACGACGACGACGAAGACGACTCCTCCATTTCCGACTCCGACTCTGACAACGAAGACGACTTTGACATGATCCCCATGCCTCGTCGCATCGCCGCAGCACCCGTACAAATCAGCACAATGGAGATTGACGAAGACGACTCGGAGGACGAGGATGACTTCTACGACGACATGGAGGACCACTCTGAGCTCGCTCTTACCCGTGTACCTTCGCAATCGCAATCACCACCCGAGCTCACATTCGAAGAGGAGTCAGACGACGAGTCACCACCAACATCGCCACCACAATCAACGCTCAACTTCTCAGACAAAGAGGGCATGCTCACGACCACATTCTACGACACCAAGCCCAAGCCACAATACCTGGAACACGACCAGCCTCTGTTCATGGACACCAGCTCTCCGCTCATCTCAAGTTATTAGGCCAGCACATGGACATGTTCCGACCTCATGATTTCCGATCCAGCATTTTTTAGCGAGCGAGTCATTTCAACAGCATAGCGTGGCATTGTCTTGGGCATGATATCCTTTCTTTTTTTTCTTTTTTTCTTGACATGTCTTTGTTTGTTTATTTGTGGGTATATTGGCATGGACCGCAGGGCGGTGAGAAGTGTCAACTAGGATATCGGGAAGTTACTACTCTACTCTGGAGCATTGGTACTATGGGAGGAGAGACATTTTGGGGTCTATTGGTATAGGCGGTTTGACATCTCCCAAGCAGATTGGTCGAGACTCCCGCCCTTAGCTAGAACATGAATCAAAGATCAGTCATCGTACTATTCTAAAAAACGATCTACACACATGCATCAGGTGACGGGTCTGCTATCTCTGTGCCATGCACGCTAGTCACACCACCTCATTCACACGCTTTGTTTGACATGCGAGGCTAGAAAAACTGTCGCACTGGGGCCAGCGGTGCAAAGGTTTGGGTTGACCGACTTTTGGCCAGTGCGGTAGACCCTGGCCCCTTGTGTCCGCGCATAGTCCTGTAGGCGGTGGCACCTGTGGATGTGGACAATAGGGCCAAGGCACGCGCCTCTGCCTCGTACCTATGGCTGAAAAGCGACTGCTGCCTCGTAACGCCTGCCTAATCAAAAGCCCTTTTCCGGTGAGCGCGCAACCTTAGGCAGCATTATTGTTTGTGGGCAGAATACAAAATTACCCGCACACATTCGTGTCCTCGCATATTTGACAATACATTGACTCACTGCAAGCGGACCCGCGTGTCTGCACTTGATGGCCAGGTGACGCGGAACACTGCCTTGAGCGAATATACTAGACCTACTAGCATGTGCAACAGCGCACGCCGCCGTTGATCGGATTAATTCGGCCAGGTCCCCAAGCATGGTTCTTTCGCGAGCATACGGGCGTAACCGTAGTCGTGGGGCACGGGATGGTCCAAGGGGGTTCGGACTCTTGAGTATTCCGGTCGGACCTCGATCGCTCGTCTCGATGTAGGAGGGTCGGCAGTCTGCATGGTCCGATCGGGCGAAACACGGGCCAGAGGGGGTGGGACGAGGCGGAGCGGAACTCCTGGGGTGCGATGATCCGTATCGCAAACATATGCCATCATCCATCATTCGTTTGCAGCTTCATCTGCGCGGCCCCGTGTTGCGCGCGATTCCGCTACTTTCAATCCCCACATTAGTCTGGGAATTACTACAAAGGGAAACACGAAAAAAAAGTCAATGTCGCTCAAGTTTCAGCGCTGATCTCGCCGCCCTTTTTTTTTTCTCTTCCCCGCGCTCTCCACAGCGGTACCCGCTCCGTTCTTCTATGCCACACATGTCGCGAAACAACAACGTGGCATGGGCGTCAAACGCGAGGCAGAGCAGAGGGATATGTTAATGAGACCAAAACAGGGCGGTGCGCGTTGCGCGGTCAAAGCAGGTTTCAACATGGCGTTTCGGCGTCTGTAGCGCTGTGTGTGTGTGTCCATGTGCAGCGGTGTAGCCTATGAGCCAGCGCAGTCAAGCTATGCATGCGATGCTACGTACCTACATATCCCCCTCCCTACACACATACTTACTACTGCCTCACCCACGGCTCAGATAGAGTAGAATGAACACCTGGCCGAATGCGCGCCAATCTCGCTATGCCCAGCAGCATAATGCAGGGCTCAAGTGAAGCGAAGACCCCCTTGACTCCATGTCCACAACAGCCTTTGTCGCTCTCCTTCTCATTTGCCCACCCCTATTCACTACTCGGTGTGAGTTGGCACTGTCTCGCGTCCGGCGGTCTCGACTCTACTCCTCATCAGCGAAAGAGCCCCTTTCTTCTCCATGCGGAGAAGATGCACTACCAATTAGGGAGCCTGGCGTACCAAACAAGGCAATGCTCTGCACCTCAGGCAGCCCCAATCTGACCATTACCTCAGCCATCGCCTTTGCCCCAACCCCCGTGGGCAGTGCTCAACCAAGCGATTCAATATCAACACTAAGACAGGCTGTCCCTTCTCTATGCCATGCCTCCCCTAAACGCCGCTACTCATCTTATACGCATCAACCTTACTAAGTATACTCATGCTGACTTACAAACCCTAGCAATTGATAGTAGAGGGCAGCCTTGCCACGCTCGGCACCATCGTCCACATCCACTGGGAAACCAGGATGACTAAGGTGTAGCTTGACGGCCTTGTCAGACCTCTTTGCATGATTGACGATTACCGTACGTAGCGTGCGGTGCCAGATGTCGCCTGTATGTAAGTATGTAGATCATCTGAGCCCCCCTCCACGGTGGGGTTGGTCTGGGCTCGCTTGCGCCCGGATTTAGCCCGGAGTAAAGAGAGTCGAAGAAAAACAAAAAGGTCACCGGCGATAACAAACAATATGCAAGATACTCGCGCCTCCACATCAGCAGACTCCCGTATATCCGTATCAATCTAACATACGCTCACTCACGCACATGGATGCATGTCTCACAGCCTCTTTAACACCATTTCTTCCTACTTACTTTCCTTATCCGCGTGTTTGCGCGCCCCATGGGCTCATGTCTAACTCCGACCTTTTCGTCCGTTCATCCCATCACATAGTACCACCGTGTCTCATTGTCATCACGGGGGGGGGAGGGGTTCTCGACCACCCCCAGCGTACAGATACATTTGTCTCGATAAGCAGACCATTTGACGCGACCATCACGCTTTTCATACGCATGCAAAAGAAATCGCAGGGGGTCTATGACACCACCACTTCTTTCCATAGGTCTCGCCTCGGTTTCCTCGGAAATGATGGCCCTTATCGCCACGAGAAAGAGAGAGAAAGAGACTTTCCCTATCTAGGGGATCGACGCCCTTTCCGCTTTCGATACGTCATGCGGTCGATCTTGTCTTCTCGTCTTATCGAGCTTGAGAGTGTGTGAGCTTGTTCCTCGTTCGGGCGAACACCCCCCCCCCGGTTCCGCCAATTCCCCCAACGGCTTTTTGCGGGTAAGGCTGTCAGGAATATCTTCATGTCACGTGCTCTACAACGCGTTTATCCGAGCTACATGATACCCTTCCCTTTTCCATATCTACTGTTCCGAGGCTAGACCCTTCTTTTTTTTCTTGCCGAATAACCTCATATACCCGTTGTTCTCGTGATTTGTGATTGTGGGTTTAGAACACGCTTTTTTGCTGGCCCGACCCGCACGTGTGTATGTGTCAGCCCAACCGAGGTTTGTTGTTGTTCATGTTCACGTGGGTTTTATTGTGCAGATGGATTTTTTTTTTCTACTAGTACTTACCCGTTCCCTGTCCCTTCGTACGAAGCGTACTCGCCCTGAAGCCGTTCCGAACTAGCTGCGGGTAGCTCCCAATCTCAAGTTGAAGAGAAAAAAAATCGAAGTTTTCTTCATGGACGCTAATGCATGGCATTCCCGCCTGTGGTGCATGTGGCCTTGATCCTGGTTTGCACCTTTTTGGCAACGGAAAAGCGCGAGTAATGCTAGAGTGGTGGTGGGGGTTTTTTTGTTTGCTTTCGCCGAGTGTGCCCGCATTTTTTTTCTTTGATTGTTGAAGGATGGAAAAGTTTTCCATGGCGCGGACTAAGGACTAAGTGTACGGCTAGAAGGCCGTTTGGGAACGTTGCTTGTGCCTTGGACGCGGATGTCACACCACTTTACTGTGTGTGTATGTTTTTTTCTTGGAACTACTAACGGCCGGAGGTTGGAGGCTGGAAAGGCTAGGTCACGCTTTTTTTTTCCCTCGTCGTTGCTCGCTTGAGATTCGGTATACAAGGTACTTCAAACCTCGGGCGTAAAAAAAAACATCATTGTTCTCGCAGGAGACTCGGGATATTTCGAGGCATTGAACCTCGGTGATAACATCCCTTCCCCTCTCCCTCTCCCCTTTCTAGCATATTCTCACACATGAAACATCGATATTTTGTGCCGTGGCTAAACGTACATGATACTGCAGCCCATCTACATGTGTGCTGTCAGTGGGGCGCATGTTTATTACCCGAAAAACAATCACGGCTACATGATCCATGGTGCCCACTCACCCCCCCCCCTCTCTCTCTCTCTCTCCCGGCTAATTGTATTTTTCTCATGCAAAGCGGAAAAGGAAAAGGGAAAAGGGAGGGAGCTAGTGGGATATATGCATGATATCTCGCGATGCCACACTGCTGGGTTGAAATAAGGTCAAGTGAAAAATTGGGATGAGACACACCGCTTGTAGTGTTCCGGTGAGTCGAGTGCTCGCTTTTTTTTTCTAGGGGCTGTAAGCGAGAAGAAAGGGGGGGTATAGATGTGGAAGTGACGGTGTAGCTGTGTTTTGCACTATTGATGAGTTGCTGTGCAGTCGGTGTGCGTATATGTGTCTTGATGAGATGATTACATGTACTTGGATGGAAAACAAAGGAGGGAGGTATGTGGGGAGTGATGGTCGATGTGGATGTGGGTTTGAATTGCTTTTTTTTCACGATTGCAAGGACGGGCTGCACTGTAGGATATAGACGTAATAATGAGGTATTGGCGATGTTAGAGAGATGGGGAGATGAGGCGGGATAAGTGGGGTGAGTATAGGAATTTGCGTGTATGACTTGTGTTGGTGTATGTGGGCTGTATGGTTATGTTACATATTGTCATTCCTTTCTTATTTTTCCTGTAAGAGGATACGGTAAGGCTTGTTTGCATGGTTTTACAAGTCTAAGTAGTGCTTTGTAAAGACATATAAAAGCCAAGTGATTTCAAAAAAGCTCTACTTTTGGTATTGGAGATGGACTGGCATAGTAGGGAGTTTCCATTTTTGGATAGCAGGGTGGGAATAGGTAACTGATATCGACGTTTTTCTCTCGCTGCTGGTCATAGTTAGGGTAGCTAGAGTAGCGAGGTTAAGTAGAGGAGTAGTAATTAGAGTAAAGGGGCAACTGAGGCAGCTAGGTGAGTGGGTAGCTAGAGTGATATGTAGCCTCAGCCTCAGCCTCTCTTGAGTGCTGTGTAACTATCAGAGCTATGCTATGATGTTAAGAACCTCTTTCTTTAGTTGGAATCAATAGGGTGATGGCGACTGAATTTTCTTTATTCGTATTGATAGTAGCGGTGGTTAGCGGTTATAGTACTAGGCAGATACCGTTAGTTAGGTGGTTCAGTCGGATTAATTGAAAGGGCCAGTAGTCGTGTGATTGAGCAGATAGAATGATACATAGCCAAAATTGCACACCTCCGCAGCGCTGTTCGCGGATTGTAAGCACAATATCGGAACCTCGGTACTGCTTGTCAAAATGTAGTTAACAACTCTCCATGTGAAGATATACTACACTGCTGAACGCCTTCTTGTTTCGCTTCTCTAATCTCGAATACACCACCCACAGCGTTCTTAGAAAGCAAAAGAAAAAAAAGACGGAGGAAGCTTTTTCGGCACCAATCCTCCAAAAAACCTGACACCCTTCCCTGTTCCAATCTCATGAAAGTACCTGGCATTTCCTTAAGGGAAAGAAACACAGCAGCAGACGCCACCTCCTCAGCCCTATAAACATAATCGTTAGTTTGTTTCTCTCTGAATGTTCGTTTTTCGTCACTCCAAGAAGAGGGGGAAAGGAGGGAATTAAATGTTGTTTCTTATCTGCTTCGCACCGGAGCAGCATCGAAGGTTAGAGCAAACAGTGGGGTCGTTTCCGCATGCACCATTTGCGGCGCACTGGCCAGTGAAGAGCGAGTTTTCAGCAACAATGCTGCCGGAAGCTGGGGCAACATAGGCAACAGAGAGAAGCCCGGTGGCGGCGAGGATGATGGAGCGGAGATGAATGGTTGCGTTTGGGTCAAAAGAGTATGTAGTCGTAAAGACGATTAGCGAAACTCGTTGGAAGAATATAAAAGAGTGTGATGGTTGTTGTTCGTGATGACGATGGTACAGCGGGAGGGTGACTGTTTATATATCTTTGAGCTTGTAGTACATACAACAGATTCAACTTCTGCTCTCTCATTGTAGATCGATATGGTCTCTCGGTCCAGTGTGGCTGTTCTTCGGTCTTCTAGGACAAACCTTAAGGAGTGGTCTTGGTACCTACTTAGTCAAGTGAGCAATTCGGCATGTCCCCGATTGGCAAATTTACATTGGATTTAAAAGTCTTGGTGCTCCGTCACTTCTGCTATGCATTCTTCTTTAGGCTCACTCTGTCCATCCATTTCTTAGCAGCAGCTCTCCAAGAGCTACTTTAGTAACCAGCTAAAGTAGCAGTACGATGGGTTGTTCTATCTCGCAAACATACTGAGATCATACAAGCCTTGCTGTCAAGTAACGCTGGGATCACCTGTCCGCCTTCATTGGTCCCGCGTCGCATCTTGACTGACCCAGTAGCATCAGTCGTCAGGGGCTGCGGTGATGTGCAACTATAGCGGCTCTTGGATTTGTTCGCCAATCTGAAGAATATATCACAACTACACAAGTCTTGGTATTCCCATGTCACCTATAAGCAATCATACTACAAACTAGCACGTCAACTTTGCTTCGGGCCGGCAGCACCGGCGCCAAGTAGCTACTGTGTTACATAACCAAGACGACTGTAAGGATGTATGGACGAATACAGAGGGCGCTTCCAAAAGTATTTACGAGCGCTACATCTATCAGCCCAATATCTTTTTAGCTAAGTAAATAGAGAAACTCCAACCTTAGCTACCTTTCTCTCTCTTTAGAATACTATGTAGGTTGCTTAAAGAAATATTAAAAATTAGCCAAGATCCGAAATAGAATACATATATTGCTACAGTAACACGTTTAACATTTCTTATACATAAACAAGTAGTGAAAAATAATAATAAATAAAGAGAGAGAGCTTGAGCTCTACAAGAGTGCTATTGCGGCGGTAGTACTGTAGAACTATAAGTAGACCCTTCTGTTAGTTTTTTTTGAAAGGGTCCTCTGTATGGAGTACATAAACATTTGTTACAGTAGTCTCGGTGTCTGAGTAGACCCCTATTAGCTTTTTTCGGCTCGGTGTGATGTCTCTTCGGGCCGCTCATATCAGCGCCTAGAACAATACATAGGTTAAGCAACCATAGGCCTGTTCGGTTCAGCTGCGTTTTTCGTCTGCTAAACCCAATCCTGGCTCCTTCTTGGAAAAAGAGCTGCAAAAAGCACAATTTTCAGTAGAATGTACTACTTTTAATCACCACCAGACTGCGCCCCGGTTTCTCAGTACAACGCTAGTAGAAAAAGCCCTAACTAGTGTAGTTTCAGCGTACCGCTTTCCCTTTTCTAGCAAAACAGAGTCTGTTGCATAACTATCACATATCTGGAATACGGTAATAAAATGGAGCTCTAACTAGACAGTCTTGTCCGTTTTCTACTACCCCAATCTGGATATGCCCCAGCTGTGAGACTAACCAGCACTTCTTGTCGAAGACCTAAACCCAAAAGGGCAATGGAATAGAGGCGAACATCAGAGGACTGAATAGGCCCTATAACGGTAACTCATGTCGATCTCATCTCAAGGCCAAGTGCGTACACGCAAGCTCAGGTGGCCCAGTGACTCTTGTATCTTTTGGCTAAGACTGCTGAGACCATCTTGCCTTGCCGAAGCAAAAAAGGCTTACGAGGCTAACTGGAAGGTTGGGAAGCATGAAATGGCCGTTGAGGCTCTTCAAACTGTGTGCTAATTCAGATAGGACCGTTGTAATATGTAGAAAGCTATGCAAGTGCTCTCTAGTATCGACCATGCAATACAGGCAGTGCCATATTACCACTTGAAGCACATGGAGTCACGTTGTAAAGAAAGTTTTAGCATCGTAGAGTGACTGCACAATTATCTGGTCATACCTGCCTCCTTCCATGGCTTACTGTACAATAATATCCCCCTCCTGTCTTACGTCACGACTACTCGCGCCAACCCACACTCCATATCGTCCCCTCTGCAGCTCCCACGCTTGAGCCTCAACATTCCAAATACTCAAATCACGTCTCTGAAGCTCAAAATCCACGACAGCGCTCTCGCCTGGCTTCAACAAGCCCACACGCTCGAAGCCCCTCAGTTGCTTCTGCGGCGCATTCGGAACACCAAGATACAATTGCGGTACCTCGTGTCCAGCTACTTTACCCGTGTTGGTGACATTGACGCTG